TTAAATATTTATAGTATAGGTTCTGAAAGTATTTAGTTCTTTATTTTATTAAATACTTATTATTATTTATTATTCTATTAAAATTCTATTCTCTTTTTAGTAATATTATATAAGGATATAATAATTTTTCTATAATCTTTAATAAATTATTAGTAGTAATTAGTAAATCTAAGGAAGGCTTATACTTTCTTAATAGTTTTTAGTACTTTCTATTCCTTAACTATAATAATCTTATCTTATTCTATCTATATTTTATTTAATTAAATAGTATATTCTAAGAAGTTAACTTCTTATATATAGAAGAAACTCTTTTCTAGTTCTATAAGAAGTTTTATCTTTTCTAGTTTTTCTAAGACTTAGTATATATATTTCTTATATATTTCCAGATTATTAGAGAAAATTAAAATATTATTAAGATAAATAATTATAAAAATATTAAGATACTCCTAGAGTATCTAATTAATTATTTATTAGAATATTATAGGTATATTTATTAGTTTAAAGGGTATAATAAGATACTTATAGAGACTAAACTTTATTCTAAATACTATTTTCTATTTATCTCCTTCTTTAATTTATATTAGATTATAAGCTCCTTTTAGATCTAAGGTAGTAAACTACTATTTACTCTATAACTAATCCCTGAGTTTAGTAATTAGTAGTAAGGGTATTCTATCTTTATATATAATCTTATTTAGCTATTAGTAATTAATAACTAAATAGAGTTTATTATTCTTCTTTAATATAAATATTATAGGATATCCTATAGATAAAGTTAATAGTTATATATAGTCTTTTACTAATATATTATTAATATATTTATAGAGTATTTATAACTAAGGTTCTATAAGATTATATAATTTATAGAAATTAGGTTCTCCTTCTTTAATAATAGAGATTTTATAATTCTACTAGTTATATTCTAATAGTTCTATTTTAAGTTCTTCTATAAATAATATTTTCTTAAAATAATTATATTCCTATAGAATATTTTTAAGATATTCTTCTTATCTTAGATACTTAGCTTATTTATACTTATACTAGATATTTTTTTCCTTATTCTATTATATTCTTTATTAATTATCTATTTAGCTCTATTCCTAAATTCCTATACTAAATAGTTTTAGAAGTAGTTTCTCTATTTCTTTTTATTATTAACTATACTTAACTTTATATTCTTATTATTATTCCTTAGTTAGTTATTTCTAATTAATAGGTACTAAATCTATATCTAAGAGTAGTTCTTACTTCTATATCTAATCTAAGACCTATATTATTTATCTTAGTTCTTATTATAATAGATTTCTTATATTACTAGATTATAGTACTATTAAAGCTAATACTACTATATCTACTTATTATTATAAGTTATTATAGTTTTTTATAGTAGTACCTTTAGATATTATAAAATAAATATATTTTTCTAATATCTAATAAAATTTTAATTTTTATTAATCCTGATATTAGTATATAAGAGTATCCCTTTACTCTATCTAGTTAGTATACTAGTTAATTAGTAGATTTATATCTTAAAGCTATAGTAATTCTAATATTACTTTATAGATTTCTAATAGTACTAAGTTATAGATAATATTAAACTTTCTTCCTTAGATTTTAATTATAAGATAATTAGTCTTAGAGTTAATAATTCTATTATTATACTTAAACTTTAAGCCTTTAATATTTATAACTATATAGGTTTCTTTTTTCTTTTTCTATAGTAAGTAGAGTTAGTTAATTACTACTAGTAAGATATAATTCTCTTATACTCTATAGTTAATAAATACTATAAACTAGTTCCCTTTAATTTCTACTTCTATAAGGATATATATAGAGCTTCCTACTTTTATAGCTCCTAGGGTTCTTTAACCTATTATTAATATTATACTATACTATAGCCCTATTATAGATAGTTTAGATTATTTTTTATCTAGTTAACTTATTTTTAAAGTTATTCCTAATCTTTATTATTCTTAGATACCTATTTAAGGATATTCTTAAGGTTTTCTAGTTCTTTAGTATACCTGGGGATATATCTTATAAACTTAATTCTCTAATTATATAGTTCTTTAATTATTATAGATATCCTATTATTAGAGTAGGTCTTATCCTATTCCTTCTTATTAGTTAAGATTATTCTTTATTCCTCTATTTTACTATTATTTTTACTATTTATAGATAATAGTTATCCTTTTAAGTAATATTCTTAAAGTTCTTCCTCCTATAGTTATTACTATTTAAGATATAACTTAGTAGTATTTATATTATTATTACTATTCTATACTAGTACTAGTACTTCTTACTTAATCTCTTAATAGTTTCTATAATTCTAATTATAGTATTATTTAATATAGTTATTATACTTATATATTATCTGATCTTCTATCTATTAGTAGTTATACTATAGCTTAATCTTATTATTTTTATAGATCTTATAAGTTTATTCTTAGTAAAATTCTACTAATAGTTCTTTACTTATATACTTAGTAGGGTATTTCTATAAGTTTATCTTAAAGATAGTATAAGATTCTATTCTATAGTATTAATTAGTAAACTATTATATTTATACTATAGTATACTTTATTAGTATCCTTCTATCTGGAAATAGAAAGAAATTATTTACTACTTTTTCTTATTAGTATATATTATACTATATATTATAGTATATTATCTAAGATTCTAGCTTATAATTATATTCTTTACTAGGTTTTATATAGATTAGGTTTTTATATCTATTACTAGGGTAGTATATAGTATCTATAGTATCTCTTCTATATAGTACTATTCTAAATACCTTCTTCAGATCCTATATCTATATCTTCTGCTAGTAGTAGATATAGAGTTTATTATATTTAGTTTTAATCTTCTCTCTAATAAATATATATTATTCCTATTCCTTAGGGGTATATTTAATAAGCCTATTAATATAGTAAAATATATACTTATATTTAGTAAGAGATCTGAGATCTATAATATCCCTCTTATCCTTATATTTCTATTTAAGTTCTTAGAGGATATTTATAATATATTAGTAGTTTCCTTCTAATACTATTAGTATTTTACTAGTTTCTAGTATCTTATAGAAGTATAGTATAAGTTTCTTAGAAAATATAGAAGTTATAGTAGCTATATAGTTTTCTTCCTAAGTAGCCTTTCTAACTATTCCTAGTATTTTAATCTTAGTTTTTCTAGTTACTTCTAATTACTTCTTATCTTCCTTAGTAGGTTTCTAATTCTTCTGCTTTTTTAGCTTAGAGTATTATAGTAAAATATATCTAATCTTATTATAGTTATAATACTTATATTTTTCTATAGCTTCTAGCTCTATAGGATCTATATATATTCTAGAGACTATAGATTATTATTACTATTATAATTAACTAGTATTAGTATAGTAGATTATCTTTTTACTATAGGTTTACTAGTAATACTATTAATTATTAATCCTTATAGCTATAGTTATATATTTATAGATACTAACTAGCCTGTTTTCCTTATAGAGTTCCTTCTAGACTTCTTCCTTTAATCTATTAAAGTAGTAAGATATAGTATATTCCTAGTTCTATTTAGTTTTTACTAAAAGCTAGAGATACCTACTACTAAAGATAGAGATAGATTCAGTCTGAGAGAGTTTATTAATTTTATATTCAGCTTTATATCTCTTATCTTAGATTCTAAATATCTATTAAAGAGTATCTATAAAGTAGTTAAAACTTATTATAATATTAATAGTTTACTAGCTTCCTTAGCTATTAAGATATTCTCTTATAATAGGTTTAAACTAATTAAGTATAGCTCCTTTAAGTTATAAATAGATATAGATAACTTATTATTTATTACTATTAAGAGTAATAGGGAAATAGTTAAAGTATACTTAAAGTTAGATTATAAAGCTTTAAAGCTTATCTTAGATTCTATTAAATATCTTAAGTAATAGTAGCTTAAGTAGTACTCCTAGCTCCCTTTCTTAGGCTATAGCTTAAGCCTGGGCTTAAAGGTTAGTATTCTAAGCAGCTTACTATTCTATAAGAGTAGTAGTAGTAGCTATTTCTTACTATATAGTTATAAGATATTCCTAAAGTTAGAGAACTTATTCCCTAAGAAGTTTAATTTCTACTCTATAACTACTATTACTACTACTATTATTCTTATCTATAGTATTATTATTATTTAGAGCAGGTAGGTTATTAATAATAGGATTTTATTATTAAGCTAGAGGAACTATAGTAGTTATAATATCTTCTTTATTATTATATAGTAATTAAGATAAGATAATCAGCTGAATAAGAGTTATTAATATATAATAGTTAGATAACTTATACTGAACTAGGTCTAGAGTAGATTAGGGTTAAACTAATTAGAGTATTATTCTGAGTAATATAATCAGATTATTATAGGCTATATAATATAAGTTACTATTAATATATAAGTATTATAAAGCTAGTAATAATAGATATATAGATAATTATATTAATAACTATCTGAAAGAGTATTCTATCTAGTAAAATAAATATATATATATACTAGGGGATTATTAATACTTAGTAATAATCTATTATTCTAGATTATTAGGATTATTATAAGATCCTAATAATCTATTAGTAATTAGTTAGAAAAAGTAGGGTAATCTATATAACTTTAATATATAATAATATAATTTATAATATAGAGTTTTTAGAGAAACTATTACTTTATCTTAGCTTATATAAATAAAAAAGTAAAAAAAATAGAATTAAAGATTAGATATAGATTAAAACTTAGTTAAAAATAAATTATATAGATCTAGTTATATATAGTCTAATCTTAGGATATTTCTTATATATAGTAAAAAACTTAAAAAAAAAATAAAAATTTATTTAAAATATTTAAAAATAAAAGAAAAAAAGAGATAAAAAACTTTAATAATTTAATAGATCTTTCTAATACTATAGTTTATAATATATTATTATAACTAGTTAATAGATACTCTAGAAAACTGTAAAACAGATAAAAAACTAGAGTTAGTAGATAGGGAAGTAGTGCTGCAGCATCTTAAATCACATCCTGCAAATTTCCACTGACCCGTCCCGAGTACTGAGGTCCGCCAACCAAACCTCCTCTAAGTACGCCAACAAATCCGCCAACCCTTGTACTATTGCTGGACGCAAATAAATACACAGTTTGCGTATAATCAATCTCGAACTTCCAATGTTGTTCAGCCTTTGGATCCACCATTTCCATTACATATCCCGTGTGCTTTGACGGAGGCAACAGCCTCCCGCTTGGGTCCGATGTCAAATGAACAGGTCCGTCGTATGCCAAGTCGAACGAGCCGAATGTGCTGGTTGCCGATGCCTGTCGCTCCTGAGTATGGAACACTACTTCCTTCTCTTTCATAATCATGCTGGTGAAGTACGTCTGCCCATCGATTCTTGATGTATAAATCCAGGCCATAAGAGTATATGGGCCAGCAGTCGCTCTAAGCATGTTCCAATGCAAGCTTAAATTGGCCCAAGCAAAGGAATTCCAGTTGCGCTCTCTTCCCCCAATACCTCTGATGGTGTATGGGGTTCCCTTGACGATAAGATCGACCTCGGTGGTCGCAACAGGCACAGTCTCAGCCCAGTAAATATGGGGTGCAAATCGGACATTTCCACAGCTATCAGGGTATACAAGGCCATTCGGATAGACAGCAGGAGCCAGTGAATCTAATGTAATTGTCCCTTTGATGGTAGCTGAGTCGATCTTAACAACCGTGTGCGAGTAGTCGTTGGATGACTCGAAACTCCAATTCAGACCCGAGGTTTCATTAGACCATGTCCCAACTGTCGAATTCTGACACATCTGAATTGTAGATACGTCTGCGAATCCAGACTCCATGTACCTTGTCCCGTTGGGCCAGGTAATAGCGATGAAAGTGCGTTGTGCCAAGAGGTTTCCGGCGATTGTGCCACGGCTGAGCATATAGGCCATCCCGGATGTCCCATCTGCGGACACCCCTTCAAATGACCACTCCTCTCCAGTGGTGAGGTTAAATCCATCCGTCATCGGATGATCAAAGGGTAGTAGTGGATTTTCATTCATATGAATTGTGTCGTTGGTATAGACCCCGGCATGTCGGGTGTCGGTAGTGCAGCCTAGCGTGGCGAGTTTCGTAGCAGTCACTGCCGATGCCAGAAAAGTGATGAGTAGAAGCATTGCAGCTACGATTTACAAGGAGTTGAGTGAAGATGAATTCAAATGATGTGTTTGTAGAAAGAGTGTCGATGTCCGAGGAATTGGATAAACTCAAACAATATAGAGACATAGAGCTTTTAAATAGTCGTAAAGGCGAACCTCTAGCTTAAGAGCGAGGCACTGCCTTCGCCGTTACATATTGATGGACAGACAGAGTTGTCGTATCCTCGTAAGTTACTCAATTTGAATGTCATCGTGATCCCTTTTAGTTGCTAAATTTTCAGTAGCAACGCGTCTGTTTCTTTTGGGAAGCATACGAGAGACTTCTCAGTCAGCGAAGTGAATGCACGCTCACTTGCATCCCCGAGACATCCGTAATCTGGCAACAAACATGGGCGATCCAACTCGTTTGAGCAGGCTGTCCGCTTCTGTGGTTATGTACACAGCGTTGGTCTGGAATGCAAGCGTGTGATTGATCAACTACGGATACGATTGCAAGGGATCCCTGGAAATGTAAGTTACATCAACCCTTGAAACCCTTAAACTGGAGATCAAAGCTCGTAACTTTCCCTTTTGGAATAAGCTCTTTATGGCGCCAACGCTATAAATCGCCTGCTGCGCCACCATGCATGAAGTTTACCAATCTGGCTTTAGCCGGCGCTCCCGCTCGTCTATATCAACGTAAGTTCCCATATCTGACCATATTCTATACCGCAACCTCGATTTTTAGAAGATAGGACAACGGTGTTATTCTCGTTCATTCTACCTACACCGCCAACCAAATCAAGGGTCCAGGCATGTCAGTACCAAAATTGTCCAATACCGTAAGTGGTAATCCTGTTGCTAGAACCAGAGCATCAAAAGGAAGATCTCGGTCAGGTTGCCTAAGATGCAAGCAGCGAAGAGTCAAGGTCAGTCGTCCACATTGAGTTCAGGTGAAGGACCCTTGTACCTAAATATCAAATCATCCACTTGTTTTTGCCAACTTGGTTTGATTCGAATCATGCCGTTAGAAACGGAATAAAAGCTGACTATAGTTAGTGTGATGAGTTGCGTCCTTGCTCCCGGTGCAAGATCGGTCCAAATGTCTGTGTCTATCCAATTGCTGCGGCGCCAAGCTGGAATAGTCAAGTCACCACATTCCGTTCGTTGACTGCCGCGGTCTCAAAAGCCGATTGTGAAGATAGCGCCGCTCGCCCTTCCGCCCAACCCAAAAAAGCATCGTCCATCTCTTCACATACTTCATTATCGCCTGGATGTCAGATTTCATGGGTGATTGCAAATGATGCTCCGGTTTTCGACACTCAAGATGTCTTCCTCTTGACACATTTCATGTCCACTACGAGTATTAGTCTTATTGGCAATCAATCCATCTGGGTTGAGGACGTGTTGCAACTCGCCCTGCAAGTAGGTGAAACTCCGAAATTGGGTGACAAACTCGTATAAATACTAACTACATACCTCAGTATGATTTCGTTATGCATGCAATACTTGTACTCTCCGCCCGACACCTCCAGGAGATAGAGCGCTATGCCCATAATCCTTCGCTTTATAACTATGGACTCCTTGAAGCACACCATCTGAAAAATGCTCTTTCTAGATTCAACAAGCAATTTCAGAGTAGCATTTCGGCAAATCAAGACGCAGCACTCGCAACATCATTCTTGCTCTGTTTCCACGCTTGCTCTACGGTTCACATGAATCCACTCGCGGCTCCTTTACAAGATAGCTCGCTCACTTTTCTCCGTGGTATCCGGTCAATCGTTGCCAGCCACCATCACGCTGCCGACAGGGGTATCTTCAAGTGTTTAGTGTCACCGCCTCTATTGACACAAAGATCCATCCCTCGAGAAGTACCATCTGCAGGGCCTTGTGCGCATTTTATAAATCTTCTCAATGATTTACCCCCCCTTTCCCGCTTTCTCGAAAACAGAGAGGTATACGAAGAATGTATCAAGTCTCTCGCCCCATACCTCTCTCTAGCCAAGGAGCAGGATGGGACCAGAGAAGAAGCACTAGAGTTATTATTATGCTTCCTGGAATGGCAAGCGTTCTGTCCTGCTAACTTTGTCGCGCTGGTCAACACTCATGATCCAATCGCTTTGATCCTTTTGGCACATTTTTATGCTGCGGCTGGCTCCGTTGTATCCGAAGCAAAGAGCAGGTGGTGGTGGCAGAGTAAGCCGAGCTATATGGTCCGAGCAATTGATAAATACCTCGGCAGTACATGGACGATTTGGATGGATTGGCCAAGGGCGGCCTTTCAGAAGTTATGATATAAAGCGTGAGTATCACCAGGCTATAACTTTTGCAATGTATATAAGGCAATTATACCTGCTCTTCATCTTATTAAAATACTTTCATATAAAATTTAATATATTAAATTAATTTTAATATTATGTATATTTTTTGCATTATATCTATATCTTATACAAAAAGAGCTTTCCTAGTCCGTCTTTCGGTCGGATGATATACCCTGCTCTTGTGGTCAGTGCTGGGCATCAATATATAAGTGGTTCACATACTATGGAGCTCAGAATTGGCTACTCCGTTGTGGTTGGTGAATATCCTACACGTTGGCCTATCATCTGTTGTGGCCACTGGCAGTCATACAAGAGTTCCTTGCAGTAGCGCTAGAGATGTCCGATATAATTTGAGGGCTTCCGCGATATTTTTAGATGGGTACAATCCATCACCAAAGTAGGATATCATTAGCTTGCAAAGACGAAGGAAGTGAGGGGCGGTTCCAAGGCTTCAAATGTGCTGTTTGATTTCCCAATAAAATAGCCGTTGGGGAAAATATCAGCAGCAATCAGACCAACTGGACCCATCAACAGAAGTGCATGTTTTTTTGGGGAGAAGGGTATATCCGAGCTGACCCCAAAGACGACCTTGAAAAATCGCTGAAATTGCATGGGTAGATCGACTCGTTCCTATAATACTTAAAGCTAGATTATAAATTAGTAAATTATATACTGAAGAAAAAGAAATATTTATAGAAGTAATAGTAGAAGATAAATAAGGAGAAGCTAAAAAGTTATTGCTAGTTCCTTATAAAAGTAGAACTATATAAGCTTTTAAGCTTAGATATAGATAATTATAATAAGAAAAAAGCTAAGGGAAAGGTATATTATTTATAAATACTAAGGCTTTTTAAAAAATTTCAACTTATTAATTCTCACTTTCTAGGTGGGTATAGATTATAAACTATGAAAGTGATTTACCAAAGAATCTTAACTACTATGGACAGCTTCTATAAACAGGATATTGTATGTGCTAGTATCCTTTAAGCTTCTCGCTTATTATAGATTTATTATTTAGTTAAACCAGATATTTAGCGAACCATCTAACCAATTGATCTTCTGCTTGGTCAGCCATCTCCTTATCCTCCTTGTTATTTGGATCACCTCTAACAGCAAAGCCATGCTTCGCGTTGGGAATAATAACCACCTCGCTGTCTAAATCTTTCTTCCCCTCTAGAATTTCAGCTGCTTTCTGCACATCCTTCAGGGGTAGTGCAAAGTCGATATCGCCAATAACCATGCTATAAGGGAGCTTCACGTTTTCGATATGCTCAGGGACCTTTATCTCACTGGGGTGAGCAGTGAACGCTGCGTCAATGAGCGTTTTGCCATTGCTGGCTAACCCGCCATGAGCCAAGTGCGTGACGCCATATGCGCCCCAGCAGAAGCCGACGACGCCGACCTTTAGATTAGATGCTTCAGAGCAGCGCAGGTCATCCATAAACTGTCGAACGCCTGGATAGCGCTTCTCGGGGTTGTTCCGTATACTGAAAGGCACCATAAAATATGCTGCCTTCAATATGAGCCATCTGGTTTTTTGCATTAGAAGGAGGAAACTGGCTTGGTAGGTTTTCTTATCTTACGGTTTTACTAGCCATCCCCAGAAGCCTTTCTCGGTGAGGACTCTATCGACCACTGACTTGATCGATGCAGGTGCAGATGTTCCTGTGACTACATTAGCCTTACAGTTCTCAGGGGAATAGAAACAATGAGTCGAATATCAGCTCACCATGCATGAAATCAGGCAGGTACACTTTGCAGCCGGTCCGTTCTGCGTACCTATCTGCCACGCCACGCAGATTTATCGTGTTCCATCCAAAAGCATCCGAAAGGACAACGATAAGTCCCGTCTGGGAAACCGGTCCGGTCTGAGGCTCAGTGATGTACACGTCAAGACCATGTAGCATGGCCTCGTGACCGTGAACAGGACCTAGATGATCATGGCCTCGGTAACAGTCGGCGCACGGCATTCTGTCTCGATACGATCTGATGATCACGATTGGGGTTAGAGCAAAGAATAGGACGTAAATGTAGAACAGGAACGCGTTTGAGTCTCAGCAGTCGATTGTTCAAGCTCAGCCAACTAAAGTACTCTTAGTGAGACTTGACCCTATTAAACTTAGTTGACCGTGCTGTTCTGTGTGGGGTTCCGAGCATCCGCGCGTGGGTGGGCATCCATCTAATAGAGTCCAAACCCACCCGCAGTATCATCCATACCTTCCCCGCTCGGCAGGAAGATTCGTCATTAATTAGGTGGCACAAGAATGGAATTTGTTGAAGGGCATTATGCATATCCCTTCCTATATCCAGAACATGAGGCTTTGTTTTCTCTTTCTCTAATCTGTGTTAATTATTCAATATCTTATAGGTCTTTTCTCTATCCTTAAACTATTCCTGAAAATATTGAAGAAAATTATTCCATCATCATTATTAGGTGCCACTAAGGCAGTTTTGCAGATCAATCCGTAACACTGCACCATGATTATCAGAGCTCAGCAACACGCATGCTACCCGTAGGAACGCGTCGCTTGCTTGTAATTTCGGGTAAGGTAGCTCTAATAAGCCCCGCGCCTAAATTAATAGACGTCTCGATCTTAGCAGCTCCATTCAGCTGTTGCATGTTGTTGAGTTTACACCATGAATCTGCCGCAATTGGTGATGTGATTGGATGGCTTAGCTGCATCCGTATGCTCATCAAATTGTATTCAGCTAGTCCTTTCAGATTGAAGACAAAACCTTTAATATACCGTTGTGAATTGAATCGTCAATCTCATAATATAACTGCAATTGAAACTATGTAAAAAAAGGAAGCAAAACTCTACCATGCATTAGGTGCAATATCCGTGTAGACCCTGAAGCCGCTGTTATGCTTCGCATCTTCGAAAGCTTCGTGGTGCTCCTCTAATTTGTACACCTTGTGGCTCGAGCCTCCACGCTTACCGAGCTTGAGAACCCCAGAGTTCACCATCTTGATAGTCGACTCGATTCCTGCGCGTGTGACCATGACTTTGCCCAGGATCTTGATGTTCTGGTGCATGACAAGCGTGTACGGGATGGTGATGGAACCAGAAGGTGCACCACTGAGAACAACCCTACCTTCTGGTAGCACAGCCTGGAGTGCAGCTGAGAAGAACGGAGAGCCTGTCAGGCTGCCCGATGCCCAGTCGTTGTATACTTCGACACCGCGCCCATCGGGACTTGCCTTACGGATCGCGGCCGCATCGACTTGATCATCGCCAGTCATGACAACGTAACTAAATCGCTCGTGGTTTCCGAGCTTCTTCTGCAGCTGGGCGAGCTTTTCTTCGCTACGACCGATAGCAATGACGTTGGCACCTAGAGCTAGTGCTATGTCAGATGCAATACCCCCATAGGTGCCAGTGGCCGGCCCGAGAACAATTGTCTCTCCAGGTACCAACTTGGCACTCTCAAGTACTGCTCCAGCACCAATGGTGTAGAAAGAAATCTCGTGGAGGTCCGCGGGCGTATAGCCTAGCTGTCTGCAAAGCCGATCTTCGTCCAGTACAAAGATATTCTCAAGGGGAACCCTCTGGTACTCCTGGAGGGCACCATCACGCCACTCTCCATTCATGAGCTTGTGGCCCCTAGTGCCCTCTCCGCCATGGTGGCCCTGGATAATGTTGACGCTAGGATCGTCTCGCGCATAGATGGCTGCCGAGAAGAAGACCAGATCGCCGGGCTTGGCGAGTATGGCATCGGATCCAACGCTGTGCACGCGGCCGATTTGGCTTGGGTGCGGCACGAGAGGAAGAGAAAGGTTGAAGACCGGTAGTTTACCCGTGTGAATGTCTTCTGCGTAAGGGAACACCACAGTGTTGAGAACTTTGACAACCACTGAGCCTGCTGTGGCCTCGGGAACAGGGAGTTCAACAAGTTCCAAAGGCTTGTCAAATGAGGAAAGCCATAGGGCTCGGTTCTTGGTAGGAGCTGAGTGAGAGCCCATGGTGAGGAAGCAAAGGGAGAATTGGGGGACTGAGGGGGAAAAGGGGAGTCGAATACAGATCACAATCGTTGTAGGATATGATGGTAGTGTAAGAAGGTGCTCGGCGACTGAGTGAACGCAAATGAATGATTATATACTCTAACCAGTCTTAGCAGTTGTTTTCAGCTTATTTCACCGATACTCCCGAAGAAGTAGTATAGTTGAAAGGGTGGAGTCGATTCCCACCTGGTGAAATGTGCTACCCACCCATCCCATCCAGGTCCACTTTGTCGTGGAATTAGCCACAACAATATCACGGTTCTCCATGTTTGGCACTCGATGAAACCAGCCATGCCGGTTTATATATTATGAGTTCATAAGAAAATTACCCAAATTAGACTTCGCCATTCCATCCATTTCTTTCAAGCAATCTAACTCTCCCTGATACTTTTGGTTTGTAATGCCAGCCTCGCTTAGTTCTACGTTGCCGAAGATCTGGCTCCAAGTTTCCTTGTCGTGTTCGTATATGACATCTGGCGCAGGGGTCTGTGAATTCGCAATTGAACCTGTTTCTTTACTCAGTCAGCAATAGAAAGAATAAAAAATAATGTTTGCCTACCTTCTGTGCGATAAGACTGGGCTGGGGCTTGACACCATGCAGAGTAACTTGTATCTATGTTGGCATACTCGGAGGAGTCCGCTGGTGTTGGTAGATATGCTGGGAAAGATTCGCTGCTCATAACAGAGAATTGAAGATCCTCGGCAAGGCCTGGCTGCAAACACTTTGAGTCTAAAGCTGAGCCTGGGTCGTTGAAGCGGGTCGCGTCCCTATTGCCGATGGTTTTGTAGCTATTGAAAATCGCGGGCATACTACCGGTAGACGCCGTAAAGTCCTTTTCACACCGTGACATGAGGCATTCGATCAACGAGCCAGTCATTTTTACACTTTGCTTACTCATTAGTCCCCTTTCTGACAGCAGACCATGCTGCGCCTTGAGGACCATTGCCGTGCTCTTGAAAGCGAGGTGGAGGTTGACGAGTTGCGGTGATGATCTTTGTACAGACTCCAGCTGGCCCTGACCAGGCGGTGGGGAAATAACACAATGCCCTGGGAGATGGTCATGCCAATGGCTCAGTGCCAGTAAGTACTTGATGCAGAGATGGTCTGATGTCATGGGATCCATCATGACATCGTTGAGTATTCGTACTACACCGACATACTGATTGAAGATGCTGATTGCTCGTGATGGCTGATACGTGGTGCTCATGTTGCATGACTTGCCAAGGGACAAGGCCTGCAACTCCCACTCATCTGGGCCCGTTTCCGCTAGCATAGATGAGAGATTCACGTCCTCTGTCCGGAGATGAGGTGGTTTGCGTAGCTGGCAAGAGATGATCGTGTCAAGTACAAAGCAACCCAGCAGCAGTCGCCGCTGGTAAGAATCATCACCACCTTCGAGTTGCAATGCTTTGTCGGAGAGAAATGGCATGTTCAGGTTTAGACAAATTCTCACTGCCTGACCAATCAAGCACCAACAGGCTGCGACGTCTCCCTTTTCTAGCTTGAAGAGACTCAAGATGAGGAAAGCCTGGGCGTATTCGGGCTGAGATGCCTCTTCGTTCGGTAGCTGCTGTCTTGCCTTCGCATACAGCTGATCCGGCGTAGGGAGCAAGGCCCTATGTTCGGCCGCAGCAGAAGTATCCCGAGACTCCTGAAGGGATGAATAGGCGAGAACTGCCCAGAGGGTAGCCATACTTCCCCTTTCTGTCTCTCTGTTCCGTGATGGCGTATATAATAGTTCCAGCATCTTGTACTTCTGCACGATAGGTAACCAGAGGTGAGTCTGGGCAAAGTAGGCGTCAACCAAACGTTTAAAGTGTTGAGTAAAAATGGTAGCTGATCCCAAATCGTTCTGCAACTCGGCCTGAACCGCCCTCGGAAACGATTGAGTCGGTGTATCCGCTTTATGTGACTGTATGGAGTCCGAGCCGACCACAGATGCACTCCGAATAGCCTCGAAAGTCAACTGTAGAGGAATATCGGCGGTTTCAAATTTCGTCTTGTCTGTAGCCGCGAAGCTTCCATCAGCAACATCAATTTCCCGAACCCCTGATAGGAGCTGGTCCAACTGTCCCTGGACACCACTGTCCTCCCAAGCCTGCTTGAGCGTTTCGGAATCTTTGGTATACCGACTTTCCATGACAAGCCTGGAACGAGAATCCAGGCTAAACTGAATACCCGACATGAGAGTCTTGACTATGCTTCTACTGTTGGGCACGACAGTGAAGACCAAAGACCAGAGCAGCTCAAGGGCGTGTACGTATCCGGTTGGCAGCCCACGTTTCTTGTTATCGGAGCCGTAACTGCATGGCTGGTGGATCGCAAAGCATGGTGAGCAGGTTGGGTGGGTGCCATCGCATCTGTGCTTTCGAATGCGGCAGGAGTCGCATGCTCGTGTGACTCGTTTTCTCTTGTTGACCCTTGTGCGTTTGGCTGGTTTTTCTATCGTGGCTGTGGCCGTGGCCGTGGCGGCCATTGTTTGCAAAGCTGGTGGGGGATGAATGATTAATTGGTCAGAATGGAGGAAGCAGAACGAAGAAGAGGCCTAAACCTGGCAGTGGTTGAACTTTTCAGATCCCTGGTAGGGAGTGTCAATGTAATTGAATATTTAAGATTCTGCTAGCAGCCACTCAACTGTGAGCCACACAAGCAGCCTTTCCATCCCATCCGAGGTGGGTAAATCTAAGAGCACGGTAGCTATAGCTCCTCGATCCACCCAAGCCAAGCCAAGCCACCATGGTCAGGGCAGTGGGGTTTACTCAAGTGAACCCTTGAGTGCTGTACCACTTAACTTGGTACAGTTAGGTAACACAAATGTGAGTAATCAGTATTACATGAGAAGACGGATGCCGGATTGACCGGCCCTTTTTGGATTATGTTGGGGAAAGGCATGCATGATTTATTTGTTGCATATTGAAACTCCTCTTAGTTCAACCTGACTAACTGCGCCCTGTAGCTGTAGCTTCTTGTATAGAGGACGTCTAACAATCTCAGACGTGGGCTTTGAGGAAATGAAACCCTTTTTCCAGTAGACCAAATTCACTATCCCCAAGCTGTGCCCTCTCGTCAAAACCGTGCTGTCCCCCATCTACAAGTACCAGTTCAGTCTCTACTCCATGGCTCTCGAGCTCAGCATGTGCCTGTTGTGAGAGCTTCGCGGGCACCAGCCTGTCCTCAGTACCATGGATAAAAAATGTGGGAGGGAAGCGAGCCTTGGAAAACTGGTAAGCTGGGTCCACGCGGTCATAGTTGTCGTCCCCAACGACCGTCTTCAGTTGTGTCCCCTTGCCCAATTGGTCAAACATCCACGCAACGCGGTAGTTGGAGAATTCAGGCCCGGACGGTCCTACCGGAGGAGGGGCTGTGGTTGGGGGAGGGGTGTCTTTCCATATCTGGCTCACGAAATCTTGATCGATTTTGGGAGCACCCGGCGGCGCAGGTAAGGCGGTATGGAAGGCCTTGTCCGTGAAGTATTTAATGCCGTAGATATCGAGAATAGCGCGAGGCGGATGGGCTGAGCTAGCCTAGATATCTTGTATTAGCATATCGTTGCGTCAAAATGTCTTTGCGTACTGACCATAAGGAGCGCCAGAGTGCCACCACAGGAGTGCCCAAATGTCACAATGCTGGAGCCATCAATATCTAAGCCAGCATCGTTCAGGAGCAATTCCGGTAACTTGTTCTGCGACCACTTATAAGCGTCCAACGCATCTTTGACTGGCCCATCGAAGACGGTGATGGTGGGAGCAAGCCGATAGTTGGCGGAAACAACCACGAAGCCCAAGTCCAGGAGTTTCTCTGACTGGCTGTGCGGTAGCATTTCCTTTGAACCGATCGTGAAGTTCCCGCCGTGAAAGTGCAAAGCTGCGGCTCGGGGCGTCAGAAGATGGGATCGTAACAAAGAGAGATGGCCTCAACGTACCTATAGGAAGCTTGGAAGAAGTAACGGCCTTTCTGAAGTAAACATCAGCAGCTACCGAGACGCCATTGGCGATCTTGTAAATGTATTCCTTGCGAGTGGTCATGGTGCTTGTTGTGCTTAGGGTCAGAAATAGATGTCGATGATGAGTTTTGTCTTGTGACTAGAACAATCTTAATTTCTTGCAATACTCAGAAGAGGTACAATAATTGCCACTTATGCTTTTAGAACGGTGGAAAACAGGCGGGAAAGGCTGGGGAGACTCATTCATGTGTGTGCCACCGACCCACCCAGCACCTACCCACCCACGCATACCAGCTGTGGCCAGCTTCTCAAGATTGAGGGGTCGAGAAAGGCAAGACTATATATCACGTTGGATTTTACTTTGGAAATGAAACCATGTGAATACAACAATTAGGCCTTGTGGCTGACGACATTCTGGAACATGTCTGCGCTTGATCGCGCAATTGTTCAAATATTGACCCCATCTCCTATAACTCCACCACCAATGCATGATGAACTGGAACGCAATAACGGAAGCAGAACATCAAGGCCAGGTATGCATTTCCACCTTTCGGTGTGATACCAGGACTAAATAACCAGCAGAACAATTTCTTTGGTGGAATAATGCCCACTTCCTTGCGCATCCACGCTTTGACTAAGTACACGGTCATGACGAGCATGTCCAACCCGTCACTATGAATGATAGGCTGTTGCGACGTGTATGGTAGTATCTGATTCCTCGAGCTTTTTGATCAATATCTTTAACCTTTCCGACACGAAAGAAGGCCCTGTGCAGATTGACAATTTAGCGTGTGATAAAAATCACTTCCGACAAAGGCATCACACTTACACTTCCACACTGAGTCGTCTGAGAGTAGTGTCGCCGATACAGCGAGTGGCAAAGCCGAAAGCCTGTCGTTAACTTCAGATCGCAGGTCAGAGACTTCTGCAAAACTGTCGCTTAGCAGTGCGTTGAGCGTATCGCGCGACCCGACATGTGGCAGGCGGTTCTGCGCAAATTGAAGGTACCAGGACAGGAGGAGACCTGCATAGAATATCATCAGCCGCTGGAACAAACGATCAAAAGGGTCAGATGACATACAGCCCTCGTAGGCGCCCACCGCATCTTCTGGTCCGAATTTGATTGGTCCCATTTTGCCGAGATATGATAGCCCCAAACGGCAGTCATATCTGAGTCCCTCTGCCGCACGGATGAATGCTTTTAAGAGATCAGGTGAGCTCGCCTCGCTTGAGAGGCGTAAGATCTCGGCGTCCTGGAGAGTGGCAGGTGACCAGAGTAATTTTTTCATTGCAGTTAGCGGAATGCTGGCGTAAAGATGATAGAAGGCCGAGTCAAGCATGGACTTTGCGCAGTGGACGGTAGAGTCTGGAGCCAGCTCAGCGTCTTGTTGGCCCATGCGCCTCCTGAGAATCCTGTCAAGCACATCCAGCGACAGACCCATTTTCTCACCATACGTAGTATAAATCTCCCCGTGTTGTGAGCTTGTGAGCAGCTCGAAGGAACAGATCCGGTAGAGAAGGGCGGAAACGACGGTGATGAGGCCAAATTCGCTCATGGGCTGAGAAGGCGTTTGGCCATTCACAATAGCATCCAATGCCTCGTCGCTGTAAAGTACCTGTGTCGGAATCTCGAGACTAGATTCCGGTTTTTGCCAGTCGGCGGTGCTGGACGGGAGGGCAAATTTGGCTTCAACAATAGGCCATGCAAGCCATGCTTCCTGTTCTTTTGAACACAACGAGGCTCCTATCAGGATTGTGGTTGAGATGCACCTAGTACCACATGAGTGAGTCACTCTCAACGCAGGGACAAGGCTAGCATACCTATTGATGCTCTCACGGCGAACCCAGTCCTTGTACGATGTAACCGGACAAGTCTGAAGGTCCTTAATTGCTTCCCGGGTAAGCTGTGAACCTACAGGTCAGCCCCACGTATATATACCATAGCTTATGACTCAAGCGTACCTTGTTGCAGTGGAGGAATGCATGACCCGATTTTGCTTCTGAGCCGCAATGAATCTCAAAGTATCCGAGGAGCAAATATGTCTGCAACATCCAGACGAGAGTCTCGAGGTCGGCCTTGTTGAATGGGCTCATCTGTTCGTGCTATGGTCTTGTGTCAACGAACTTGGGGTATTCTAATGCTCTTTCCGGTGAGCCTTTCTCCTACCTCGAAAATTAATTGTACAGCGACGGCATGCATAGAAATAGAAGTGGAGGATTCGCCGAGATAAATAGCGCCGCAGGCCATGATCGCGAATAGGAGGGGTGCTGTATTGGATAAGTGGTCAGACCTTTTTGCTGGTGGATTAATTATGGTGCTACTTACAAGGTGTGGTGGCAATATCAAATGTTGGTTCATGTACAATGGGTATATGTGCCGCGAAGTGCTCGAAAAAAGCTTTGACGAAGCGCTTTACGGCGTATTTGGAGGGAAATCGGAGAGAAGCGAGTACGTGGGCCGGATATTTGGTGAGATTGGCCCACGCATTCTCGCAGTTATTGTCGTCTGCTACGATGTGATGCCCGGCAGGCTTACTATGGGCAGGGCCAAAGGACGGCACGCTGGGTTTGGGCGGTTGCAATACCGAGATTGGAAGCTCCGGGGGGTTACCAGCTGGCATGTCGTTGAGAAACCCCTGCGACAGGAGGGCGTCGAGGTCGAACATTTCTGAAAGATTTGGATTGACGAGCTCAGGGTCCATAAATGCAGGATTAAATGCTAGAGGGCTCCCTGACAAATAGGCCGGGAACATTTCGGGGTGCGAGGACATGGCGTTGTCGAGCGAGTTCGTTTGGCTGCTCTGGGATCCGCCCCTATCGTTATCCGTCGGAGAGTGGTCCTGAATTGCGTTATCGGCTCCCTCGGAATGGCGGTCGTCTTCTCCTCGAGCGGTCGTCGAAGCTGGTGAAGCTCGTGAGGTGTTGTTCTTACGTGCCCTCGGCCCAGACGCCCCAGGATGGGAACTGGTGCGACGCCTGCCCCGGAAGCCAGAAGACTTTCTGTTGGTGAGTCCGTGATGGAAGTTTTTCGTGTGGCGGACGATTACATCCTTGCGAGAAGAGGTCAAGGAGCAATAGAGGCAGTTGTATGGCTTTTCGTTTCCATCTACATATAAACGAAACGGTTAGCTGGTCGTGGGAAATTTGATGAAGAACAGAAGAGGGACTTGCGCGTTAGCTCGTGGCGTCGTAGATGGGCCAGGCGATTAAACTTGGCATTGCACTGGTCGCAAGAGAAGCCGTAGCTGCCTTTGGCGGAGTCCTTGGTTACATGTTCGCTATTGATCGGCTGCGTAGAGGTGGTGGTTTCGCACGACATCTCAACAGTCCATCGAAGGAGAGAGCAGCGCAGACAAGGGAAAGAGGGGGATTAAGGATTGAGAGGGAGATTATGGGGGTAACAAAGTGCCATGGGGGTTGACAAATCCGAGCTGAAAATGCGGGGGATGAGATTGATTGCGGGGGGGGGACCAAGCGAATCTTAATCAGCATTAGGGTCTATAACGATCTCCGTTATACCGATGCATCTAATCATATACATACGCCTGCAGGGGGAAGTATCTTTGCTTATATTCTTGCGCAAAAGATACACCTCGCTAACATCATAATATGAGCATAAGAGCTGCACCCCACCCTTTTCACGACGAATGAGGGCCCTGGAATTAACACCCCTAGGCCCCACCTTGGCATACTATCATTGAGCACCTTTTCGGCTATAACACTGACTCTGTGTTATGAAAAATGCATCTAGACATCTTAACACACGAGAACTGCTGCTTGTCAAGGTTTCACTTCACACCGCTAGGATTAAGACACGCATACCCAAGTCCCGCTATGCACCGCTATGGTCTATGTCGGCAGTTTCTCGGACCGTACATGCACTCAAGTGGAGTCCTGAAGTAAGTCCCGGCTGTTGCGGGGTCTTTGAGGCACTGCCGGGTTGAGGTTTTAATTGTTCAGATTTGGCTTGTTACGGATTGCGTAATCAGAATATGTGTCAAGGGCAAGAAGCTAAAGAGGAGATGTATTGCTTTATGGAGGAGAAAGACAGATTGACAGTTCGAGACCCCGGAGTAAATGAGCTAGACCTTACAGGGTAAGCGATGGCTGAGAAAGCAACGTCTGCCATTGGTCCCTTGGATGCCGCGTTTTCTCCGAGTAGGTACCCATCGACTACATGCCAAGCGCCCAGTCTCCGCTAATCTCTCCATGTAATTGTCTTGTACCTGAGAAACTCACCTAGTCCCTGTGAGGCATTGAACCTCCCGTAGCCACTCTTCTTGGCTCCCCCGTGGACAAGCGAAGCTTCGTCATGCACGGTCATGGAGTTGATGTGGACCGCCCCGGTTTCGTACTTCCGGGCGATCCGCAGCGCGGCTTTGAGGTCCTCGGTAAAGATGGCCCCCGAGAGCCCGTAGTCGGTGTCGTTGGCGATGCTGAGAGCCTCTTCCTCTGTCTCAAACGTCATAACGGACACGGTGGGCCCGAAAGACTCTGTGTGATAAATCTCCATGTCCTTGGACACGTTGGAGATGATGACAGGTCTCATCTTTGTGGGCTGGTCCTCTACGGCCTCGGCATTGCCCACAAGGGTCGTCGCGCCCAGAGACACCGCGTTGGCGATCAAACCCTTGTTCTTCTGTACAGCCGCTGAATTGACGAGCACGAATGGCGGGTTGGTGGATCCAAAGAGTTTCTCAGTAGCTTCTTTGAGGGCGACGCCGAATTCTTCAGCGACCGACTTATGCACAAGGATGCGCTCTGTCGACATGCATACCTGGCCGCTCTGGGGAAGTAGATTGTAAGCAAAATGAAAGAAGATGTGATAAAACATGGTGGGCAATACTTTAACAGGGCTAGACAAAACTTACGTGGATGAAGGCGCCTAGAACGCACGCCGTAGCGGCCTTTTTCAGGTCGGCATCTTTGAGGACTATGGCGCTGGCTTTGCCCCCCAGCTCCAGGAGAAGTGGCTTAATGTGTTTCCCGGCGAGGCTGGCAATGATGCTGCCCACAAGCGTGCTCCCCGTAAAGTTAATCTTCCTGATGGCCCGGTGGGCGATGAGCGATTCTGTGATGGCAGCCGCATCGGCCGTTCGATGATAGATAACATTGAGGCAGCCGTCGGGCAGCCCAGCTTGGCGGAACACGTCGCCAAGCGCCCAGAAGACGCGCGGGCTTAGCTCGGAGCCCTTGAGGACGGTTGTGTTGCCTGCCGCGAGAGCGAACGCGACTGAGCGTGCTCCGAGCACGTAGGGAGCATTCCTGCAGACGAGGTTTGTGAGAAAGGGGTGTACGTACAGGAGCACTCATTAATTGTCTTGACATACCATGGGGCAATTGCGAGGACAACACCATATGGCTCCTTGACTATGATGGCATGGGAGCCCTCTTCCGCCGTCGTAGGAACCGATCCTTCAACTGCGGCCTCGATCCTCCCGCCAATGTCCCTCAAGATCTGCACCGTGGCGTTGAGGTTAATCTCCATAAACTGCCGGCCCGCGCCCGTCTCCTGGCTCTGGTACGTGAACAGCTCTTCCTTCCTATTGAGAAAAATATCGGCGGCCCGGAACAGGATGTCTCTACGGAAGCTCGGTTTTGTCTGGGACCACGAGGCGAAAGCTGCCTGAGCTGCTTCAACAGCCCCGTTGGCGTCGCTGGCTGCAGCTGCGGAGCCATCCCATAGCTTTTTGGCGTTGAAAGGGCTAGTTACTGGGAACGTCGTTGTGGACGTGACATCCTTTCCATTGATGATGAATGGGACGGTGTCGAGAGTATCGGGCTTATCAGACCCACCGTTGGCCTGTTCACTTGGGCTCATGGTTAACAATGAGGGAATAAGAGAGTCGCAAAATAGACTTAAAAGGAACCTCCGGCACCTTAAGGTATAGTCTAATGAGTATTTAACCTTTCCTATAATCGATTCACCTGCTGGCAACCTGGTGGCGATGCCAATGGCTACACATTCATTCAGCTCCAGGTGGATATTTCTTTGAGTGGCATGTGTTCCTTTCACCTCACTCCACCCGAATAATACCCCATCTATATCCCAATAAAAAGGACAATACTCAGCAATGGCTCTGAAACATCTGTCATTGATGCTCCGGAACTAGTCTAATAAGTTGCAGTTTATTTCTGTGCCAGCTGATATCCTTCCTTTTCTCGCATTGTCGGGTTTTTGTGCTCTGTATCCTGCGCCACTGCAACTCTCAGGGTGGGGAAATCGGTGGGGAGTTGGCTCATTACCACCGGTGGGGAGTCCCAACATGTGGACTGTGATACTGTGCGTGTACCCGCGCAGAGATACCATCTTGAATGCCTCCCCAGAACAGCCTCGGATATGTTGAAGACCAAACTGCAGATCCATAGCTCCATGGGCCTGTGACAATTAGCCTTATAGTCCATCTTGTCCGGCTACAGCTTCAACTTCATCTGGGCTAGGTTTTCTTTACAAAGCTATAGGGTAACACAAGTTTCGTTTCGTCACACCTCGATAACACTTCGTCAAAGTTACCTACGGTCTCATCAAATCTTCAAGCTCATACTGTCGACTTTGCTGAGTATCACGCGTACTCGATCCCATCCGTCCTCTATAAATTATCAGATTATATTAGTAGGTACCATTATAGACGGTAACCGAGTCCGACCTAGCTTTCAATCGCGACAAAACCAATATGAGGCTGCTTGAAAAACATTCCCAAGTGTCGCTGCTTGCCGGCGCATTGCTGTTACTATGGGTTCTTTACCAAGCATACCTCTTCATCTCATTCCGTCAAAAATACAGTTTCCCCAATCTCGTGCCTGGGGGGCTGCCCTTTTTTGGAAATATGTTCCAAATCCCAACTGATACAGCGGAGCGGCGCATCTACTTTCATGGCCTGGCCAAAAAATACGGTGAAATGTATAGTGTTGAATGAGTTTATAGTTGCAAAAAAATACGATGCTGACATCTCATTTCGCACAGATTTACACTCAAAGTCGGTTCTAACTACTTAATGTTCATCAACTCTCAGCGCGTTGCGAATGAAATACTGGATAAGCGCGGCGCTCGGTATATTTCGCGACAGAATCTACCTATGCCAGGCGATGTTGCCTCTGGCGGCAAACGCGTCGTCTTCATGCCCTACGGTAATCTCTGGAAGTGGGAGCGCAAGCTCATCCACGAAATCATCGGCCCCGGAAACCGCAATGTCTTTGCCCCTCTGCAGGACATGGAGTCACGAACATTGCTCTATGACTACCTCATGCAGCCGGACTTGTGGCACCAGGCTCACGCTCGATATGCTAGCTCCCTCATCATGAGCATGGTATATGGAAGGAGGACAAAGTTGGGAGACCCCAACGTTGACAGAATCATTGACACAAACAACGAGATCATGAAGATGTTTGAACCCGGGTCGAGCCTGATCGACGCGTTTCCATTCCTGGCTTATATACCCCTCCCGCGCTCTATCCAGCCATGGAGATGGTGGGGAGATAGCGTCTTTGAAGCATCCAAGAGGTATATTTCGACCGCTCCGTAGTTCCCGTTCAAGGTACGGTTGTTGACTTTCAGCTAGGAACTTCATCGAAGAGTATGAAGGCCTCGCGGAGCGAGAAGCACAAGGCAAAAATGTGACGTGTTTCATGTCTGAATTCAAGAGGCTTGGACGAGACAAGGCTCTTGATTATGAGTCGACTGTGTTCTTGGCTGGTTCCCTCATTGAAGCTGGATCTGACACCACACGTGTGGCTCTGAACCAGCTGATGGCCGGGGCAGCCCTGTTTCCCGACTGGATTCAGCGAGCACGCAAGGACTTGGATGAAATTTGTGGTGCTAATGCTGAGAGACTTCCGAATGCTAGCGATATCACGAACCTGCCTTACGTAAAAGCAATCAGCAAGGAAGTTCTGCGATGGAAGTAAGTACACTTACCCGGCGTCATTTGTGGCAGGCTAACAGCCATGGTCTAGTATATCACTCCCTGAGATCCCGCACTCCTTGATCGAGGACGACTCCTTCGAAGGATTTAACATTCCCGCGGGAACCAGCGTCATGTGGAACAGCTGGGGCCTGCATATGAGTTCTTCCGAGTATGAGCAGCCTGAGCGGTTCTGGCCCGAGAGATTCATGAACGATGACGTGGACAAGCCGATCAAGGGACACTTGGCATTTGGAACAGGTAAGCTAATAAATCCGCCCTTGACCGTGTATCATAGCCAAGTTACTGACCGTCTGGATTGAATAGGTCGGCGGGTATGCCCCGGTTGGACCATTGCCAGCAACAGTCTCCACTTGTTGATCGCGCGGGTCGTCTACTGTTTCGACTTTCATCAAGTTTCGGGACATCCCATCCCAGTTGGAAAGCCGTTTGATATTGGAACAGAGAAGCCATACGAAGTGAAAATTACGGTCAGAAGTCCGGCTCACGCGGCGTTGGTTAAGAGGGAGTGTGAAGAATCGGCGAATATTGAGTGAATATGAGATTGAACAAAGTAGATGTTGAGGGGTGGGAAATTGTGACAGAAATTTGATAGATGAGCTTACTGAAACTTCAAGAAAGCGAGGAATATAACAGCCCTATTTTCATCGATTGGTTTCACTTTACTGTTGCATCGCGAATGGATCACATGTGAAAAATATCTAGTGCCATTCCCCCAGGCCACGAGATGCAAAATATATTTACAATTGAAATTGCTGGTTGTCAATCATCATGGCCAATCACTACCTCGAGTCTAACTAGTCTCTTCCGATTACAAGTCTGCTCTCGCGTCCTCACCAGCCCATGCTCTTCTAATGACCTCCCTGATGAGATCTCTATCAATATCTCTTGGGTTAGGATAAGACTTGCTGACAGCAATATCAGCCGCCTTATCAATATCAGCCTCTTGGAATCCTATGGATCCCAGACTACGGGGAACACCCAGCCTGTTGAGCAGGCTATTAAGCCCGTGGAGAGCATCGCCGTTACTAGTTGGAAAGGCACTAGCGAGGGCTTCCATGGCTTTAGGGACTTTGGGTGCGTTGTACGCCAACGCGTGCGGGAGGACAATTGTGTGCGTCTCAGCATGGGGTAGATTGAACGAACCACCTAAAGTGTGGCAGAGCTTATGATGGAGAGACATTCCCACACTACCCAAGCATGTTCCGCACAACCAGGCTCCATATTGACACGTAGATCGAGCGGGGATAGAGTCGGGATCATCTAGCAATTGCACTGCTCCTCTTGCGAGTGCCCTCACGCCCTCGATAGCCATAAGACTGACGATGGGGTTGATATTAGGCGCGTAAAGAGCTTCAACGCCGTGCGCGAGAGCGTTGATAATGCTCGTGAGTGACATAGGCAGAGGAAGCGTGAGGGTCAAGTCGACATCGTAGATGACAGTCTTTGGGAGAATTGAAATATTGGTCTGGGTTGTTTTGATGCGATCAACAGTCTCTCCGAGGATGGGAGTCACTTCACTACCAGCATATGTAGTAGGAATTGCAATGTGGTAAAGATCTTTGCGGAAGCTGATAGCCTTTCCAAGGCCAGTGGTACTGCCACCTCCGATTGAAATGAGCACATCTGACCCTTTGTCTTGACAGAAGCGTAGAGCCTTCTCAGTAATGCCCAAGGGAGTGTGCATGGTAGCCTCGGAGAAGATGGAAGTATCATCTACATGAGACTTCAGAATCTCAGTGATCTGCCTCGCTTGGTCGATCTGGTATGGTGTGGAGAGTACCAAAGGACGACGAAATCCAAGTTCCCGAAGACACTGCGGAAGTTGCCTGGTTGAACCACGGCCAAAGATGATTTTGTGAGGCAGGGGACTGTAAACGAAGGACTCCATCTTGGTGATTTAAGTTTCTGTTCACAGCGAGAGCTGAACTGAGCGATGGGACAATATTTCTTCAAATCCATCCGCCACCTTTATTTACTGGAGGCATCCGAAATACACCTTGAGCTCATTTCCGACATCTTTTAGTTGTTATCCAGTACCCACGCGGGACTTCCGCGCTTTCCACCCATAGCCACCCGCGGACCACCCAGCTCATCCCCACCATCGATGGGTCTCTGAATGCTACTACAGTCGCTCTGGTGCTGATTCATAGCCCGTGCATAAAAAAAACTGACCTTGGAGCTTGACAATACGTCAATCTTCATTGGAGGCATACACGAACGGTACGAGATTCTATACACCATGTCCCATATTCGCCCAGATACCACCCCGTTGAAAGACCTCACCACCGACAATATCACTGAGAATGTCGTGGCCATCAATTCTTCTTGCCCGGACCCCCGTACTCGCTTCCTCTTCGAGAGGCTTGTCCATCACCTTCATGACTTTGCGCGCGAGACTCGTCTCACGACAGAAGAGTGGATGACAGCCCTACAATTCCTTACCCGGACAGGACAGATTTGCAGCGACACCCGACAAGAGTTCATTCTTCTGTCCGATGTGCTTGGACTATCTCTGTTGGTGGATTCAATTGATCACCCAAAACCGCCCACGTCTACCGAAGGCACTGTTCTCGGTCCCTTCCACGCCCACGGAGCTGAGGAATTGGCCTCGGGTGAGGCCATCTCGCATGATCCCGAGGGAGAGCCACTGTTGGTTCTGTGTTCAGTGAAAGATTCTCAAGGCAACCCACTGCCAGACGTGGAGATTGATATCTGGGAGACAGACTCCAAGGGCTTCTATGACGTGCAATATGCGGATCGTGAAGGATTCGATAACCGAGCTATACTACACAGCGACAAGCAGGGAAAGTTTCATTTCAAAGCCATTGTCCCAGTTTCATATCCCATTCCAGATGATGGGCCTGTAGGGCAGCTTCTCAAAGTCCTCAATCGACACCCCTACCGACCTAGTCATATGCATTTCAAGTTCAACAAGGCTGGTTACGATCCATTGATAACGTGAGTTGTAATTATCCCAACAAAGCAGGGTTTGGCTAACGTAATCAGGGCACTCTATGTTCGTGGAGACCCCTATGAAACCTCCGACGCCGTCTTCGGAGTCAAGGAGTCCCTCATTGTGGATCTGAAGAGGGCATCTGATACACCTGGACTCTCTGAGAGATATGGAGTACTGGAAACCACAAAGGTGCTGACATACGACTTTGTTCTGGTCTCTGAAGCTGAGGTAGATGCGCTGCGGCATGAAAAGGCAACACAATCGGCTGGGAATCTTAGGAATGGTGTTAAGGTAGTTAAAGGCACTCTTTCTTATTAATCCAGTTGAAATTAGGGGCTCACTGAAAAGAAATGAAGAACGGTCTTGTATTTATGCGATGGAAAAGCTCGATATGAGACTTAACAGGCTCAAGGGTCAGATCCATCTTTGCATTTAAACACTCTGATGTCCCTTTCAAAAAGCTTGTCATACTATGATGAAGAGCTGTCATATGAAGCAACCCTGAAACTGTTGAGTTGTGGCCTTGCCAGTGTTCGCTATAAGCAGGTCTACTCACCTTACTGCATGAGTATGTAGTATAACATGATATCTATTTGGATGCATATATGGATCGAGACATAGAATAGACCTAAAGCATTTGACTTGTATTGGTTCTGGGAGCTGATAAAGGGTGACCTATGTCACTGGAGAATGAGCTTGTAGAAATACTGCATTATATGTAATAAACACTACTTCTAGGTTTGTCGAGCCGGTAGATGAACCAGAGTCTTCGTCGGCCAGATACCCTGCTTGCCAGGGGACAGGATTCCATTCGGATCTAGAGCACCCTAATAGAGAATTAACAAAAGCAGTTCATGTGGTGTAAATATGAGGACATACCTTGAGAGTCTCAACAAATCTTCTATAAATGTGACCATTAAATCCATATAAGTTCTGCACCGCATCTGTGAGTTTTTAGTAGCAGTTCCTTACTTCAAAACATCAAAAAGATCTTACCCATATGCTGGACGTGAGCTCTATAATTTGCAAACCCGTTTTTCTCTGCTTCAGTGAGCAAAGCCTTGACTACCTTGCGACCGCCCTCACGCGCCTTCTTGTTGGACTTGTCAAAGACGTACTCCTGAACAAAAAGGATGTACTTTGAGAAAACGTGGCAGCCAATGAATGGGTCGACTCCCTGTTCCTCCATGATCGCCCGAGCCTTGTGGAACCACGTCACAACGGTCTCACCATCACAAGGCAGGATTAGAGTAGTGTCAATGTGAGCGCCTGCACCTGTGCCATCTGCAGGAAGGTTGTACTCTGCAAGTTTGACGGCACCCATTGAGGGAATGCCCGCCGCCAGAGTCCCTATCTCAGTGTTGTCCACAGGTTTGCCGTCCTTGCCCTCGAAGAGAGTGTGCTCAAGCCAGGCGTTGGTGACCCTCTGTGTGACAAGTTCCTCCACCCTGCTCCAACGGGCGAGAACCATCTGTTTGGGCCCATACAGGGATATTGTGCATCTCCAGTATCCTGTGTTGTACTTCTTCTTGAGTGCGGCAATGGACTCCGGCGTGAGGGGGCCTGGCTGACTCTGCTGCTGGTGCTTTGGTGCGTCATGAGAGGCAAAATGGTTGATGTTAGTGATCATGTGATGGCTTTGGGTAATTCCCTCACGATCTAGTTGCTGGAGTGTGTCGATGAGAGGCGCGATGTCCTCAACCTCAGGACAGTGGATCTTGACATCCATGAAAGCTTGGGGTGCCACGTCGAGGCTGACAGCGATCTTTGTGACAACACCCAAGTTGCTCTGTAAGAAAAGCCCATCGATCTGAGGACCGAAGCTGTTGGGGCAGGCATGTGCACTTGGGGAATTGGGCACAGCCCACTGGCCCGTTCGGAGAACCTCTCCTGAAGCCAAAACAATCTCCATGCTTCCCACAAAGTGCTGGCGATCTCCAGAAATGGTATATCCATGGCCACGGTCTAGTGTCTGGAAGCCTGTTAGTAGGAGATACAGCTGTTGAACAGCGAGGATTAACTTGCATTGCCCAAGACACTTCCCCAGCCTAAAGCTGGGACAGAAACCCAAAGATCAAGTTTGTTCTTGGTGATGTGGTTGAAGACATCAAAGAAGGTGACACCAGGTTCCACCACGATGTAAGCCAGCTTCTCGTTGACTTCCAAGATACGGTTCATGCGGTGGAGGGACAGCACCATGGAGCCAGAAACGCGGGGTGCAGGCCCACCATAGCTACCAAGAAGTTAGGGGGATGATAGAATTTGGCACGGGTCCTGTTAAGCTCACCCAAAGTTCTTCCCTTGTGAGCATGTCCAGAGAGGGATCTGGTGTTGGTTTGCTACTTTAAGAATTGCTTGGACCTCTTCGACAGACGCGGGGCTGATGCAATGTTAGTTTGATTGACATGACCCAGGGCTGGAGGCTAAGTCATACCATAGACCTGCGGATGCCTCAAAGCCTTCTTCAAATAGAGGATATGGATCACGGAAGTTGGCCAGACCTTCGTCGGTGATGACGTTCTCAGCACCTACGATGGCCCGGAACTCATTGACCGCACGTTGGAAGCTGGCTTCATTGTGACCTGGAGGAAGGGCTCGTAACCCTGGGCTTCGAGAAGTGAACGCATTGTCGTGATGCGACTGAAGCTCGGGCGATTCATACCACTTGAACATTTGGACTATCTTTTTGTGCTGTTTAAACAAGGTTGGAAGAATATATCAATTGCAGGCAGGTTCAGTCCTTCTTGAAGAACATGGAGGGCGGTCCTAAAGACCTTAGCATAACCAGACTGAAAGAATCCCACCATTATTTGCCTCACAATTCTACAGTAGAGAAGCAAATGGTTCCATCCGGGTGGCACAACCTCGTCGCGTCTCATGTGGTACAATCACCTGACACAGTGTAGTCGAGACCACCGGAATGGTGGGGATTTGATACATACCAAGCACATTTACCCACTCTTGGGCCACATCCACATCGGTTTCCCCCACACAGCAGTGAAGTCATTAGTTGGCTAGCAGACCAGTGGGATCTTGTATTATGAGGAGAATGGAAGTGTTTGCCGGAGAGTCCGGCCAAGATATAAATTCGAGATACTATATCCAAAATTGCTCGAAATTATCCTCTGCACCTGACCATAAGATAGAATAAGAAAAATTCATTGTTTATTCCACCATGGCACACGTCGTTCCAGGAGTCCCAGGCACCCGCTTCCCCAAGCACTATGCCATGAGCAAGTGGAACGAAGACCATCTGCGCTTTGAGGCAGACGCCTATGAGCTCGAGGTCATCGGATCAATCCCCAGCGAGATTCATGGAGTCTTCTACCGCGTCCAGCCAGACCACGCATTCCCACCCATCTTTGCCGAAACTGAGATCCCTCTCAACGGCGACGGCAACGTCAGCTCCTTCACTATCAAGGACGGCCATGTAGACTTCAAGCAGCGCTACGTGCGCACGCCTAAGCTCATCGCAGAGCGTGAGGCCAGGCGTGCCCTCTTTGGCAGATACCGAAACAAGTTCACCGATGATCCTCGAGTGCAGAATGTTCTCAAGGGCACCACGGCCAATACCCATGTTGTATTTCACGACAACAAGCTGATGGCGCTCAAGGAGGATGCTCGTCCCATGGAGCTTGACCCCATCACGCTCGAGACTCTCGGCTACATCGACTACCACGGCACAATGCGTGCCCCCACGCACACTGCGCATCCCAAGGCGGACTCTGCCACGGGGGAGCTTGTGTCCTACTCTTATGAGGCTGCGGGTGAAGCAACCCCAGACATCTGCTCCTTCACCGTTGACAAGGACGGCAAGCTCTCCGAGGAGGTCTGGTTCAAGGCACCGTGGCCCTGCATGATCCACGACTTCTGGGCCACCGATAACTGGGTCGTCTTCCCTATTAACGGTCTCAAGGCCAGCCTAGAGCAGATGAAGGCCGGTGGTGACCACTTCTACTGGGACGAGAACCTCGACTACCAGCTGCTTGGTGTAATTCCTCGCAGAGGCGCCAAGCCTGAGGATGCAAAGTGGTTCAAGACCCCTCAGGGCTGCTACTCGCACACCATCAACGCCTATGAGGAGGATGGCAAGCTGGTGCTCGATGCAAACGTCTGGACCGACGTGCACTTCCCCTTCTTCCCCAACACCAAGGGCGAGAGGTTCTTCACCGATCCCCGCAAGGTCAAGGCACCCATCCTCCGCTACAGATTCGACCCCACGGCCAACACGGACAAGATGATCCACCCCGAGGGTGTGCTCCTCGACGGCGTGAATGAGTTTGGCCGCATAGATGACCGTCTGCTGGGCAAAAAGTATTCGCGCGTGTGGATTCTCAAGATCGATCCCACGCACCCTGTCAAGCTCAACGACCACGAGGATGCCGTTGGAAATGTCGGTTTCAACACCCTGGTCTGCTTCAACTTTGACACAGGAGACCTGCAGTCTTACCGTCACGCAGACGATACCACATTCCAGGAGCCCGTCTTTGTACCCAGACACGAGGGTGCTGACCCTGAGGACGGGTATATCCTCGTCGTGGCTGATCGATATCGCGAAGGTCGCAACGTTGTGCTGCTTTTTGAGGCTTCGGATATCACTAAGGGACCCCTTGCTGAGATCAAGCTTCCTTTCAAATTGATGGATGGCCTGCATGGTAGTTGGGTGGATGGTAAGGATGTGGATGCAGCGAGAGCGGCCAGTGAGGCCCGACGAGCCAATGGAACGAATGGAGTTACAAAGAATTAGTAGCTCATTAACTACCTAGCACTAGCGTATCAGAGTTTATATCGGTTGGACTCGGTTGAATCAGAAAATACTCTAACTCTTCGTCGAGACAACGATCGTCGCTCACTGCACGAAGTGTAGTGCACGTAAAGTTGCTTATGTGACTGTGTAACTCTTCTTCGCCAGACTCAGATGTGCTTGGCCATTTGGCCAATGCAGGCTGGAAGAGTAAATGCACGTTATTTGAACTACAACGCGGATTCTTAAACTATCATTCTGCTCGTGTCTCTACGCATCTAGAGCCCCGTTTATAGACGTGAACGTAGACCTTGGGATTGCCTTCATTCGGCACAATATCTGCGGTATCTATCACTACAGCACGTCGGCATGCCACATAAATCGCGCGGTGAGGTAAAATGCTGTATTAGAGACAACTCTCCATGGATCGACTATCTATAGCATCGCTTCCTAGTCTAAAACACACCGCTTCCTCCGCTGATGGGTATAAACGCCCCGTTAATCCAGCTCGCCTTGTCTTCAGAAAGAGTCGCAACCGCCCAAGCAACCTCCTCAGGTGTACCGACACGAGGAGCTACAGGCGTGGCATCGATCACGGGCTGCAACGCCTCCCTCACAAAGCTGGGTGCCGCGTTGAATGCGTCTGTCCCAATGGGGCCCGGGCCGAAGGCGTTGACAGTGCATCCGTATTTACGGGGCAGCTCTGTCGCCCAGCACCGGGTGTAGACCTCAACGACGCCCTTGGTGCCCGCATAGATGCTCGAATCTGGGGCGGGGCAGCGGGAAATAGAGCTGCCAATGTTGATGATGCGCGAGTTCTTGCGTGACAGATGCTTGAGAACGGCACGGGTAAGGAAAAACGTTCCCCTCGCGTTGAGGTTGAAGACGTCATGCCACGTCTTGTTGACCTTCTCATCATCAGGATCGTCAAGAGGTACAGGGCGGTTGATGCCGGCGCTGTTGACCAGGATGTCAATCTGGCCAAAGGCCTTGGCCGCCGCGTCAGCAAGGGTCTGCGGCCCCTCAGGCGTTGACAGGTCGGCTTCTACAGCGACTGCTCTTCCTTTTGCATTGAGTTCCTCGAGGACCTTCTCTGCATTGGCTTTCTCGCTGGCGTTGGGATAATTGATCACCACCGACGCCCCTCGGCTAAACAGCTCGCGTGCGATGGCGGCGCCTAATCCCGACGAAGACCCGCTGATCAGAGCGACTTTACCGGAGAGTGATGAGGACATTCTGTTGAGGTGGGCTTTGTTCTATCAAGATAGTAAGAGTAGGTAGTCTTGAGAAGTGTGAAGGTGTGGATGAATGGGTCTGTCACTGTTACTAGATACCCATCAAGGCGCCGTTGTGATCCTCATCTTATATAGACAGACGCGATTGAGATCCGTCGACGGCCCCGTCATAAACAGGTGGGATAAAACCAGGCGTAGGAAGTAACTCGGGACAGTGACACTGGGGTATGTTACACCACCGTAGTCAAACTGCTGGCCACCCACCTGGGTAGGGTGGGGAGGTTAGAGCCACCGTGTCCCATTGGCTCTCTATAAAGACAAAGCAAGCACAACGAAGCATGTGATTTCGATCATGTTAGCTGCTTGGAAAACAACCAAGAATTCAATCACAAATATTCCTGCCCTCAACATGCCCTTGAACATCGTTATCATCGGAGCTGGGCTGGGTGGACTCGCTGCCGCCTTGTCTATTAAGAAGGAGACGCCAACCCATGATGTTTTCGTCGTGGAATCTGCTCCTGTTTTGGCCGAGGTAAGAATTTCGAAACTCGTCTTCGTTGACATGGCCCGCTTACAGCTTCATGATGTAGATTGGTGCAGGTCTCCAACTCACCCCGAATGCTACACGACTGCTCCTTAGGTGGGGTTTGAAGCCCAGCCTAGAGAATCTGGCGAGTAGTCCCGAAGAATTCCTCGTTCGTCGGTTTGACGGGCGCAAGGTTCTTGGTAACCGCCAAAACTTTGCCGCTGAGATGCTCGACAAGTATAACTCACACTATTGGGACATGCACCGAGCTGACCTACAACTCGCCATGTTCGAGCGGGCCAAGAGCCTTGGCGTCCGCTTCAAGTTCGGTACCTTGGTGAGGGACGTGGATCTCAGCATACCTCAATTGACGACAGATAGGGATGAGAAGATCACGGGAGATCTAGTGATTGCTGCGGATGGTGAACAAGGCCTCTCCCCTCCTCTAGTGTGATCAGTTGCTGACACGTAGCAGGACTCTGGTCCAAGACTCGATCCACGGTTCTTGGTAGACCCAGTCCCCCTATCGCCACGGGAGACCTTGCATACCGTATCGTTCTGAAGGCGGAGAACATTAAGGATCCCGAGTTGCTTGACTTCATCAAGAAGCCACGCGTTTGCTTGTGGGTTGGCCCGGAATGCCATGCCATCTACTACCCACTCAGGAACAATACGATGGCAAACATTGTCCTGCTGGTTCCGGATAATCTGCCAGACAATGTGGCCAAGATGGCTGGTGACCTTTCTGAGATGCGAGAGATCTTCCACGACTGGGACCCGCTGTAAGTTTTGACTGCTGGCTTCGCCTGGCATCCAAAGCAGCCCGCTAACTGATGGTATCAGACTACAAAAGTTTCTATCTCAAGTGGAAAAGATAGAGAAATGGAAGCTTATGCATCGTGAGTACCATCAAGCCTAGGCTGTAGAGGGCCTCTAACAACCTATAGTGGATGAACTGGAGCGCTGGTACAATGACGAGGCCACCGTCGCATTCCTGGGCGATGCTTGCCATCCCATGCTTCCCTACATGGCGCAAGGAGCTGGCTCCGCGATTGAAGACGGTGCTGCATTGGGCATCATTCTCTCCAAGGTCAACAGCAGACAAGAACTTCCCGATGCTCTGAAAGCGTATCAGGATCTGAGAGTCCCTCGTAGCACCGCGCTGCAAAAATGGAGCATGAAGCAGGTACGTCTAGTATTTGGCAAAGGCTTCGATTGCAAGATGGGGGATCAGTGTATGATATTAACTTTTGGCGCAGAGACATACCAACCATTTGTGCGACGGACCGGAGCAAGAAGCGAGGGACCATCTCGCTGAATCGCAACTTTATAATCAGCAACCTGGATACCCATTCTACTGGTTGGTGCCGCCTGCGTCATCAATGCTCTGGGATCTGTCGCTGACATTGTTCATAGGATTGATCCGGCCGCACAAGATTTTGTGTATGGGTATGATGTTGTGGCTGAGGTGAGTGAATCCTGAAACCCCTGTTGGACATCTCTCGTGCTTTGTTTCCATACTCATATACGCCTGGGATAGCTGGACAAGATCGGCATCAAGACTACAGCATCAGTTAGTGGTTAGAGAAGCCGAGCAGTTTATCAATCAAGACACAAGAGGAATTTGGGGACTGTCCAGCGCATTCTTTACATTAAATATGAGAAATTCGATGGAGATTGTTTGTCGGGTGGTTTATCGTCGTACATATTACTGATATGCTAAGTTATTGAACTCCATGCCTTTGAGACCGCTGTATGGGTAAATTTAGTATAAACTCTGTGTCTCTTGATGTGTTCATATAGTAACAACAGATTCTACGACTGAAGGTTCTCTTGGGTCTCAAGAGCATCTTGTCAAGTGCACAGCGCCTCTTTCAACTTCAGACCTTGTACCTAGCTTACGCGAAACCAATCAGTGATCTTCCTCAGCAACATCAAATATTTTATACCGTAAACAAACCCAGCTTTCCAAGATTCCGATGTAGCTCAAGGTTGCACAACCCCATGGCAGCGCAGCACCACATCCTTCAACTCTACGTATTGGTTTCAGTGTAGCCCTATCTCCCCCCAACGGTGATAGTTTCACTAATTATCATACACAGGTAAATTGTTCTCTGCCGTTTATAAAGTCAAAAGGGCTTATGTGGCTACTCCAATTTCAGTGAATGGGCATAGCTTAGGGCCGGGGTGGCGGGTGGTAACGCTTGCGTTTTCACCCACCTCACTCAACAACAAACGGGTGGCAACCGACTCAGGTGGGTGCCCGAGTTTCCCGGTTCCACTTGCACGGCTATCTGCAACTAGACATGTTGGTTCTAGCTTTAAATAATTCGACTCTTTGACAACTTTAGTGACACATTCTTCCTCATCATTTCGCGTACAACACAATCATCATGGCTTCAGTTCCAAACACTCTGTCTCAGGGCTCTGAGGGCTACGACCAGCTTCGTCGCAAGTTCTTCAACACGCGAGTCCCTGATGTCCACCCAACCGAGATAGCTAGTCCAACCACCACATCAGAGGTTGTGGCCGCCGTCAAGAGGGCGCGGGAACATGACTGGAAGATTGGCATTCGTTCCGGTGGCCACTTGTTCTTCTGTAACGCACTGCTCGAGGGTGGTCTCCTTATCGACACGCGTAATCTGAACCGAGATATTGAATACGACCCTGCGACCAACATAGCTGCCATCAGCCCTGGTCATAGGGTTGAAGATGTGACCAAGTTCCTCGAACCCCGTGGTAGGTTCTTCCCGACTGGCCATTCCAGATCTGTCGCTGTTGGCGGCTTCTTGCTTGCTGGTGGCCAGGGATGCTTCCTACGCGGGTGGGGTTACACCGCCCCTACCTGGGTGACGCAGCTGGAAGTCGTCACCTCAGAGGGCAAGACAGTCATTGCTAGTAAGACCCAGAATTCCGACCTGTTCTGGGCAGCACCAGGCAGCGGACAAGGCTTCTTTGGAGTCATCACCAGAATTTGGGTCAAGACGATTCCGACGAGAAAGCTCTTCGATATTACCATGATCGTTGATTCCACTGATATCTTCAAGCCTCTCCTCAAGTGGACACTCGCAATGTCCAGCAAAGTCCCCAAGTACGGCGTGGATCTGTTCTACGCAACATTTTACGCTGACAAGGACGACCCCAATGGTGGCCATGAGTCAGCCGCAAAGCGCGTCTTTCTTGCTATCAACTTGACCATCTTTGCTGATTCTCTGGATGAGGCCAAGGTATTGGCCAGTCCGCTAGACTCCTTCCCTGAGGAATTTGAGAAGCACATTGTTACTACAGTTCCATTGATGGAAAGGACCTGGGAAGAGCTCTGGGGCCTTCAGGAAAGCTTTCAGCCTCAGGGAAACGGCGAAAGATGGAATGTCGACAGCATTCTTGTCGATCCCAAAGCTTCTGACGACGAGGCAAGTTGCTCAGTATTGCTTCGTTATTAAGTGCTAACAATGGTGCCTTCAGGTTATTGATGCAATCACCCCGGCCTTGTTCAACTTGCCCTCCCGTCTGTCCTCAGGCACATTGTGCCCCATAGACTATTACCCCAATGAGGTGGATCAGGCTCTGAGTCTACCTCAGAAGACTTATGTCTCCACCATGCTCTGCTGGAAAGATCCCAAGGAGGACGCAGCTATGGATAGATGGTTGCTCGACGCATATACCAAGGCAGATAAGGTATCGTGCGGTGTATACGTCGCCGATTTTAACGAGAAGCACAGGAAGCCGAAGGTGAGCCTGGCCAAGACTTCTAGTCTTACAATTGATACTGACTGGTAGAACAGGTCATGACAGACTCTGCGCTGAAGAAGTGGCTTGAGATAAGGGACAAATGGGATCCCTCCGAGACTTTCATTGGTCATCGTGGGTTCAGTAGTGTTTTGGATAAGAGCGCGGGTGATGGTAGCAAGCTATAGATAATACAGCGGGTACAATTTGGGTCAGATTAACATGGTTATCTTGTCTTTCAATTACTTTGCTGTGGCAAATAGCAAATCTCACTCACGGTCCAGAAGTGTGACCCAATTCGCCACGTTCACACACCCACATATACCTGTGATAAATATTGAACCATAGCGACTGACAGCCCTTTTGAATATAAGGCAGTTGCCTCCAAGTCAATACTCAACGTGCATGTCCACGTTAAGAGCTAGAAGAGATGCTCATTACTCCAAATATCCTAATAATAGCCAGATTGGAAGGCACTTGCCTGCTACGACTGTTCAAGCAACTAGTGGCGTGCTTAATGTATGGGAGTGGAGGAGGGGCGGCAGTCGAGCATAAACACAAATTCTACGAATTCCAATGCTCAAGAAACAAAGTCTCTCACACTTATATTGGGTGGCACTTCAGATTAAATAGAATAGTCGATAATACAACTAGAGATCAAATGCCATTGTCTAAACTGGTGTGCAAAGTTTGAAAAAGGAAGATAGGACCTTCCACCTCAAAGCGAGCCAACGACTACCAGTTTGGGTATTCTATGGATGGTTGGAGTGAAGCTGGCCTTTTTTGAGTTCATAGTTGGGAAGCTCATCCGGCTGCCAGTGAACGATTCCCATCCATTCGCCCGAAAGAGGGCCTCTCAAATCATCTTCCAGGGTGGTTTTGGGCAGATCAAGTTTCTCATTCCATATTCCCAGCGGGCGGAAATCGCCGATTGCCTCGCCATCTGGGCTGTAATCGAAGAGAATGGCCTGGACCTGGTAACCCAGGCCCCAGTTCAAGCCTTTTTTGACATCTGCCAAGGCCTTTGGCATGACTTCCTTCGAGGTGACGTTCTCGATCTGCCACTTTTGGCCTGTTAACTTCTCCACCACGGCCAGGATCTCGTTCTGCGTAACTGTGTAAGATGCAACGTGAATGTACGTGTTCTTTGCCTCCTCCATGCGCTCTGGGTTGGTGATGAGCGAATAGAGAGCCTGGGCAGCTAGGTTACGGGGACCCGTGGACATTGGAACGTTGCCACCATTGTACATACGTACCTTCTGTTCCTTCATGTCAAATCCTAGAAGTCCGTCGATAACGCACTGTGAATTTGGGTCAGCTTCCGAGTCTGAGATTCGGTTTTGGAGACTCACGTGGTCGACCCAGGGATTACACAAGATTGCAGTCCAGCTCATCATATCCTGAGTTGTCTCTAGGTGTTGGACAATAGATCTTTTCTTGGTAGCGAGCAACATGTTTTCAGCAAAAGCTGGGTAGTAGGTCCTGACTCCGTACTCAGAAGGGAAGAAGCGCTTAACGCCTGCCTTGACGGCTGCATCGATGACAGTCTCATGGTCGACGGTGGACTCTGGTGGGAGAAGCATGATGACAACATCTTGTCCTCGCAAACTTTTAACAAGTGACTCAAAGCTGTAGTCTGTGGCGATGACATTCAAGCCAGGACGAAATTTGGCACCGGAATCTTTCCTCGTTAAGACGGACACGTGCAGTGGCGAGTCTTTTTGAGACAGAAAATGGTCTTGGATATTAACTCCAAGGTTACCACTGGCCTATCAATGCGTTAATATCATGAATCGAGATGTGCTACCCATATTCATACGTACGCCAATCAGTACAACGTTCTTGTGCAGGGCTTCCATATTTGCTGAGTGACGAGTAGTAGTGGACAGTCGCGCATAAAGTTTTGACGAGAATGAGCGACCAAGGATACCTTTAGATTGAATCGAAGACGGGCAGGTCGATTATATCTTATTTCTATCAGACAAGATTTGTAACTACAAATTGAACTGCAGGAGTATGTTTCCAGCTCGTAGTCTTTTTACCCCGCGCTTGTGCCACCGAGCGGGTGGCTCCAGCATTTCGATACCCTCACGTAAGCCTTTCCATGAGACCAAAGTCTGGACCGTGTTAACTAACCCTAAACGGGAATAACCAACGACTCTTTGTATAGGATGTGACTAGCTCTGAGGAAGGTTTTGCCTACGCTTGCCCTGGCAAAGTACAAGAACCCAGATTAACTTGCGGGACCCCGCCTTTACATTCCACTACTTACTCCGCGTCTCCAGGTTTTCTCTCAGCCGAGGGATAAGATGATACCCCACCACGAAACTTCCCACTCTCGATAAGTGGAGAGTTGACGTTTGTAGCACATGCCAGTTGAAACAAACATCTTATTACCCCATCTCATACCTAACCGTATATTCATCGAAAATGTGGAAAGGCTATAGAAATGGACTGCTTTATTATCCAGTGTACTAATTGGTTCCTTAGAGTCGAGAGCGTATAGAGTGCCCACAGGTTTTATATTATATACACTCAACCATGCAAGTACTGGCCTCTCATTCAAACATCTAAGAGTACAGAGACGTCATTCGCAAAATTACTGAATCGATAAGCGGATGGAATCGTGAGACAACGCGAGTGGGAGCGGTCATTAGGCAAATGTCTGTCTGTGGAAGAGCTTCTTCCCCTAACTACTGATTCCGCCACTTCATTGACCTCCAGCTCAAGCAACAGAGTTTCCATGCTTGATATTTTCAGGATGAACCTGTTGAATAACGTCCCAGTGCTCCACAACCTTGCCGTTCTTCCATTTGTACAGGTCAAAGACATGCTCGCCTGAGTCGCCTGGCCAGCGCTCGGAGAAAATCTGTGCCACAATATAATCTCCATCAACAAGAACCCTCTTGAACTGCATGTTGAAATGCGGCTCCCCGGGCCCCGTCCAGTGCTTTGCCGCAATAGACTTGAGAATCTTAGATGCTTCAATGATGGATTCGCGTCCGTCAGCCACCAGCTGGCTATGTTGTTTGTAGTTTTCATCTACAAGCTCAAACGTTCTATTGTAGTCGTAATATTTGAAAGTCGCTAGATGCAATTCGATAACCGCTTTGGCCATGATTGCTTGGTCTTGGGTGTGAGGAGGTTGGTCAGTGAGTCCGGCGTAGATCCTTTCGACTTCGGCAGTGTAGGCACCCATCTTTTAGCCGTTGAAAGATAATGCTTCGACTTTTATAATAATGTATTCAAGAAGGAAAAAAGGTTGACTTTCATAAAGCTTCAATACAGCCAGGAGATCAAGATGGGCTTGGTTAGCTCTTGAGGCCGGTCGGCTGGTGAGTGCTCTATTTAGTGCCTTTAGTCCTGTCAATCTTCTCAGTGGGGAGACCACTGATTTAATCTCCCAGTCGGTGGTGGTACTATAATTTGTTGCTGTGCTTTCAGGATAACATAATTGAGTGGGAGTGGGAACTTGGTGGGGAGGTTTTCAAGTATCGACCATCCGCGTGTGTTGGTGGGGAGAGGTATCAAACGACCATAGAGCTACCAGAATATTAGAGGCAATGGTACTAGGCAACATATCCACGACAGTGGGGACCACACATGGTACTCGTCGTATTTGACACCTTCTCTTTTTTTGAAGCGAGACACCATAGCTCGTATGAATCATTGTGGGCAGTGGAACTGAGGAATAACCCCACCGATAGTCGGGGGAATCATGCCTCCCGAGAGTGCGCCTTGGCTTTGCTCTTGTCAACAATCTGTTACCGTACATATGTTAAAATAGCGCAGAATTACCCCAGATCTGAATAATATTCAGTCCATACCGAGTTATTCTCGCCACTTCATCCAACAACGATGGCCCTACTACGAGATTTAGAAGATTCGCCCATCACACAGGCTATCCTGTTACAACTTCAGCATGTGGGCCTCAAAAAGCTTGCCGTTGGCTTCTTCCTGGCTCCAGCTAGTCTGGTGTTCGCTTATTATCTGGCGGCATTGTTTTATAGTCTCTTCTTCTCGCCTCTCAGGAAGATCCCTGGTCCGTTCTTGGCTCGTGTGACGCGCTGGTGGGAGTACCAAGTGGTCAAAAATGGCAAATCCAACCTAGAATTTATCCGCCTGCATAGGCAGTACGGTTCGTATTGTTAACATTTATTACACCTCAAGCCTTAGTCCAATTAATTAATAGTGCTTCCCCAGGCCCAGTTGTCCGAGTAGGACCAAATCGATACAGTCTCAGCCAACCCAAAGACGTCAAGAAAATCTACGAATTAGGAGGCAAATACATCAAGACCGAGTACTACAATCCACTTCTCAGTCCTGTCGTCGAGGAGCAGAACATATTCGCCATTCAAGACAATAACCTACACAAGGAAAGGCGCAGAAAGATCTCACCAATGTATACTATGTCATCCATGGTATCATATGAACCCGCCGTCAATGAGATGACAAGTATCTGCATTGACAAACTATACCAGTTTGCCGATGAAGGGCGTCTAGTTGATATACCACATTTTGTGCAATACTACGCCTTTGATGTCATTGGGGCCATCACTGTGAGATTCCTTGCACGACCCTCGCATCCCGATTAACTAGCTAATGCCATCTAGTTCAACAAGAGCTTTGATATGATGAAGAACGAAGCCGATAAAACCGGAATGATTGAAGGTATTCGAGGAGGTAACGACTTTCTGGCCTTCTGGGGAATCGTCCCAAGCATGGTCCCATGGGTCATTGGTATCACCAAGGCACTAGGTCTTGATACGAAAACCTCGATCCTTCTTAGCTACACTCTTAAACAGATTAACGATCACCGCAATATGAACGCCAAACCGACTATCAAGGATACAAAAACGTATGACACATTCTTGAAGAAGGTGCTTGACCTCGAAAAAGAAGGTCGCCTCAAGCAGCCCAACCTTCTTGACGCATGCGGCAGCAACATCGGAGCCGGCTCAGACACGACCGCCGTCACGCTGAGCTCTGCTCTGTATTATCTCTATATGAATCCCGACAAGCTGGAGAAGCTGCGACATGAGATTGACCAGAAGGCCAGGCAAGGGACTATTTCGGACCCGCTCACCTTCCAAGAGGCACAAGGTATGCCGTATCTGCAGGCCGTCATCAAGGAAACACTGCGTATTCACCCAGCCGTCGGTACCATCCTGCCCCGTGTCGTACCTCAGGGTGGCATGGAACTATCAGGGATCTACTTCCCTGAAGGAGTATGTGATTTCCGGCCTTCTTATGTACTTCTGCTAATGAAGCATTTAGACCGAGGTTGGTGTTAACGCATGGGTCTTGCACTACGATGAGAAGATCTACGGCCCAGATCCCAAAGTTTTCAGGCCTGAACGATGGCTTGAAGGTGAAAAAACGAGCATAATGGACTCGATGATGTTTGCAGTATGTATACCCACGAAAAAAAGGATACATAATATGAAGACTAAGATTCATGGCAGTTTGGAGCTGGTGCCCGAACCTGTATCGGCAGGAACATCAGCTTGCTTGAACTCACCAAGGTGGTGCCACAGATTGTCCGAAAATTTGATATGGTGATTGAGGATGCAGACAAGCCCTTGGACACCTTTTGTGCCTGGTTCGTGTATCCTTCCTACAACGGCCGATTCAAGGTGCGAGAGACAAAGGCATCGACTTGATAAACTATGTCAAGTCAATCATCAGATAGTTATGATATTCATTTTGCCCCTATATAGGGCCAGATTAGATATCCATGTATACCACTTCACTCATGCAAGTATAGTGGCATTGAGAAATCTGGTAATAACGCCCGCGTCTGAAGTTCCCGGCTAACCCCGAAGTGTTTTTCCTTTCTCGGTGTTAATATACCAGGGCTTAGCTACTGTTCAAGGGATATTATACATGCGTGACTATAATATAGTCGTGTTCTTTATAGAAGCCAAACTAGCCGTGCCCTTGCTTTCGCGTTGGAGCTTAGTTATGCAAGCTGACAGGTTAATTGAATGGAAATATATTGCTGTTATATCAATACAATAAAGCTCTTCTTTCGCTGTAACGGAGCAGACACAGCCAAGGGTTTCCTTGAGAATTGCATCTTGATATCGTCATTGTACTCCTCCTTCCAGAGACTACGGGACGTGGCACCCAGATTTAACTAGTAGCTATTATCTCCTGCAGAGATTGTCCGAAGTCAACCTACTCGGTAAAGAGTCTAGCCCATGTCCTACATAGTCAGCTGCGATGAGGATCAGATGACAGCGCTAGCGTGGAAATGTGGCGGTAACCATGGCGTTCCAGACAAACTTGGCTGAATCCGCACGAGCTGATACGATGAATGAGCATCCCCACACACTCATGACAACCAGACACTCATAACAGTGTTCCACCCTTTTACCCACCTGTTTAATATACACCGCAACCCCACTGGCACGATTTCCATCCAGATGATTACCACCGGCGCTGATAGCCCTCATTGGCTGTGGCCAGCGCCCCAGGACTAGTGACACTTTGCGGGGAAGTCTGGAGAAGTTCGGGACGAACGGGTTATAATAAAGAGATGGTGGTTTTAGGCCCAAACTCTCAGCTTTAACTTTTTGCTACCTCGACAGTTTCCGACATTAAAAAACACCACTTCTATAATTCACTCAGAAGCATGGCTATCTCTACAGATCTCCGTATTGGAACCAAATCGATTCGGACCAAGGCCGACTTTGAAGACTACGTTCGTCACTTCAACCGTGACGACAAGGCTGAGTATACAGCTTACTACGCTAAAGATGCTCTGGTGAGTGAAGCATCCTATTATTGTCTAACTTTTTGTCTCACCCTTTCATCAATAGTTCAGGTTCAGTGGTTTCCCCGACAGGAATCTTGATGAGTTCATGGCCTGGGCCGATCAGATTCATGCTGGTATGCGTGAAACCCTCAACGTAGAGAGGATAGTCTTTAGCCCGGATGTTGTCGTTGCCGAGTTGCACACGCAGTTTCGAGGCATCAATGGCTATGAAACCGACAACCTGGCCGGTAGATGGGGCCCAGTCTGGGAGGGAAATGGCCCTCTTGTCAAGATGTTCGTCTGGTATTATCTTGACAAAGATGGTCATATCCGCCTGCTGACTGAGGACGCTTATGTCATGAAGGAGGCCTCGAGGGACGTTATTCGCTCCCAAGATGACATGAACAAATATCTTGATGCCTTCAACGCCAACGACTTTGATATCTTCCCGCGTTATTACACACAGGATGTTGTTATCTCTCTAGATAGCAAGCAGACCCTTGAAGGCAAAGATGAGGTCGTCAGCTTCTTTCGCAATGCGCGCAACAATATACTCGAGGAGGTTGATATTCAATCTATTGCCCTTAGCCCGAATGCAGTTGCCATCAAGTCCAACATCAAATTCACTGCTCTTGCGAATATAGAGGTACGACCCTTGACTGCCTTCTTAAGCTAAACTGAAACTGACCTCAAGGAACAGGATATCTTACAGTTCGGCTCGGGAGTAAGAGAGGGGGGAGGTTACGAGGCCCAGTTCCTGATTTATTACGAGCTGAACCCTGAAGGAAAGATTCACAGAATCACTGCCGCCCATTCCGCACCTGTTAAGATTTTTAATCCTTGGAAGCAGTCTTAAGCACCATGTAATAATGCACAGTGTTAAATAGCTTGAATATTTCACTAAGATAATCACGACTGATCCCAGCATATTTGTATCATTGTATAACATCCTCTTGATCGCACCTGCCTCTAAGTAATAATCCGATTTCACCAAACCGCGTTACCTCGTGTACTAAACCCGTTTATGAGTTGTTAGTGAGAATTACCCTGAATCCACTAAAGCGTTAGAACCATGACGATGAGCTTCTCAGACTAGATGACGCTTGAAGGTTAAAAGCCGTCTTAGGCTCGGAAGGATACGGAAGGGAAAGAGAATAAAGTTCAACAGCAATGGAAGCTGTCAGAGCCCGACAGCTCAACACAATGAATAAGCTCGGAAGCATTGAGTGTTATCTAGTTCCAATGTGCCTGTGAAGTCAGCAATTAGATAAGTTCCAAGTCTAAAAGAACTCTTCAAATTGGTTTCACCCGCTTCGTAGAACCAATTATAATAACCTTCCCAGCTTTATTGCCGATGTCGACTGCATAGATGACCACCAAACTAATGTGAAAAGACCAGTCGCTATTGGACGCCTTGAACGGCGAGGTCTCCAATCGAAAAAGGTATCAACAACCCCTATTTGGCGCATAACTGCCGATAATAAGCCGCAACAAAGGGATTAACATCATAAGACCAGAAATCGTGCGAGCTCAACGGAATGGACGATTTGAACACATGGGCTAGGGAATCTTTGAATCGGCGAGTAGCACAACCGTCCCACTCAACTGCAGCCATCATGGGCTCAGCAATCCACCATTCTTCCAGTGGAGTACAAATGGGTTGGAGGTTGTCCATAGGGGGGTTTTATCGATGCGTACACCATCAGTACTAGACGGTACTTAGCTTACCGCATCTCCGACAGTCAAAACAAGGATTGAAAAATACTCGTACAGGTGCTCATCCACCTGTTGTTCTTTCAAGGTGGTTGTAGTCCTTGTTCATACTGACGATCGCGCATATGCCGGAGGCGATAGGGAAAGGCCTTAGCCGATAGCCTTTCCCACCGAGGACTGTCATCTTCTCCATGTGCCACCTATCCGCATTGATCCACCCGTTATAATACATGATCTAGCCGTAGCTGATGAGTTGATGACCCCAAGACTCGTCAGTGGCTCTGGACGGTTAAGTTCTTTCTGCCCAGCAAAATAGTCAATCTACATAGCCTGCCGTCGGGGTCAAGACCCGATGCCGCTGTTCGCAACAATGGACCAGACGATTTAGCACTCGAGAGGTTCAAATTACGCGAGCTAGCTGAAGGTTGGCCCGCATACAGGTAATGTAGTTTCGATACCCCTGCTGGGCGTATAAGAACGGGAAACAAGGTTGATAGTCTACTTCCAGGGACTCCTGTGAATGGGAGAATTTCGCATCAATCTTCCATTCCGGAGCACATGTTTACACGACTTGGTCTGGCCGTGTCGCATACGAGGATTCATCACTGCGTCTCAAACTGGCATGGATAAAGGAGCTTTTATTATCCATCGTTGCCATGGAGCGAGCACAGACATCAACATCGAAGCCACGCGAGCAGTGATCAAGCTTAAGGCAACCATCACACAGCGTGTTAAGGTAGATGATGTAGAGTTCGATGTGGAAGCAGACTGTCGGTTCTGCTTTTACTTCGAAAAGGTTGATGGAAAATGGGGTGCCCGGCTTGTGAGGCATTGGTATGAGAAGGACAAGATGATCCTTAACCACCCCACCAAGGGCCTCCAGCTTGAAATGGATGAGGACAAGCTGAACAACTACCCTGCAGGGTATAAGTATCTCTCATACTGGCAGGAAATCACCATGGGTGTCCGAGTACTAACGGACATGCCCGGGCATAGACGGCGTATCGACACATTGAATCTCAAGAAGCATGATGAGCTGTACTAGCTAGCAAAGCGCTGGATGGAAGGGGAGCATATTGAGGTCTAGCCTTATTTAACAAGAGAGAGAGCGGCAACGCGATACTAGGAACAAGATATCCAAGTACAGATGCATGTACTGCGTGATTCGCACAGGAGTGTGGCACAGTGTTCTGGGCCTAGAATCTTGTAGTTCTAGATTGTATTATTCTCCTTGCCACAAGTCACAGTAGTACAAACATTTTATGGAAGCTACTGCATGTTTTCCTGTCAGAAACGGTCTAGTAAAGCGAGGTGTACTGCACAGATTTGACCTGAATGTCAAGATGCCCGTTGATCGTACACTTGGAACTCATCCCCACCCTTAAGGGAACCGCTCGTTCACCATACACTTTGGGCCCATCCCCACCCTAAGGGAGGTGCACTCCACCCAGAGGTCTATTTACAGACTTCTAAAGTAGGAAAGGTGGTTAGGCTATTGCTATCGATAGGTCACTCAAGATATCGACTGAATTGATGGGTACCGTGGTGCTTTTGTTGCCCTGTTTGAACAATGTGTAATGAGGAGGCGCCCTACGTGGAAACCTTTGGTCCAATTTTGAATGTTCCGTAAGACCTTGACTGTGGGCGATTGGTGCTTGCTTGATTGCTACTATAAAGCAGCTCACAGAAAATTCTAGGGTGGGTTGCTTGGAGGTGCCAATGTAAACGTAACGAATTATAACAGGCTTTCCAGCGGTAAGAGTATTATTATTAATTCTCGAGTAACTTTGTACAGTTATCGACCATTCTTGATTGACAATTTGCGTAAGTTAAATTATAGGATTGGGGCTGAAGCTAAGCACCTGGAGTTCGTGCCGAGACCCAATGTTGCCATTGGTTTCAATTTCCGCCCACGCCAAACGGAAACAAGACCATTGGTACCATTCCCCCCTTTACAGCACCTTCTTCGTAGCTCAAGTTCGATCCTCTCCTCAAATCTTATGTGGCGTAATCTTGTCAAGGTCTCCATTATCGTTATTCTGCGCCCCAAGCGCCTCACCAATCTCCTTGCCGTCGAGGGTTTGTGCTAATTCATCTTCAACTGGAGCATCCACGTGCATGTTGAAGCTGCTGCGGGGATCCTTGACAAAAAGAGCGAGGATCAATCCAAGGGCTGACACTGCTGCGGCCGTACTCCAGGTACCGCGGAAAGCCATGTAATAGGCCGACCTTAAACCGACTACTCCCGCGGAGATGATCTCAGGAGTAATGCCTAGAATACTCGCCAGCGTCTTTTGATCGTTATTGGCAAGGGCACTAATAAATTCTGGCAGGTCTTCGGCTGATAGACCAAGAGGGAGAACTCTTTGGGCTATCTCATTGGCAAGGTGCTCTGTCAAGATGGAATTGAGAATGGCTGTGTAGACGGGAAGGGCCACCGAACCCCCTAGAGATCTTGAAGTCAAGATCAAACCGCTGGTAGTAGCAATCAAGCCGGGCGGTGTGCTTATTTGACCAGTCGTAACGGCAATAACAAGGCCAAACCCAAGACCAAGACCCGCCAAGACCGTATAGCCCCAGATTGCGTCTGACTGACTGGGCTTGAGAGTAGCCATGCAAGCTTGGGAGAGATTGCGATTAGCTATAGTTTCATAGTTAGTTTAACGGGGAATCTTACCAAAATAAGCCACAAACAGCACCATCCCAAGTGTTAAAGGCGGCCGAACTCTCTTTGACTGTGTAGAATAAATGCCGCCAACTATCGACGCTACAGTACCAGCGATGAAGATGATCGACATCAGAACGCCAACCTTGAAAAGGTCGCTGTCAAAGTAGATGGAGTATACAAGTGGCAGAAAGTTATTGGCGGCATAAAATGCGAATCCTTCAACGAAGATGAAGACCAGGGCAAGCGGGAAGTTGCGGCCTGTTCGAAAGAGACCATGGTGACAAAATCCGTCCTTTTTCTTGATCTCCCAGATGGCTGTGAAAGTGATAAACACCAAACCGACGATAAAAGTGCTCAGGACCTGAGCGCTCTTCCAAGAGTAGGGGTTATTCGCCCAGGTCAATCCTACGCTGAACATGATCATTCCGATAGAGAACAGGATATAACCAATCCAATCAAGAGCACTGACCTTCTCTTTCCAAGTAAGGGATACCTCCAATCGTCTTTTAGGCGGGTTGAAAAGGAAGAGAATGGCGAGAAAGCTGACGATGAACAAGCCTGCGCCAACATACCAGACGATTCGAAAGCCTTCATCGTCTTTCTTGATGAGGCCGAAGCCTAGTAGCAGTGTAAATAAACCACCAATTGAGTTTGATATATTCACGCCAGCTTGGGCAGCTGGTCGATACTGTCGTGGCATGATCTCTGACGCAACCGCATAGAGCAGTGAGGTCGATCCCGATCCCACCCCAACGATCAAGGATCCAGCGATGGCCATAGTCATAGACGAAGCCCGGCTGATCAAAATGGATCCAACGATACAGAGAGCGGTGCAGATAAGGATAGGCATTCTGCGGCCCCAAAAATCCGAGGACTGCGCAATCGGAGCAGCCGTGAATGTGACACAGATAATCAGGCCTTGGGGTACCCAGATGTACTTGTCATGTCCACCCAAAACATTTGCCATATTTCTGGAGAACTGTAATGTCTATCAGTAGTTGAGACAGTTTCGGCCTAGATGGAAGACTTACCGCACCAGTTGCAACAATCGCAAGGACTTGTGCAAGACAAGCAAGAAGAATAGACTAGATGAATAGTCAGTCTCTTTGCTTTACTCTACTGCTTATGATATTCGGTGGATATTTTGTATAACGAGCTCATACCAGATATACAATGACACATTTCAATGTAAGACCTTGATAATTCTCAGCCTCGTCTACAGTGAGGAGTTCAACCTCGACTGCGTTGGGCAGCTCGTCGGTAGTCTTGTCGTGTTTTCCTGACATTGCTCCAGGTTTAGATGATAAAAAAATATTAGTATAAGCATGTGGTATCTTCCATAGCAAAACAACAGGCGGGATCAGTAAACTAATATAGATGTCCTCGAGGTATCAATAAATCCGGGGTACATACCTGATCCCTGGGACGGATCTCACGCAAATGAGTCTAAGCTTCTCTGTGTTACGCTAAGGGTGGCACAAAGGCGGGGAAAGAAGTCCCCACCCCCGCCTGGAATCGAGACTCCCTACCAGAAGCTTGATCATAATCTTTGGTGGAGCATACACACCAAGGTGCATGGGGAAGCCCTCTAATCAGACCCTAAGAATATGCCTCATTAAATCACAAGTACAACGACTCAATCGATAGTTTATTGCCACACACTTTTAGCGTTCGTTCTGCTGCTAGCTATGGCCGCCAATGAGACGGAGGCGACAGCCAATCAGAAATCCGCGTCGGTTAACGAATTCATGTCCTGGAGAGACCCGCAAGATGTCGTCAAGCAAATCACACCAGCCACCAAACGAGGTGAACTAGACGCCAATCAAACCATGCTAAAAGGGCAGAAACACGAGAACAATGGGAATAATGAGGGTTTCGCCACAGTAAAGAAGAACGCAAAAACTCCTGCGCGTCAGTACACCGAAGGGATTCATCGCAAAATCAAGCTGGACGACCATCCGGACCCAGCATCAGCGGCCCACATCCAAGCCACTTACAACCAGATGGTAAAACACATAGATCAGAACTCAAACGTCAGACTTAACAATCCAAGCCCCGATCAGACGGCCCAGCCTATTATCCTGAGCCTATGCCCACGAGTAAGAAAATCCCCTAAGATAATTACATCTTCCTCGGCCTTGGAAAATCTGGTCAAAGAAGAGTCTAGCTCGATACCCCGCGTTAACCTACATTCTAGGATATTGTGAAGTTGGCAGTTTCCGGGGTATCACCCCCAATACGGGGATCCACCTCCGGAGAATAAGGTATGAACATCCCGTAGCCACCAGCCTGACATCTGTTTGCTCTGCCATCCCCATTCGATGACCGTCTTGCCGAATCGAGAAAGAAGCGCCGGCTTTGAACTTGGCTTCCCCCTATTCAGCACAAGCCTGGCTCAAACGATACTCGTTGAGAGAGCAAGCGGCGGGTGTAACTGGAAAAGGTAGTGATTAAGACGCATAGAGGCGTAGATAAAGCCCCTCAGACACCCCCAGGGATTCCAACTCAGAGCAATCCCGTTCACAATCACAACTTCTTTTCTTAATCTTAGAACAACAATCTTGAAAAGAGATCACAGACACGATGGCTCCCGCCGCGGTTGAGAAGATGCCCAACATTGAGACCACCTCTGACAACATCGACGCTGTCAACATCCTGAAGGCCCTTCGTGCCCCCAAGCAGAGCGCCTTCTACGGCGCCTCCGAGTTCGACGAGGCCAAGGACGACGAGGCCAAGGACGACGAGGCCAAGGACGACGAGGCCAAGGACGACGAGGCCAAGGACGACGAGGCCAAGGACGACGAGGCCAAGGACGACGAGGCCAAGGACAAGTCCAACTTCTGTCAGTTCCTCGACGCTGAAGACTGTGTCAAGAACTTCTACGCCACCCAGCACTCTCCAGACCGTCGCCTTCAACCTCAAGGCCCGCAATGAGTTCCACAGCAAGACCCGGGCCCGCATGGGTGTCTGGGAGGCCATGGAGAAACTTCATGGACGAGTGCTACCCGGACACCCAGGGCCCCAGATGGCTCACCTTCTCCAAACTTCCGAAGTTACGCGCAAGGACGGCAAGCCCCGCTGGATGCTGCTAGTCGGTCTCATCCACGCCTTTGACAAGCTTCTCTTCTTCTACGATGCCCAGGGCCAGTGGGAGGTTGTCGGTAACACCTTCCCCGTCGGCTGTGCCTTCGACGACCGCATCATCTTCGGTACCAAGTCCTTCGAGAAGAACAAGGACGCCAACCACCCTCTCTACTCTACCAAGTTTAATATCTACTCTTGCGGCTGTAGTCTGGACAACGTCATGCTTTCTTGGGGCCACGATGAGTATTACTACCACATTGTCGAGGACCAATCCACCATCCCTGCTGAGGGTCCAGCTAATCCGCTACCTCCTTCTACCCCTGGCACCGTGAGGGTGCCTACCATGAGCTCATGAACGATAAGGACAAGGAGATGTTCAAGGCTGTCGTAGCCTTTTACCCCTATGACTTATACTCCAAGTCCGACGAGGTCCCCAACCCGGAGGCTATCGCGGTCGGACTGATGAATCGCGACACGTAGATTAGTGAAAGGCCGCTGCGGCTGGATGAAGCTGTCACGGCCAGGCCATTCGATCGCGACGCGTTATTCAAGAGGGAGGCGCTCGGACCCGACGAAACTATCGCGGCAAGCCCTTCTAATCGCGGCAGGCTGATCAGAAATATAGCTGCAGAAGCTGCCGTGGTCAGGTGTTCAATCGCGATGCGTCACCTAGGGATAAACCGCCCAAGCTGGCCTGGGATAAAGCTAGTCAGGTTGTTCAGTGGCGACATGCGATTCAGGGGGAAATCGCCTAAGCCGGAAGAGGCTGTCGTAGTGGCTTAGCAATTATGTCACGTGATCTAGCTATCCAGTAATTCGGCTTTTCTGCCTGTACGTTGGAATCCTGAATGAAAATATGTATTCCTTATCTTTCTTAAATTCCATTTCAAACTAATAATAATTATATAACTTAAATAAATCGATAATCAAATCAAATTAATCAATATACATTTATAATTATATATTCAAGTTTTTAAAATATTTATTTATATTTCTAGCTACAGACATCTGGAATTGTCCTTACTATAGGGTAGGCTGTGGGATAAGATCCCAGATCTAGCTGTGTGAAGCAGATCCACTTGCTACAGCCTCAACCTCGGTTGTGCCCGGAATTACCCCCGGCCAAGTGCCAGGAGCATAGCGGCTTGATATGGGGTAGCTCGGAAAATTCAGATGGCGACGATTCTCTGAACAACAGGCCGGACTTGGTGACCATTCCACGTTGCGGTACTCCGAGGCGACGTCAAAATAATTGAGATCTTGCTTGAGCATGGTGCTGAGATCTGTACTGGAACTCCGGGTGTATGCCACCATGAGAATTCCATGACTGCGCTTGATAGGCGTCCACATCCCTCTAGGATGCTCGGCAATCACAGACCTGACCCGCGGTCACTGTGCCGGGCCACATACTCCGATAATATGGCAACTGCACATTTTCTGCCTTCGAAAGGCGCGCCACTGATACTGGATGTCAATGGTCAGATGAGATGATATGAACTCTGTAGTGGTTTGGGAGTATATGAGATAACCGGTTATGAAGACCTTGTGCTGGCTCGTGACATGAGCTGAGAAAGTTTGCATGTTATGAAAAGCATGGGCCTAGACCCATAATGGTCTCGCCCAGGCACCATTTCGATATCATCCACTTGAAGCACGTGGGTTGGTTGATCTTCATTTGCTGTAGTGTTTTCAGTCCAAATTAGCGCCCACTTGGCGCCTCCTTCCCATGCAAAAAGTGGGTGACAGAAGGGATGAGACACCAAACCAGTACTTCAAGCATCCGTAGCCGCAAGTCTCGATGTTTCGTCAGCTACAACTTATCCCACATCGCCTTAAAAATTTAGAAGAAGAATACAATTTAATTCAAAGGCTATAGAAAGAATAAATGTGAATTTTTTTTTTTTGAAGTCTTCTTGCATCTCTTTTGCGGTAGTTTATGAGCTAAAAAGAAGATGTAAGCATTTGGTGTGTCTCATCGCTTATGTCACCCACCTGCCATGTTCAGTCAGGTCCGAATCGCCGACCCCTGACTCCAAAACCTGGATCCGTCGATCCGCAGGTATAGATCTCAGTTTTTACATCGTGAGATCAATGCGAGGTTGGTCGTTAGAATATATAGATTAGCCAAGTCTGAACCTAACTGTAGCCTCGAGAAACTTGGCTAAGCTGGCATTAGTAATGGAGTTATGATCGCAACAATGAAGAATAAGACAGGAGCAAATTGCGGACGCTGATCACGCATTTGTCCTAGCCTTTTAATACTGCGCGATCTAGAGCGTACTAGTGGCGGGCGCGAGCCAAATATTGTTGATGCTAATGCATAAGACTTGCCAAGATACTCATGACTCGAATCGGTTGAAGTAACAATTTAGCCCACGGATTCCCCTTTGCTCGATCTTCTTGAACCACAGCCCATGAAAATCATTTTAGTCTGCTAACATCCAGCTGGTTGCTTTGCTTCAAAATGCGTCCTAATCTTGCTCTCCTTTCACTGAGCATTCTTATAAGCTCAGTGGCAGATTATGCCCAGGCCGCCAAAACCTGCCAACCCTGCCATGGACCCTGCGCGGCCGCTGTACGCCCAGGCACCTCATTCAACCAGAACCACGACACGGCAGCCGACTGCATTGCGTTTCTAAGCGGAAGTGGGAGTATTCCTGAGTATGTGACGGGGAAATGTCGATCAGAGCACAAGTATTCAAGTGCTTGCTCCTGCCTGGCGCGCACTGAATCAACAACGAGCCTAGCGACAACAGTCAGCCCGACCTCCTCGGTGTTGACGACTCCAGGTATTTCTTCAACCCCAGATACTTCGCCATCTGTATCAGGAACAACCTCCTCCCTGCAGTCAACACCTCTCCCGTCTACTGAAAGGACCACGCCATCGACTTTGCCAACAACTCCAGTTACTTCGACCCCCGCCTCCTCTGGAACAGCCACTGTCTCTTCTGAGCTCGCGACTACGCCATCATCCGAATCATCTACACCATCCGAATCATCAACTACCCCTCCCGAATCTAGTTCTGGATCTACTACTACACCTGAGCCTACTTCCACGCCCGGATCTACCTCTTCGCCTGGATCTGCTTCTATACCCGAGTCTACTTCCACACCCGAGCCTACTACTACACCTGAATCTACTTCCGCACCCGAGCCTACTTCCACGCCTGGATCTACAACTATAGCTCAATCTACCACCGCGCCTGAGTCCACTGCCAGCTCAACGCCTACTTCTACACCTGAGTCTACCTCTATACCTCAATCTACTACCGTGCCTGAATCTACCTCTACCGCGCACGAGTCCACTACCAGCTCAACGTCAACATTGGCAACTGTGCCAACTGGGTTCCCCCGTATTATCGCGACCGATGTCATCGGCGGTGCCTCTCGCGAACTGAAGCTCGTCAAGCAAACGACTACCTTCTACCTCACCTACGCCGCCACTGCCACGCAATACGCTCCTGCCAACGGCGTGCCTTATTTCTTGGACCATGTCACGGGCCGTTTGTCCATTACCCTCTCGCCTGGCTTAACCGGCGATGTCCAAACGTACTTTTTCACCTATAATACTCCTCTACCTAATGGCAGTGGTTATATCGGCCAATGGATGCTCGCATCAGACATCGCTGCTACTGCCAACAAGCGCTACGTTCGTTGCACGCGCAACACTAGTGGCCAGTTGACCTGTCTCTCTGAAGCTGATTCGGCCCTCTTGTTCCTCCGCACTGCTACTGCTTCCAATGTCTACATTGGAAACCCTCCGGCCGCAGGAAACTCCGTTGCTTTAACTCTGTCATTGCCTCTTGCCTAAGACAAATATCGTCTTGTTTAGGTACATCGGATCTAGCAACTTGTTCTTTATATACGATAGCGATTCAGCCATATATCTGTGAGCTATATTGCTTGCGATGATTTTAATATATAGATAATAATTTGATTTGTATTCTGTTGGACCCTTACGGTGAAAGAGAGGCCCCGGGGGTTGAGATTTTAGGTACCTGAACTCGCGCCATTAAAGATAAAAATGAAGGATTCCAGGTCCAATTCATTAATACCAGACTATTGGTGAAAGCCCACCGCTGGCACTGGCCATTCCCAACTCTGGTTTGTTTGACTCCATCAGGTGGGAGATAGATGCGGCATAATAAGCTGACCGAGGCCCCGACGAGGTCGAGATGCGGGTAGAGCAATGGGTGTCAACTTCCGCGACCTGCTTGTTCTCCTTGGAAAGTAAAATGCCGGAACGGTAGGCGTTGAATATGCTGGAACCGTGACAAGGATAGGCGCAAAATGCGACAATTTGGTGCCAGGGGATCGTGTCTGTGTGTGTCAAAGCGCCCGAGTTTCTCTCTATAGAGGATGCTGCGTCCTTTCGACAGCCGGCATCACGGCAATAGTACAGGTGATGGAAGTAAGGAACTACAGCCGGCACAGACTTACCTGAAATGTAACCATAATCCCTGGCATCTACCTCTTCAAGGTATTTCGCATGGGTCTGAAGCAACTATCCCATGAGGCGGGCTATTGTGGAAACGTAAACGGCGCGGACTTAATGCAGTCATCCGACAAGGTAGTATTCTTGCGAGATCTGACCTGGCAAGCCTGGGTTACTACAATCATCTATCCCACTCTCTCTCCGCTAGTCATGTCTCAGGAAGGTATATAACATATCATAGTGGACCCAACGGAGATCCCTACGTTAGTAGGTATAAGAGCCCTTCTCGTTTCTGCTATTCGCGGAGTTCCGAATCGGACCCTTGACGGCGGCAAGGATCTCATTGACTCCGACGAAAATCCAGCTTGCTTATTGACGTATTGGACTTTTCCTAAATACTCCGTCACCGTCTACTCTACGGCCTAGGGGGACTCTTTACCATCCTAGAATTCCCATCGACCAATGAAAATGAGTAGCACTATGATACTTCCCGCACGTCGAATGATCCATCTGTAGGCTGAGGCGGGCGGGAAGCACGACAGCTGATTGGCTCGTTATACGGTTGAAGCCACTCGGTAACACGTCGGTATAGAGCAAGAGCAGAGATGTACTCTGGCATAGCTCCATGATGTATTTCTTTCTACTCATGCCCTACGATGGATCCAAGGAATGATTAAGCGGGAGTAAGCTATATCTTTCCCATACAGGAAGGTAGCTAAGAGCTAGACCTACCGGGTTGTTTGGCATAAAGAGAAGCGATACACATCGGCGAGCCTGGCCCTGATGCTTCCCGTTAAAGCAGAGATTGGTGCGATCCCGGACGATCCACCTGCTTCAGAGCAAGCCGGCCTGACAAACTTGGCTTACATCCATACCTTTTGACCAGGTTCCCGGCATTGAGTTCTACGGAATTTAGTAAGCGTGATTGGAAGAAACAATCGACAGAAAACTGGGAACATCGCTGCAATAATCTCATTCTTAGTCCTCTTTATCGAGTCATTGGATAGGATAACATTCTATTGATTTCTGTCACTAAGGTTAGCTTGTTTGACTGACTCTGATATATCTCGAACTACGACCATGGGTGAAACAATCGCTATTGCCGTCGTAGGCATGTCATGCCGGATGCCCGGTGGTGCGAATAGCCCCGAGGGACTTTGGAAAGTTATTGAAAACGGCACGGCAACATGGACACCTGTTCCTAAGGAGCGCTTCAATGAAAAGGCCTTCCACCACCCCAATATCAACAACCCAAATGGCACTAGCACCCATCAGGGTGGCCATTTCATCGATGCTGATGTCCGAGACTTTGACCATGCCTTCTTCCACGTCTCTCCCCATCAAGCAGCGGCAACCGACCCTCAGCAACGCATGCTGCTGGAGACGACGTACGAGGCGCTTGAGAATGCTGGCTGGTCCCGTGATGCGGTTGCCGGCTCCAACACAGCTGTGTACGCTGCAACCTTCACAGCGGATTTTGATCGAAACCTGTACAAGGACACGCTTGACCTTCCCGTACATTACCTTGCGGGTTCGGAGGAGTCCATTATGGCTAACCGAATCTCCCACGTTTTCGACTTGTGCGGGCCCTCTGTCGCTCTCGACACGGCCTGCTCAGGGGGTCTCATCGCCCTCCATCAAGCCTGCCAGAGTTTGACGCTCAACGAGATTGACGCTGCCGTTGTCGTTGCCGGTAATCTCACACTGAGCCCGGATCACCACCTGGGCATGGGCCATCTCCATATGCTAAGCGACACGGGGCGCAGCTACCCATTCGACACCCGCGGCTCCGGTTATGGGAGGGGCGAGGGCTTCACAGTACTCATCGTCAAGCGTCTTGATGAGGCCCTCCGTGACAGAGACCCGATCCACACCGTCATCCGCGGCATCGCCTCGAACCACGACGGCTACACATCCAAGGGTCTCAACTACCCCAACGGGCAGTCTCAGGCGAAGCTCATGCGGACCACTTACTCCCGAGCCTCCGTAAGGCCCCAAGACGTTGCCTATGTCGAGGCACACGGCACCGGGACTGTGGCCGGTGATCAAGAGGAGCTCCAGGCCATTGCAGACGTGTTCGCCGGCCCTGGCCGTTCCCTGCCCCTTTACGTCGGCTCGCTCAAGGGCAACATTGGCCACCTGGAGAACGGCAGCGGCCTTGCCAGCCTGATCAAGGCTGCCTTGGTGCTTAAGCATAAGAAGATTCCGCCTGTTGCCGGTTTTAAAAACCCTAAGCCGGGCCTTCCTCTGGATCACCTGAATATAGCCAAAACGCTGATTGACTGGCCTCATGCCGAAGGCGTCATACCCCGTGTATCCATCAACAGCACAGGGTTCGGTGGTGCAAATGCCCACGCCATTGTTGAACCAGCTCCGCTAGTTGGTCTGCCGGGCCCAGACGTCGTTGATCTTGCAGAAGAGCCACTCTTGTTCATATTCTCTGCCAACAGCCAGGCGTCATTGCTTGCCATGCTGGAGGCCCATAGGGATTGGGTTCGGCAACAGACAGATCCAAAGCCGTTGATAGACCTGTCTTATACGCTATGCCGCCGCCGCACCGCCCTGCGATGGCGATGCAGCTGCGTGGCAAAAGACCAGCTTTCCCTCCTGGAGAGCCTCGGCAAGGCGATTTCCAACCCCCCAACCAAGCCTGTGCCTGATGCAACGGAAGTAAACTTCGTCTTCACTGGCCAAGGGGCCCAATGGGCCGGGATGGGCCGTGAGCTGCTCACCAAAGCAAAGAACGGGTCTGTCTTCCGCGACTCCATCCGGCGCTCCGGCGATATCCTACTGGCCCTCGGCGCACAATGGGACTTGGAGGCAGAGCTTCTTCGCGATGAAACCGAGGGGGAGGTCTCTTTGCTGAATACGGCTGAGGTAGCGAAGCCTGGCTTAACCGCTATACAGGTGGCGGTCGTGGACCTACTACAATCCTTAGGTGTGAAGCCACATGCTGTAGTCGGCCACTCAAGTGGAGAGATTGCCGGAGCATACGCAGCCGGCCACATCTCTCAACGTGCGGCCATTGGTATAGCCTACCAGGGAAGCTTCCAGGGATCAGTTGCCAAATCCCGCGGCCTGCCTCGCGGAGCCATGATGGCCGTTGGTATGGGCGAAGAGGAAATGAAGCCTTACATGCAGGGGTTAACTTCAGGCGAGGCTCGCATCGCATGTGTCAACAGTCCGAAAAGTGTCACTCTGTCCGGAGACGCCGACGCGATCGATGAAGTGGCAGTAAGATTGGCTGCCGTGTTAGATCAGAGCATATTTCATCGGCGGTTGCAGGTTGATACAGCTTATCACTCGCATCACATGCTCAACGTGGCTGATGACTACCTTGAGCGTCTGGCGAGCATGCCAACAGAGGGCAAGATCCCCCCTGCCGAACATGTCTTCTTCGTTTCTTCCGTGACGGGCCAAGTCAAGACACAAGGTTTTGATAATGAATACTTTGTCGCTAACAGCGTGTCGCCCGTCCGCTTCAGCGACGCTGTTGAGACATTGGTGCGCTCGGTGGTCCGAGAATCAAAGCCAGTCTTCATCGAGATTGGTCCTCACTCGGCACTCGCTGGCCCTTTCCGGCAAACCCTAGCCCATCTCAACCACGAACCGAAGCTGGACTTTGGCTATTCTTCTGTCCTGCAAAGAAAGACCAAGGCTAATGTGAGTTCTCTCTCTCTCGCCGGATTCCTGTTTGAGCGTGGCGTACATGTGGACTTTAAGGCTGTTTCAGCGCTGTCACCCGCACATGAAACGGCTATCGTCCGGTCAGACTTACCAGCCTACAAATGGGATCATACCGTCAAACATTGGCACGAGTCACGGATCAGCAGAGATTACCGCCTAAGACCAGACCCGTACCATGATTTGCTCGGAGTTCGCCTGTCTGATTCAACGGCCATTGAACCTAGATGGCGGCATATGGTCGGGCTTGCAACTCTCCCCTGGCTCGCCGACCACGTTGTTGATGGCCTCATTATCTTTCCCGGGTCCGCCTATCTTTGCATGGCCATCGAGGCTATTGTACAACTCACTCGCCAAAAGCATCCATCCAGGCCCTTGGAAACAGTATCGGTCACCGATATTTCATTCTTAAGGGGCTTAGTGATCCCTGATTCCGCTCAGCAACGCGTCGAGGTGCAGTTAAGCTTTGAGCCAAAGCCCAATACTACGACAGGATTTAGATTCCGCATAACAGCGCTTACTGATGGGCAGTGGTATGAGCATTGCAAGGGTGATGTTGAGGGCGTCTTGGTAGAGGACGACTCCTCTAACGAACTACGTTCTTGGCCGGCGGCGCTACAACCGTCGTCCAGGAAGCATGCCACCACAATAACACCGGATGACGTCTATCGAGAGCTCGCCGAGGCTGGCAACAAGTATGGGCCGACTTTTAGAGGCATCCAGTCATTTGAAATGACTGATGAATACCTTGATACGTCTACTGTTATTGTGATTCCAAACATGTCAGAAACAATGCCAGCTCGGCACCAAGAACCACACATCATTCATCCCTCGACACTCGACATCATATTCCACACGTGTATTCCCATGATCGGCCGCCATCTTGGAAAGGGAGCTGCCATGCCTGTTCGATTGGAAGAGCTATTACTATCAGTAGATATACCGAGCAGCCCCAGCTCCGAGTTGTCTGTTCTTGCGACGCTCACGTCTAGTCACTTTCGCGCCGCGCATGCAGACATGTCTGTAACAACCAGCAACGGAAAGCCAATTTTATCTATTACTGGAATGGAGCTGCGCAGCTTGGCTTCACATGATACGCTGGGTAACAAAAATCCCGAGATTTGCTACACAATGAACTGGCAACCTGATGTCGATCATCTTCACGCTGAGGGGGTTTCTTCTTTCCATGACCTCGTTGGCTACATTTTCTTCAAAAGGGCAGATTTAAGAGTTGCGCACATTCAATCAATGGATCACAGTGATTTGACTCTTTCTTTTATTGGATCAGTGGACGCTCACCGCGGCTCAATGTCGAAGCTTGATTTACTTGACCTAGGAGCATTCCCACGCGAGCAAGCCGATCTGAAATTCCTTGGCTTCCCCAAAGTTCGTCGTCAGCAACTACACGAGGAGAGTTCAATTGCAGATCAGGGTTTCGAGGAGAACTCCTATGATGTTGTCCTCATCTCAGATATCGGGTTGCTGAGCCTTTCTGTCCGCCTCCTCAAACCGGGCGAGTTACTCGTGGTCACGCTGAATGAGGGCCAAGTTCAAAGCTTAGATACAGCTGTGCAAGATTTCGACATTGAGCTTCAAACTCAGCTGGAGATCTATGATACCGCCCATGCGAGCAAGGTTATTATGTTACGCAAGTCAAAACCCACGAGCGACATTGAGGCGCCCAGCAACATCCAGATCTTGACTCACTCCTCGCATCGGCATATTTCTGGCTGGGTCAAAGCATTACAAAAGTATCTCAGAAATCATCTCAATTGCATAATCAGCATTGACGCTTTCAATATGGATTCTGTGTGTAGCCATAACAGGAGCGCTACCAGTCTTATTATTGTAGCCGACGACCAACCTCAGTCACCGATACTCTCCGATGCTTCTTGTTTCAAGGCTGTCGCACGTCTGCTCAAACAGGAGCCAGCAAATGTTCTTTGGATTAGTCCAGATGAGCCTCTCCCAATGCACCAAATTGTAGGCTTTTCCCGGACTGCCCACGCTGAGAATGATCGACTCCGCCTCACCACAGTTCATGTTGCGCCTACAGTGCTAGGTGGCATGGAAAATAGTAGACAAGAAATGAGTGAGAAGCTCCTCATATTTCTAAGCAGCGTCTTGCGTTCCCTGAGTTCCCAGACATTCCATTTCGAGCGAGAATATCGGGTGAATGAAAGTGGGACTATTCTTATACCGCGCTTGCATCCCAGCCAGGAGTTGAACCGCTCTATCCAGCAAGATCATGATGGAGGTTTCCATATCGAATCTTGTCGGTTCATGGACAAGGAACGGCCCCCCTTGGTCATTACAGGCAGCAATGGATTGGCAGGCGAGGCCATCTTCATCGAGGATAATAAACTCATTAATCTACCTTTGGATGCTGCCGAGATAGAGATAGAGACTCATGCTACTTCTGTGTCTCAGCAAGAGGCAACTGGGCGCCAATCATTCTACGAGTATGCTGGAGTGGTCTCCAAGGTTGGTTCTCTTGCCAAACCCTTCACAGTAGGTGATTTTGTCGTCGCCGTAAGCCCAGTTATGGGCGCCAGCCGTCTGCGTGTTTCAGCGGGGAATGCCGGCTTGTTATCATCTACAGTCAGTTGTAGCATAGGTGCCGGGCTTCTTGCGAGCACCATGACAGCCTGCCATGCCCTGGGCGAACTCGCTTGCCTTCCAGCCGCCGGCACGCTATTTATACATGGTGCCTTGAGTACAGTTGGCCGGGCTGCCATAGCTGTTGCATTTTCTAGAGGTGCACATGTCATCGTTACAGCGCGTGATAACAGAGAAGCATGCCTGTTGGGAGATCAACTGGGTATAAGCGCAGACAACGTTCTAGTGACCAGGGCTTCATTATACCGACGACGATCCCGGGTTGTTTTCGGTAGAGGGGGAATCGATGTAATACTACAAGTCAACCAAGATCCTGTTCCTCCAGAGGCAGTGCCATATCTTAAGCGCAATGGGCGGTTTGTTATAATAGGCTCCGTCTCTTCTGCCACTCTTCCCGGTGTAGCTGCTCTCCCAGACGGGGTAAGGGTCTTATACTGCACAGCGGAGGACATTGTTCAAAATCCAGGCCCTAGCTTAGTTGCCCAGGCTGCCGATGTGCTTTCTCACGTGCCCCGAACCGGTTGGGACTATTGGGTACGTGATGTGTCTTTGGCAGCCGACGCCCTCCAGCTTGTTCGCAGCCGCACTACTAGCAAAGTCGTTCTCCAGGCAGGACCCGACTCATTCGTGCAGGCCGTGGTCCCAGATCCACCCAATACAAGTCTGCTTTGCGATGATGCTTCGTATGTTGTCGCTGGTGGTCTCGGCGACCTCGGGCAACGTCTCATGATACTATTGGCGCAGCGCGGTGCAAGGCACTTTGTGACACTTTCAAGACGAGTTGCGGACACCATTGAAAAAAGAGATTTGCAAGCTCGGCTGGACCAAGTTGCGCCAGGGTGTTGCGTCTATTGCATTAGCTGTGACATCACATCAGATTCAAGCCTCCAGGATGCAGCCGAGTCATTACGAAGAATGGGAGTTCCCCCTGTACATGGTGTGATACAGTCGGCCATGACTCTAGTCGACCGGACACTAGATACGATGACATTCGACGATTTTAAGGCGGCGACGGGAGTCAAGGTTGGCGGTACATTGGCGCTTGAGCGTGCCTTTGCCTCGCCGGACCTTGACTTCTTTCTATTAATGTCATCTGCCGTCACTATCGTTGGCACCAGCGGGCAAGGCAACTACAATGCGGGCAACGCAGTCTTGGATGCCTTGGCCCATGTTCGTGACAAGGCCAGTTCCCACTTCATGTCGATCAATATCGGTCTGATTGAGGATACGACTTCGCACGTGGCCAACTTGGAGGCATGGACGAGGAGTCTAGCTCGCGCCGGCCTGAAGCCCGTTGGTCCTGATGAATTTACACGTTTCTTTGACCACATACTCAGCGTCATCAGTACACAAACCAGCAGCGTTGAATACAAACAAATTCACCACGCCATGTTCGGTTTTGACGGGGAAAGCCTGCTAGGTACAACTTCTCGAAATGCCACTTGCCACTCTGCCTTGTTCATGCATGTCTTTGATGCAAAGCTGACTTCCACATCGACCACAAACACATCTGACGGCGGCACTGCCCCGCGGACACTAGCAGAGGTTCTCGAATCTGGCGAATCGGCGCCATACTTCATCTCAAACGCCATAGCAGATCGGTTAGCACGGCTCATCTCAGCCGATAGCACCAGCATCGACCAAGAGAGTCGCTCCATCTTGGAACTGGGACTCGATTCACTGGTCGCGATTGAGTTGCGCAACTGGATCATGTCTCAGTTCGATGCACCGCTCCAGTCGTCGGAGATTCTTACCAACCAGACCATATATGCTCTTGCTGGGAAGGTGCTCGCGCGTTCCAGTATTGCGGCCTTAACGTTGTCTGATGACAGCGACTTGGCCGTGGAGACGCCGGATTCAACTCAAGGGTCTGATGGACTTAGCCACCCGCCTCTTCCCATTCCATCGCTCAGTGATACCTTAAATCGGTTCAAGGAATCGCGGCGTGCTGTCGATTCAGACACCAAGCAGCACATAACTGCCAGTGCTGTGCAGACCTTTGAAGAAGATGTTGGCCTCAAGTTGCAGAAACGTATCGAGGACGCTGGCCCTGATGCCATTAGCGACGCGTTTGATCAGCTCATCTACCTTGAATGGCGTGAGCCGCTTATGGAACAGGGCCAATTCTACTTTGTTCATTCACTCGAAGCCCCTGTACATTCTCAGCTGGCTCGCGCAGCCACTCTAACGATGGCTACCATGCAGTTTGAACGTCTTCTCGTTGCTGGGCAAATCGCTCCGCACAGTTTGCATGGTGTACCTGTATCGAGCAAAGGACATGAGTGGCTGTTTGCAACAACTCGGTGTCCCGGTCTTGTGGCGGACCAGATGATACGCTATCCTCCGAACTCGACAGTAGCTATTCTCCGTCGCGGCCACGTATTTCTGCTAGAGCTCCCCAATCGTGACACGGAAATGGAGTTATCTAGGATATATGCCGCCTATCAAGAGATCATAAAGGTTTCCGAGAAGCACGCAGTCCCCGTCTGTACTCTGACTTCGAATGATCGGGTTACTTGGACCAAGGTAAGTTGAGCATCATTACCTCGACCATTGTCGTGCAGCGCTAACGTTCCATCTCTCTCTATCAAGGCTCGGGGCAAAATCGAATTAGATACCGATAATGCCTTAGCGCTGGCGTCTATCGAGTCTGCCGCATTCGTCGTGTGTCTTGATGATGAAGAGCCCACGACGGCGGGGGAACGCCATATGCAATTTCTCCTCAACGGCACCAGCCACCACATGGAAAATCGATGGACTGACAAGCCCTTCCAACTCGCGGTGGCTGCCAACGGCGTATCAGCAGGCATCTACGATCATTCAAAGGTTGACGGCTTAGATGGACGAGCCATGCACCGATATATCACTCAATCTCTGTTTGGCTTCGCCAGCTCCGAGCTAGAGAGTCTCGCAGTCAATGTGAGCTCATACCCTGTGCGCAAGGTTACCTGGAACTTGACGCCAGACACAATACATGACATTGAGCTTGCTCAGCAGCGCTGCAAGATCAGCTACCACGCCCTCGACTACCAGACCTTCCAGGTCAGCAACCTCAACCCTACCCAACTACGCAATCACCGTGTGTCCCCGAACGCTACAGCTTATCTCACAACTGCACTTGCCACATATCTTGTTGATGGTAGGGTCCGGCCGTCCTGGGAGGTGGTATCGCAGGCTCAGTATGCTCGCGGACGCATCGAGTGGGTGCAGACCGTCACACCCGCCGTGCGTGATTTTATCGAGGCTGCCGCAGCCAGCTGCGCAACACGAGACATATTTAATGCGGCCGCCTCTTCCTATTCACGAGCCATCTCCACGGCTGCCGCGGGACAGGGCTTTGTGAACCATCTATACGCGCTGCGCATGGCACTGAAGCCAGGAGAGGAGGTGCCTGAGATATTTGGCACGCATGCTTGGCAGGCCACGCGCCGTGGGGGGTTAGAGCAGGGTCTCAAGACGGGATTCATGCCCGAGGATGACGATGAACAAGAGGAGCGGTTGTACGGGTGGCACTGGGACGCGGGCTCGTTCTTGGTGACGGGAGAGGGGAACGCCTATATCCACTGTGATGTTCTGAAAGACAATATCAGTTTTACCGTCTCGGGAGATGCTGAGTACACGGCGGCTGTTCACGAAGCGTTGAAGCAGGCTTCTGAGACGGTATCCTCTATTCTAAGGTAAAACTACTTTAGGTAGAGCATACTACTCTACTACTCTCTATATTAGATCCATCCTAATATGAGATATTGTATACGGATTGATACTTGATAGTAGGAAAATATTGGTTGTTTATAAACCCTCGGGAAAAAATACTTACTGGTGTTTCAGACCCTTTCACTACGCCAAGGCGGTGGGAGTATTCGTCAAGTCAACTAGTTGACACCACATGTTTCAAGTCAATTAAAAATGTTAATATTCATTTAAAATCAGAGTATAGGTAACACAGATGGAATGTATAGACCTGGGAGAGCTCTTACTAGATTGCCTTTTACTATATTTTTAGAAGCTAACAAGTAATAATATTATTGAGACTATCTTTTGTTGAACCCGGGCGTTCGATAGTGAGCGGTTAAGTTCAATGGGTTGCTAGAGTAGTTTAGATATTGTCTGGGTTATTTCACTTCTTCGAGACTAGGCCATAGATGCAACAGTTTAGCACGACAAAAATTGCCAATGTCCCCTGGTCCATAAAATAAGGCCCATATCGGTTACATGATTGCCTCAATAATAGCAGAAGAAAGTGTCGGCTTCTTGAGATGGGCAATTGGAGCAAGTGTCGCAACAGTGACATGCGGCCACTTGAGGCCATTGAAATCAAGCACGACCATCTGAGAGTATTGGATCTGATAGTAAGCTACGGTGATTGTCTTCTCACTTGGTGGAATTCTAACATTCTCATCAATGTAAAACTCTGGCACGGCGTCTCTAGGACCTTGGGCAGCTGGGGAAACCGTGCCGCCATGACGCATAGATGGATCAAGCTCAACCTTGGTATGGATCTTTGAGACCCAGTACTGGGCCGTCACGTCAACAGCGTTGGCGTTGCCACTGTTATTCTCAGGCTTTGCTTGCGCCAGGCCTGCATCAGCGCCGATGTTGAAACCGATATTGGTTGTTCCACCACCAAAGGTACCAGAGGGAGCAATTGTCGACACCGCAAACATGGTGTTCTCGATAATGTCCTTTCCCTTGTTGGCGTCTCTTAGGATAGTGTTCGGATCGTTAAGAATCTTTTGTGTGATGGTACCATTGGCCATGAAAGGACCCAAGTCCTGGGGAAGGCGACGAGAGGCGCCATCATCTGCTGTTTGACTTGCGAATCCGACCTTTGCCTTTTGGATCGCAATTTCTGGGGGGCCAGGGCCCAGAGGAAGCAGGATTGGAGTGATGTCGATTTCAGGAATGTTGGGCGCACCGCTCTGCGTGACCGAGGGCTGGAATCCTTGGGCGTTGATGGTTGTGCCATGAGGGATAGATCCCATACGGCAGAAAGATCTGGGAAGCTTGGGCATCTCTTCGACTTTAGGCACCCGCATCCAAAGGCCGGGCTCAAAGTGAATGACCGGCGGCTCGGTGGGTGTAGATTTATCTGCTCGTGGCGGCATAGCATCGACAATAGTTTGCGTGTACGGCAGGCCAGTGAGGTCGATGTCGGCCTGATCGAACAGGCCACGGTTGGGCACCTCCTTGAGAATATCTCCAAACACTTGTGTCTCTCCCGTCAGGTTAAGTTGTAGCACGTTGTCATCATTCTTGTCCGTTGGTTCTTTGTCGAACTCGGTCTTAGTTCGTCTGCTGGAAGGCCGAAAGATGGTGTTGAAACCAAAACCGCGAAAAGTTCCTGTGAACTTCTCCAAGGCATCTAGTGAAGGAGGGGGAGGGCCCTTGATGTCGGTGACGCTGGCGTCTGTGTAAGATCCATTTTTGGATGGCTCACCAGACGTCTGAACAGGCGGCTGGAGGAGCGTAGGTCCGTAGTTAAAGGCCTTGGGTAGGTCAATACTGACGATGGGCGCAGCAGGTGCCAGTTCCTCGAGTGATGGAGCCATGATTAAAAATATATACAAGTGGAAATATTTGATCAAGGTGATACAGACCTGAGTTGGATTGAATTGGGCAATATGGGATATAGCTGTTCCTTTATCCCTTCACGAGATGAGTCGTGAGGGAAAAATGATATATTTTTATCCGTATTGGTCAACGGCGTTTTCGTTTCAACAAGGTTCGTCTCTCGTTCCAACAGTAGCCTATAAGCGTAGTTTTGCCTTAGCTGTGAGACGTAGGTCCAGAACACGCACTTGTTTCTCGTGCGTGCACAGCACAATGGACAAGTCATCCTGGGCAGCGTTCACCGCGCGCTGTGTACCCCAGGGCTGAGGATAAACTATTATCCAGCTATAATACTTTAAGATCAGTCAGCTACAGAATAATTTTACTATAAAATTATCTTATATAGTAAGACTAGACTATTCCTATATATAAAGCTCTTCTTTAGCTATAGTAATAATTTATAGTAAAATTATTTTATATCCTAAGACCAGACTATTTCTATATATAGAGCTATTATTCAGCTATAAGTATACTAACTAAAGTACTATATAGTACTTCTGATAGTTTATTCTGGGCAGTATTTACTATATACTATATACCCCAGAGCTGAGAATAAACTATTATCCAGCTATAATACTTTAAGATCAGCTAGCTACAGAATAATTTTACTATAAAATTATCTTATATAATAAGGCTAGACTATTTCTATATATAAAGCTCTTCTTTAGCTATAGTAATAATTTATAGTAAAGTTATCTTATATCCTAAGGCCAGACTATTCCTATATATAGAGCTATTATTCAGCCGTAAGCACACTGACCAAAGCGCTATATAGTACTTCTGATAGTTCTGTATTTTAGCGAACACCATGTCTGCAAATAGCAAAGATATACGCAAATCATCAATTTAGGTTCATCGATTCCGCGGCTCAAGTATGGTGGCTAGCTGACTAGATAAATCGCTGAGAAACTAGTTCCTGTTTTAGACAATATTGTGACGGAAATCGAAAGTTTGAGCCATGCAGGCTCTCTGCAGTCAGCCACCGCGGCTTGGTATGAAGTGAAACAGCCTATGAGAGGTTGATGTCTCTCGTAGTTCTCAGCAGCCTGCCCCAAAGTCGCTGGCAGGGGGGCATCTAAGGTCTGAAGTCAGCTAACCAATGCTCAGCTCTTGCCGTGTATGGAACAGGCCATGCTCTGCAGGCATGCATTTTGTAGTAAGGTCTCGATTTGTAGCGACACAAGCAACGGCACCGGCGAGGTTTAGATATCCACCTACATACAGCACATCAGCTACTTCAAGATGCCATTGCATAACTACAGACAGGCCGCGCATCAGTCTCAAAGTTGGACGCAGATCATTTAAGAGAGATCCTACCCTCCTTCGTTGAAGGGATATTTCTCCAGGCAATCACTTTGCATCTTTCTACCCATTTCCACACGTCCAAACCCCATCATGGGATCAGAACAACCTTTTATCGAAGTCCATCAAAAGACAAAGTCCTACAAGCACATGTGGGCTCGTGATGTCGCCAGGACCACCATGGATTACGATCTCCAGGGCGCGATTGATCTCGCAAAAGGGTCTGACGTCGACGTCGCTATTCCTGATCATGTCGGCATAGGCCAGCTGAGAGAAGCCACCAAGGAGATCACCGGAGACGGCTACATCCCTAGGAAGGAAGGTCAGATTGACGTGGGAATTGTTGGTGCCGGTGTGGCCGGTTTGTTCGCTGCTTTGCTCTTTGACTGGCTTAATGACCATCTTGATCTCAAAGACAAGAAGCTCAAGATCAACTACGACATTCTTGAAGGGGCGGGAGCGGAGAGACTTGGTGGGCGTCTGTATACTCACCACTTCTCTGACGAAGAGCACGACTACTATGATGTCGGTGCTATGCGATTTCCCAATAACTCCATCATGAAGAGGTGAGTCCAGAGGTTGAACGAAGTGGGGAATTTTGCTCACTCATTCTACAGAACTTTCCAGCTTTTCCAGTACATCGGGCTCACCCAAGAGAGCAAGCCAGGCTTGATCCCTTATTACCTGACGGATGTGCTAAATAAATGCCCTTCCTACTTCAATGATGTGTCTCGCACAGGCAACGTTTGGGCTAGTGAGCTGCATCCCGATGACCCATACCAAGTGAATAGGAGCTTGCCTTGCAATGGAAAGATTCCAAAAGAGTATGACAATCAACTGAAAACTCCCAAATTAACGTTAGCTGACTGGTACCTAGTATCCTCGAGACTGACCCCAATACACTCGTCAGTAAAGCCCTGGGGGTTTTCATGGAAGAGGTCAAAAAGAAGTTCAAGCTGGCTATCGAGGAAAAGGACAATGAACATAAGGAAGCAGGTAAGAAGGAAACGAAAAGTGATGGAAAAAAGGATGCGGTGAGAAGCCCCAGGGCTCAGGAGCTATGGGAGCTGCTCATGAAAGCCGACCATATGAGCGTTCGACGGTTTCTCGGCTCGTAAGTGTTACTCGCTCTTGAACTTGTTCCTTGGCAGAAACTGAGGATATTGCCAGAGGTCAACCCTACGGACTTAGAAAGAAAGACGCGAAGCCGCCCAAGGACGAGAAGCAGCCCTTCCCCTTGGGCCCTGGATACAATCTCAACACTATCGAGTGGCTTGAGACCATGACCTAGTAGGTTCTTTCCAGCGACACTCTGCTTTGCTCCATGGCTGACCTTTGGAAGTGGTACCGGTTGGTACGATCAATCCCTCACAGAGTGCGTCCTGGAGGAACTTGACTTCCACACCGACGATTCCCACAATGTCCAGTATTGGTGGTGCGTCGACGGCGGTGCCCAAGAGATCGCAAAGAGGATGGCTGCCAAGGCCAAGAAGCGTATAGAATACAACACCTGCGTCCGATCGATCGACGCCTAAGTGCCGCTACGTAAACCTAATCAGTTTACGGCGATGAAGCTTCACACCGTCAGAACTGATCCAAAGACCAACAAGGTCGAGGGCAAGGACAGGGAGTACTTTTCTGTCCTCAACAGCACCACTCTTGCTGCCCTACAACGTATAGAGCTTCGCCATGCCGGTTTATCCTGGGGCACCAAGCAGGCTATCCGAGCTCTCGGGTACGGTGCTTCTGCCAAGGTTGGCATGAAGTTTCGAACTGCATGGTGGCAGAAGGAGCCATTTGGCATCAAGAAGGGTGGAATATCACATACCGACCTGCCCCTGCGAGTCTGCGTGTATCCTTCACACAATATTGAGGCGAATGAGGGCCCGGACAAGTGGGATCCTGAGAAGCCAGCTGTTCTTCTCTGCTCGTATACCTGGGGTCAGGACGCGCAACGTATAGGCTCTCTTTGCTCCAACAACACAGCCCACGATGACAAGGAGCTCAAGAGGTTGATTATCCACGAACTGGCTCGACTTCACGCCAGAGAGGAGTTTCCCTTTGAGAAGTTGGTTGAGCATCTTGAGGAACAATATGTCGACCATCACGGCTACGACTGGTACAGAGACGAGTACATGTCAGGTGCATTCGCTTACTTTGGCCCCGGCCAGTTCTCCAATATATAGCAAGAAATTATCAAGCCCAATTCGTTTGGCCAGTTTTACCTCGTAGGAGAAGCCGCCTCTTCCTACCACGCGTGGATTATCGGTGCGCTCGAGAGTATCATCCGAGTGGTATACATTATATTCCAGGGTCTTCAGAACGGTAATCCGGAATTCGAAGCGTACAGTATTGTGTTAGACTTGCTCAAGCCGGCCCCGACAGATAAGAATAAGAAGTATGAGTTTGAAGATATAGGTAAACCTTTAAAGAGGGGCAGCGCCATACCCACCGGATTACCTTTTTATCCCCTTCCCGAGGAGATACCTACTACACAGTTTTATAGGACCGAGAGCGCTCCTTTGACCGACAATCCCACCGATGAGGCCAAGCTTGATAATGTGGAGATGACTTATGGTGCTGCGTTGGCTGTTTTGAGTTTGATTGAGAGTTTCTTCGAGTTGGGACTGGACAAGCAGTAGTAGAGGACTTTTACTGGTAGTTGACTATCTCAGAGAGCTTTATAAGAGCTCTAATAATATATGTTTCTTTATTATATCTTAATGTACTATTTATAGGTAAGGCTTTTCTATATAAGTTCAGGACGATGCGTCATGATGGATTGCGGGTGGTGAAGACGGCGTAAGTGAAGTGAGAGTCTACGTTGGATGTGCATAATTGATTGGGGGATATCATCGCCGCAGTTTCTATCAACCAATGCCGAAGCTGTCGCTGCCCGGACGCTGTTATCGTCAACTATTACTGGTAACAACGACTGGAAATTCAACTCCACCATGCTAAGCGAACGTTCTGAGTGGTACACCCATAGTAGGATGCATGCCCTGGCCAACTGCGCGTTGGATCCTTGGCTGGCAGATTCGCCACCACGCATAGTTCGAATGGCTGCGCTCTTGAAAGACAAGTCTCTTCCTTCTTCGACTTTCTCCGACTTATTTGAGACCCTTGAAGGTACCCGGAATCAATCAATCGACACTAAGTGGATGGGTGGTGCGAAACGCAGACTTTGTTCAATATCATCACGAATCTCACATCAAGCGAGGCCACAGTGACATTTAGCAGACCGACTGAATATACTGAGAGGGTCCAGCTGAAACTGGAAGCTCTTTAGTTGTAAGATAATAACCGGGATAGCTCAAATCATGGAGGCAACATGTTATTGACCTAACATGTCATTAAAGGGACAACACTTGATCCCGCAATGACCTAGTGTAAATAGTACTTAGAGGTTGGGAGACATGGGAGGACAATGAATTGAAGAATGCTTTCACCAGACGAGGATCTATGGGTGCCCCAAGCCATAATTAAGCGGCCTACAGCTTCAAAAGTGAGCCCAGACTGTGCGGCGCAAGAGATATCTCCCACATCCGCGTCTCATTAAGGGCTAAAATCCTGCCACGCCGCGCAAAACAGAAGTTGGCAACGCCTCCTGGAATGAGAATCTTGCCAAGAAGTACACCACCTGGCGACCACACGTGGATGCCGTCACCACAGCCGCTGTAGACGTTACCAAACTGGTCGCATTTGATCCCGTCAGGAACCCCATTGTCCGCCATGGCAAACAAGCGGCGGTTAGTGAGGAACGGCTCGTCGCCTCTGGAAACTACATCGAAAGCGTATCTAAACGAAAGCATCCACGTTAGCGATGCGCATAGTCAATGATCTGAGAAAGAAGCATCATTGTGTCTCTCACATTGTCGCCGGCCTCGACGCATCTGTAGTGCCGTCACCGTGAATGGAGTCCGTGTCCGTGATGTATACGGTCGCCTGGTCGGGAGAGAATGATATGCCATTTGGCCTTCCAAACCCGTCAGCCATCGCCCGTACGGCCTTGGATCGCGGGTCATATCTGTAGACTTGGTTTGGTAGTTGAGGAGGTGGTCGAAAACCCTGCTCGTACCCATAGATGGGATCTGTGAACCATATGGATCCGTCACTGTGGACAACGACATCATTGGGAGAATTAAATGGCCGCCCATTGAAGCTGTCTAGAACCAATGTCTTTCGGTACGGTGCTTCGGCTTCCATGTGCCATAGGCCGCTTGGGGTATCCTTGGTACCTTGACTGCAGAAGAGGATGCCGTCTTGGTAGTTTACCCCCCCGTTTGCCATGGCAATGCCGCAGTCGATTTCTTCTCGCACAAATGGCTTCTTTTCAATGTTTATTTTACTGATGGTGATCTTTTGCTGTCCATCAGTTCCAACAAGGCGATTGCTGGTGACGAATAAGGCACCCGTTGATGGGATGTAGATGCCGGCCTCATGGGCCCATGGAACACTCTCGTGCTCCAAGCATAGGCGGATTGATGCTTCGTTTCCCACCACTTGGGAAAAAGACCTATGGATATGCAGAAAAGCCGGGTTTCTTTCCACCATATTGACATACGTGACTGACTTGTGGCCAAGACGGTGTTGGCGAAGTAGCTGAGCCGGGGTTCACAACTCCTAGCGACACGGACAGGTGCCGGTATTTATTGAGAAGTCCACTAGTAATTTAGCGCATATTGGCTGGTCCCCACGGAATAATTAGCCTTGCTCCTCTATTATTCTACGAAACGGCAAACTGAAAGTTCGGCCGACTGGGTAGGCCGACATCGGTACCACCCTTGCTCCCCCAGATATTCTGGCCTCAACCGCGGTCAAGGCCCGCAACACAGCTACATTGACACATAAGTGGAGCATCAAATCTCCAAAATGGGTGACAAGCAAGCCTCCATGTACCCATTAAACTCAGTGAAGCCCTCCATTTAGGTGAACATCTTGTCCTGTCAAGTATCCGGTCTTGGCAAACCTGGGGAATTCTTCAGCTTGGACTCGACTTTAGATATGACACGGCGAATAGCTTACATGATTGTAATCTGGGCAACTTCATCGGGCGTGCCGAGACGAGCCACCGGGATGGTGGAAGCAATGGCAAGACCAGGGTCATTGTTGCGGAGACTATCGAGGCTTTGAGCTGTACGATCCCAAGATCTTCACGCCTCCAGTTAACTGAGAGATACACATGGCATTTTTATCAGGATAGCTTGTGGATAACTTACCCGGCTTTCGGGAGCGGAATCATTCCCGTCGAGCCGATCATTGCCGGAGAGACCTAGAGTACGAAATTTAAGTTCGACATTCCAGTTAAACACAAAGGAAGAGATGGGAACCCTACTATATTAACCGTCACGCCTTCTGGCGCAAGTAGATTGGCTAGATTGCGGCCCATGGAACTAAGCTTTGGTATCAGTACGTTGCACTCGAGACTTGACGCCATTCCAAACAAGACGAACCTCAGGGCTCCTTTAGAGGCTGCGTAATGGCACCCATTCAACCCCTTGCCCTGGCTTGCAAGACTACCGACAAGTACGATTCTGCCCCAATTCTGCGCTCGCATGCCGGCGACGGCGGACTTGACGACGACAAAGGGACTTCGTGTATTGACCTCAAACATGTCATCCCAGTCGCTCTCTTCAATATCCGCGACATCTCGTATACGGCGACCTAACCCAGCATTGGCTACTAATATCGAGATGGTCTTGTGCTTTGCAGCAACGACGTCTGTTTGAAGCAGATTCGGGACGAGATCCCGCGTAGCCTCACGAGATGACAAGTCGGCCCGGCAAGGGACGAACAGCTGACCAGGATATTGAACACGCAGTTCGCTGGCGAGAGCATCCGCTGCGGCCTGGTATCATAAAAAACCCGCTTGAATTAGATTACATGGACTTGTCCAAGTGTAGCGATTGACATTCATGGCGAAACTACTCACCTTACTGGATGAATAATGAAGGGCAATGTCGCAGCCCTCGGCAGCCAGGGCTCGCGCACAATGCGAACCAATACCGCCGCTGAGGAAAGTCACATTAGCACAACTGTAGAGGAATGCGATCGTGCAATGCGTGCGGTCGCCTCACCTAGCTCCCGTGACGAGAGCCAAACGTCCTACAACGCTGTTGTCTTTGGCACGGAGTTGGAAGATGTCGTCACTCGTCATAGTGATGGACTTTCTATTCTTCTTTTGTCTCAAGCATAGGAAGGAAGAAAATGGCTAAATTGCATGATATCCAAACATTCAATGGCTTGTCCATGGCGACATCAGCGAGAAACCAGTCTGAGCGTGTTGGGTTTTCATATGCTCACCCCAGGGGGCGTAACAGAAAAGAAAGTCAAACACACAGTCAGAGTGGATCAAATATCGGGGGGTTTCGGCACATAGACCGATGGCAACACTTGGCTGAATAATGCGGGAGTGATCATGAATCAATCATGGCCAAGAAACAAGCGCATAAGGCCAGGATATTTCTTTTAAGAATAAGCTAAGAATAGATGGACAGGGAAAGATGAGCCAAATAGCTTAGAATCATGCCACCATTTGGCAACTATTGGTTCTCGAGGTCACGATGTCTGAAAGTTCTGGGGCTAGCTATGTCCCTTGTCACTTAAAGCCGGCCACGGCGTGTCTAGGTCAAGCCTGGTATAAATCATTCCCTCGGAGGGTTGGCTGCTTTTCTTGGCAATACCGTCTCTGTACTGTTATGACTCTTGTAGGGAGCATCATCGGCTACCACAATTAAGACGTAGAACTCGTGATTTCAACGTAATTTCAATGGCAAGATCGCCATCTGCTAATTCTCACTTGAAGCTACCCTTCAATATAGATCCAGACTTAGAGTCGCGCCCCAAATGTCCATGTACCCTGCGCAGGTCGTCCTCCTGTCAGCTTTGCTCTGGCAAACCCATCAGCCACAGGGGCAAACAACGGTAGACCACAGCTCTCTACGCCGTATGAGGCGATGACACCCTGACCCCTGACTGAGAAGAGATATTCAATGAAGTCTGCCACAGCTTTCTTTGTCTCCTCTGGGGCGAGTGGTGAATGCAATGCGTAGCAACTGTTCATCAATATGTGATGAGGGTTGGTCGGCTCCAGAAACACGACCGTATTTGAGATCGTCTTTAGTCCCGTCTGCTTCAGAATGGTAGAGCGATCGGTAAGGAGGTACGCACCGGCCTGATCGGCAATCTTGAGGGCACCGGCTGGTGTCTCGAGGGAGGTTTGATACCATTTAGCCGCCCCTTTGTCAGTCCACGGTTCCAACCCGCAGCTCGACCATAGGTGCCGCTCCTTCTCCATAGTTGCCGATCCGTCAGCCCTACTGTGGAAGAGTCCACCGTATTCTGAAATCCGACGAAGAGCATCGGCCACCGTAGCGGCGCCACGCGCGTTTGCTGGATCGTCCCTCGGTCCTGCCAAGCAGAAGTGGTCGTGGAATGCGCATCCCGCGGTGCGAGACCAGCCCTCGGACGCCGCCAGCTGCTCCCGGTCTCGTTCATACGTAAAGGCCAAATCAATTTGGCTTCTATAGAGTGCGACCTGAGTATTGAGCGAGTGATTGCATATCCACGCTATGGACCGTGATTCCGAGAGTGTTGAGAGATAGTCGGTAGCCAGAGCCTCCACAAGACCAGTCGCACCTGTGCAAGCGATGTCAGCAATCGAGAGTTCCTGATATTACACAGCAAGGCTGTATCGAGGGTGCTGACCGGCACCACCGTTGCTATGGATCGGTATGTTAGCCCTGTGATTCCTGTACAATTTCAAGGTGATGCCGGCCTACCCAATTCGCAGTAGTAAATCTCCTTTCCCATATACACTCGTAGCGGTGCTTTGTACGGGCCCTTGGGGCTGGATGACGGTAGTTGGGCGTGACATTGTGATTGAACGATAAGAGAGATGTAAAGGACCGACAGTTGCAGGTTTTGCAAAGGAGACCAGACTGCGTCTTGGTATATGAGGGAGGCTGCTTTGGCAGGTATCTGCAAACCCAGGCACAAAGAGAGTATCGGGACCCGTCTCTCACGCGATGTCAGCCCATATATCGGCGCCCCAATATGTACTTTCCCCAGACACATGGCGCTAGTAGCAATCGGATGTTAGTTTGGGTCCGACCACCGGCGGTTCTGGCCGGTAAATTTGACGCTACATTATGGGAGTAAAGTTGTTCAAGTGCACTGCTAACTACTAGATACACCCCGACCCTTGTTTCAACCAACTAGAAATACCCTACTAGCTCCAGATACTTATCTACCTTTCCTTAGATATACTCTTTCTTCTTTATATTTTGAGAAATAATCTGGAATATTGAATAATTGTTATTTTAGATATAATGTTTTGAAAATACTACAATCTAGGAAGTTAATTTACTTGAATAAGATAACCACTTGATAGTTACCTGAATACACTATAAAGTAGGGTTGTATAGGGTACCTGTAAGGTAACAACTACCTACCCGGTATACCGCCGGTTAGCTAACATCCTTGTATTATAGGAGGTCTCCACAGCAGGGGTGTGACAAGAAATGCTGACGTGAACGCTTACGACCGTATAATAGCGCAATAATTTCACGTTCGATCACGAGTGCCTCGGACCCGCCTAGCGGAATCTTTGATCGGGGTGTCTCTGAGATGGAACATTAACTCTGCAGAGAAATGACCTCTCCGTTATGGATTAAGGCTATGTTGACTAGGTAGCGTCACGTATGCTGTAACCCCTAGGAGCAGCACGTCCCATGGCAAGAGTTGAAGCTAGCAAGGGAAGCATGAATAGAATGGAGCCATCGTTCTCTCCAGTTATTGGCTCAACGACACATGTTAGTCAAAGTATACTGGACCGACCGCTATAGCCACTTCGTGTACGCAGTATTGAAGCATCACGTTTTATCCGTCAACCCTCAAGTCTCAAACGTTGCAATAGGGCCCATGTCTCTAGGAGGAGTGATTATGACGGAGGTAATTATTCCCCTTATCTAAATGACTATCTAATGTGATTTTAATCAACGTGTAGGCCTACAATCGAGATAGCCGCACTAAGTGGCTATTTAGATATTCTCCTTTGTCTCGACGGTGAGGTTGCCGTTCTTCTCGCTGGACTTGTCGTCCTCCAGCACAGTCTTCTCGACATCTTCAGTCTTGTAAAAATCCTTGTCGAAAATAACGGCAATCTCCTCGAGAGTACGGCCCTGTGGCACAGTCAGCGTCCGAGTTTTGAAGAACTCAAGATACAATGAGTGGAGACAGTCTCGCCTTACCTTGGTTTCCGGGAAGAGGAAGAAGACGACGGCCAATACAAGACCCAGCCAGGAGCAATAAACAATGTAAAACTTCCATTGCAGCTTCTCAAGGCCGATTGGGTTCACAAACTGGTTAAAGAAGCTTGCACTCTTGACAGCTCCGACCAGCAGAGAGACACCCTTGGCGCGGATGGGAAAGGTCAGGATCTCGACGGGGTAGGCCACGGACAAGGGGTTCCAGCAGAAGTTGTAGGCGGACATGAAGAAAATGAGGGAGAACAGCACGGCGCTGCCAGCGGACCCAGACCCGTGCATAGTATACTGGCTGCCGGAGATGGTCCATGAGATCATGGCAAGTAGCATCAGGCTGGTGGAGCTGACAAAGATAACACGGCGGCCGAGACGGTTAACCAGATTGGCACCGATCATGGAGACAATCATGTTCCAAATCTGGATGATGCCATTGATCAAGGTGATGCGCTCTTGCGAGGTAATGCCGATTGTGCGCAAAACAGGGGCGAGGTAATAAGAAACCAGACCGGATCCAGACCACTGCGGGAAGTAAGCGCAGCAGAGGACGAGGAATGTGCGGTAGCGGTTGCCGGGGCTGTTGAAAAGCTGGCCCCAAGATTGTTTGCCGAGTGCCATCTCGGCCTGGATGGCGGCTCGGATCTCTTCGAACTCGAGTCTAACGAGCTCTGAGTTGGGATTGCCCTCACCGTGGGTGTCGATTAAGATTTGCTTGGCCTCGTCGTAGCGCTCGTTGCCGATGAGCCAACGCGGAGACTCGGGCAGGAACCACACGCCAGCGATGTTGATGATGGACGGGATCATCTGAAGAAGGGCCGGGATGCGCCAGGACCAGTCGTTGTTGATTCGGAACGTCCCATAGGTCACCCAGGCGGCGATGATGCTGCCCACGTACCATAGTGTGTTGTACATGGAGGTGATGGTGGTGCGAGAGGTCGGATGTGCCAGCTCGGCCGTCAGCATTGGAGCGGAGGAGCCGGCAATTGTGAGACCGAAGCCGATGACGAATCGCGAAACAAGGAACATGGCAACTGTAATAGGCCGCTTGTCAGTGCTCTACATCACCGCCTGGAAGTCCAAACTTTGTCCGAGGGAAAAGAGCCTCTACTCACTGTTGATGCTACTAGTCTGGATTATGGCTCCGATGATCATGATAATGTCACCCGCAGTCATAGCCCATCGTCTACCGTAGTGATCAGAGATATATGCGGCGAGTGGAATACCGAAAACAGCTCCCAAGGGCAGAATAGCATTCATGATTCCCAGCAGAGATCCCGTAGGATATCCGAAGTCTAAACTCAAGCCAAGTCAGCCAATGTCTCAATTGTGCTTTTAGCCAACGGAATAGACCACTCACAAATGTTCCAGCGGTCAACAGCCTGGATGCCGTTCATCATGGAACCATCATAGCCCATGGTGGCGCTGACAATCAGTGTGCCCGGAATCATCTGTAGGTAGAGCTGGAGCAGATTCTTATTCTTGTAGAACGGCTTCTCGCCGTCTACGGACAAGACGGCCTTATCTTCAACTGCCTGCATAGTGTTGATACTACTGGGCCGTTGGGACTGATTGTAGACAAAGTTGAAGGAATATTAGACAAAGGGCAGTCGAGTAATGCTTCGTGAGCAAGATGCTGTTAAACTCGAAGTGAAAGGAAGGCCGAGACTCTTATACTTCCGGGAACATTGCAACTCTCTAACCAACTACCCGGAACAATCTAGACCGCGTCCCGTGTAGGTGATGGACTCGTCCCAAAGGCAAAGAAAAACTGGATTGTGGGGTGAAAGACTTTCTGGGGATGGCCGGGGCTTGCCGGGGTACACGGGTGGGGGTACGTGGACTGATGAGAGCTTGAGCAGACTTAGGGGTATCGGTAATTTTGCCGTGATGCCCCGAAGCAAAATGAGCCACAACGTCGAGATTGCTAGGAACCAGGATTTCAACTCACTTGGTACATGTGCTGTGGGGTTTTGCGAGTCAAGCGCATGCAAGGTCCCTGAATAGCCCCACTGACACGAGGGGGAGACGCTCCGATGTAGGATGTTCGGGTTCATTCTTCATTTGCGTTTCTTGTTTTTCCACATCATCCGGGGAGGCGTATAGTCGAAACCTTCAAATGGAGTCTGGCGCGTCGCCTGGGGAAGCCAGGCCAAGACATCTCTATAGAAGCATGATCTAGTGATCGAGCAATCTACAGTTGTAGCCATTGTTCTCCTATCCAAGGACGCCCCTCCTCAAGCCTCTCCGCACCCCTCGTCCTTCTCCCTTTCTCTCTCTCACCCTCAACTTTTTTGTCGTAAATCAGGACAAGGGCAGAGTCGCCATGTCCATCAAGATCTCGTATGAGGTCGCGCCAGGCAACATCCGGGACCAGGAGCTATCTCTCAACCAAGCCATTGGTCTACTCTCAGGCAAGGATTTCTGGAGAACCAGAGACTTTCCAGAGCTGCAGCTCGGCGCGCTCAAGTTTACAGATGGGCCGAATGGCGCCCGAGGAGAGAACTGGACAGAGGGCAAAGCCGCCGTATGCTTCCCGTGTGCCACGGCCCTCGGAGCATCCTTTGATCGCAACCTTTTGCGAGAAGTAGGATCTGCCATTGCGGTTGACGCCCGTGGGAAGCGAGCAAACGGCCTCCTGGCGCCGACCGTGAACATCCACCGCTATATTCTCAGTGAGTTGCGCAATCACCAGATGTTGGACAACCTTCATGCCATCAGAAACTGATATTTGACCTCTTTCCAGATGGCCGAAACTTTGAGTCTTACAGTGAAGATCCTCACTTATCTGGCTTCCTCGCGGCAGAGTATATCAATGGCGTCCAGAGCCTGAACATCGCCGCCAGCCCCAAGCACTTCCTCGGCAACGAGGTCGAGAACGGCAGACGTTGGAGTGACAGCGTGATTGATGAACGTGCCCTGCGAGAAATCTACCTCGAACCGTTCCGCCTTCTCTGCAAGCACTCATCACCGCTGTGTCTCATGACTTCGTGCGTAAACCCTTCGCACAACACGCAACCCCCCTCCTTGCTCCAGTTCTTTACTAACTGGAGGTTAGATACAACGCCGTTAACGGTGAATACTGTTCCGAGTCACCAACACTGCTACGAATCGTGCGCGACGAATGGAATTACGATGGGGTCATCATCTCGGATTGGTTCGGTACCTACAGCACCAGTGATGCCATCAACGCGGGCCTCGATCTCGAGCTACCTGGCGAGACCAAGTTCCGCACGCAACAGAAGATGACGGAGGCTATCGAAAGGGGCCAAATTGACCCCGCACACTTGACCACGATCCTCCAACGTGTAGTTGACCTGCTACAGAAGACCGGCCGTATCGGTCTGTCTGACGCTGAAGACGCTCGGGGAACGCTCCCTGAGCTCTCGTCCGTACCCAACGCCGGGACAAGTGCCCTGCTGCGTCGCGCTGCAGCGGACGGCATGGTGCTGTTGAAGAACAAGAACAATACACTGCCGCTGTCAGCGAGAGCTGGAAATAATATCGCCGTCGTCGGCAAACCAGCGGCCGAGCCATCCATCTTTGGTGGGGGCTCAGCAAGCCTGAAGCCCGCGCACATCTCGACACCGCTCGAGGCACTGTGTCAAACGTACCCTTCGCTGGTGTACTCGGAAGGCGTAGCCGTTCAGAGACTGGTAGAGCTTTCTTGCCAGATCAAGGTGCCAGAGTCTGATGTGCGGCTGGAATGGTTCAATAGCAGTGAACCGGATGAGAAGCAACTCTTTCGGGATGAAGTCGTTCCCAAGTCTGAATACATGATGATGGAGGATATCCACGCTGGACTGGCTGACTTGCGGAGCTTTTGCACGCGCATGACGGTGGTGATCCAGCCACCTGTGACAGGAGCGTACCGCCTCAGCCTGACCAGCCCTGGCTCACAAACGTGCTACATCGATGGTAAAGTGGTAGGCACTGTGGCTCGAGGTGCCGAGGTTGTCACCGAGGATTACATTTTCAACCGCGCTCGCCTTGAGCAACGCATCGACACTCCCATCCATCTCGAATCCTCCAAGCAATATACGCTCACCATTGTAACCCAGAGCGCCAAGCACTCTCCCGTACACATTAACCGAGAGTTCTATGTGCAGGGAAGCCGCGTTGGCCTCGCCCCTATTCCCGACGACGACAAGGAAATTGCTGATGCAGCGGCCAAGGTGTCTGCTTCCGGTGCCGCCGCGACTGTTGTCTTTGTTGGCACTTCGACCCAATGGGAGTCTGAAGGATTCGACCGTGTCTCCTACTCCCTCCCGTTGCGGCAGAATGACCTCATCCGTGCGGTTGTGAGAGCATCGCCCGGCCCGACCATCGTTGTTGTCAATGCGGGGTCCGCGGTTGACTGCACACCTTGGATTGATGAGGTTGACGCTGTGATCCAAGCTTGGTTCCCCGGCCAAGAGTACGGCAGCGCCATCTCAGACGTGCTCACTGGCCGTGTGTCCCCAAGCGCGAGGCTGCCCACCACTATCCCTCGCTCCATGGAGGGTACGTGCACTGGGGATCTTACCGGCAAGACTGAGGGAGATAAAGGTGTCCAGAAGCGCATTGTTTACCAGGAGAGCTGGGCTGTGGGTTACCGTGCTTTCGGTGGCAACCGGGATTGGTATAATCCGCTGTTTGCTTTCGGACACGGGCTTTCGTACTCAGAGTTCTCTTATGGAGCCATTAAGCAGGAGCTCATCCACGGCGACCATGATATCAGTGTCACTGTATCGGTTCCTGTTAAGAATACGGGCGCCGTCGAAGCAGCCGAGGTGGTACAGCTGTACATTCAGCCCCCACAAGGCTCAGTCGAGCGACCGGTCGTAGAGCTGAGGGCATTCGCAAAGACACAACGGCTTGCCTCGCGTGAGGAGCAGACGGTGCAGCTCCAACTCACGAACGAAGCATTCAGCTTCTGGGATGTTGAAACTCATAGCTGGAAGGTGGAGGCTGGCGAGTACACGGTGCTCTTCGCCGGCAGCGCAGGTGTCGGTGACTGGATCGAGACTGGTGAGCGTGTTGCAATTACGGTGGATAAGACATTCCACTGGTCGACCTAGAAGGATAGATAATAGACAAGTAGAAATACATTAAAGAATAACTGACATGCACACCTTGGCAAAGTAGACCTGTTGGTGGGCGAGTAGAGCTTTTGTTTCCTGATATGCAACACATGCGTATTTCTTTGTCAGCTGTTATATGTTGCCCACTCTAAAACTAAATTATTCCACGCTTGATTGACTACGGCTTGATATTATGGTTGAATAATCCTCTTTCCCGAGCCTCTTTAAGCCCTGTCCAGAGAGTGATGGCCGCCAGTCTCAGGCTGGGGCTCTCTTCTTCCCATGCCGAAAGCCAGCCAGCAGCCATCCCTAGAGCTGCTTCCGCTCTGCCCAGCAACGGTCCTGCTGCCATCTCACCCCCTACAGGATCCTTCAATCCAGAAAACGGATACAGGCACTCCATAGTGGATTTGAGGTCAGGGACTAGAACAGCGGCGAGGACGCTCAGACCAGCTGCCCAGATGCCCCTGCCGCATCGCCAGCTGCCAAAGTGCCTCCTTGGGGATGTTTGTGCCTCAATGAACTCTATGCACGCGAACACGCACTTTAGAGCGCCATTTGACACCATCGCATAGGTGTCCTTGCTGCCTACTGTCGCCGGGCTATGGAGAACAATAGCCTGAAGGAACGGCCGGAACGTGGTGATTCGGGCGTGGAAATGCCGGTTTGCAAGATGATGAGACAGTTCTGTGTTGAGTATGTCATTGGGGAACATTGAGAGGTTGGTAAAGATGTGCATTGGTAAGGACGACGCCCTGAAGGGGATCAACGTTTGTAGCCAGAAGGTTCAAGAGGCCAAGGAACATACCATTCTTGGATTTGGACTTCAAGCTCCCTGGCTATGGGGTAGAGGCCAACGAGGTCTGCCAACGATGGGGATGGTGGTATATCTGTAGATCAGTCATGGGCTGACACCTATTATGATAAAGAATCAGTACCCACCTTGATAGAGCGTCTTGGAAACACGGTCAAGGAGCTTCCAGCTAGCCACTTCTGCGAGGTAATAGAACCAAGTCTGGGATTTGACAGAGTCGTTGCCTTGCCCATTCAATGCGGCATCTGGTGGCGGTTTGGGCAGGTTTTCTAGGTCTGCGAAACTAAGTATTGACATGCCGCCGGGCCCGAATCCCATTATCTCCTCTTGAATCTCGCTTTCTGCTTTAGCTGTTGCACAGCATACGCGGAAGCGGAGGTCGGTGATGTGTGATCCCGGCGTATCTGACCAATGATCGCTAGAAGTATTAGGTAAGCTTCTGTATCAGGCAGGGAGCAGCTTTGTATGATGACAACGGAGGTCAGGTTTTAGGGGGATGAGACGGAGAAGTAGGAATGGTTGCTTACAGATGCATGATCGTTTTAGCAAGCATTGCTGCTTCACTGAAGACTTTCCGGGCGTCCCATGGACGCATATACCACATGAAATGTGTGCCCGCGAGAAGCAAGCACTGAATCTTCTCTATCCACTCCCGCATATCTTCCCCGTCGCCGCCATTAATCTCTCGGGGGCACAACAGACCGGACTGGTGATACAAAGTCGGCCCCATCCAAGATAAAGCGAAATCGAAATAGCGAGACGGTGTCAACGGCTTGCCGGGGATAAGGTTCTCTTCGCTCACTGTTACGTGACCGAGAGCCAAGACGAGGAGATAAATACATATTCTCGTTGGACACAGTCCGCAGCTGGAGCTAGGGCCCGCGTAGTGGCAAGGTTGCCATCGCTGTTGTAGGACCTGGATGCGGACGCTGTTGAACCAATCGGAATCAAAGATAGGCGATTTGCTGTGCACTTGGGCGAAGTAGCTCTCAATCAGTATTGGCTCCTGCTCTGGATCTAGACTGTCTGGGTGGCAAATAGACGTCGCGACCGTCTGGTGTTGCCGCTCACGGTCGTAGCTGTTGAGGTCGGCTGAGGTTGTTGATTTGATCTCCAACATGATGCTGGGGCTCGGCTCATGTCGTGGTTTGCAGTTTGGCCTGTTGTTAGATGGCTCTGCCCTCCATTTCCCCACCTCGGGCAGGGCCTGCAACACATCAAGAATGACGGGCCAGGTCATGATGCTATCGCCGTTGATGCCGCTATGCCCATAGCGCGGATGGCTAAACTGGGAACACTCCTTGGAACGTGGTGATAATACACTGGCAGGCGCTTCCACGAGAGAATTCTCCGACATCGTCGCAGGTGTACCGCCTTGAAGACTTGCTATCTGCGCCGAGAGCCTCGATTCGGATCGCGCAATATGGTCAAGAATCAGCAAGGAGGCCGTGTCAATCCTACAGAGCATGTCAGAGTCCACATCACGGAGACAATACACTCAGGGTGTACATACTTTGCCAATTCCGTGCCGGGATACCCGCACTCGTTACCACTCTCCCTACAGAAGCCACACTTGGGGCGCACATTGTCACATCGTGACTTGCTGGAGATAACAGTCAGCACGGTCGGCCAGTGAAGCTAAAGCTGATGACGCACCGGGCGCGACACACGAAGCAAGCCTGAGAAGCTCGCTTCCGTGGATAGCTTGACTCAGAACGGTTTTCGATCCGACGCTTTCGAGTCCTGTTTTGGGAGAAATCTTCATTCGTGTCGCCGAGACCCTCATCAGCAGGCATAGTAGCCGGAGTCGGGTGATCAGATTTTTGCAAGATGATTGCGCTGCCGAGCCAATTTGTGGTGAACCTTATGCCGCGGAACCAATGAGTTTCAATGTCTGCAGGTCAATGGATCGAGGAGAAACCCTGGGTGAAAGCTGGAGGTGGACCGTATATATCAAAAGGTGGGGGGTCAGGTGATAGCTTTAACGCCCGGCGGGTATAATAATCCTGTGCTACAGGGTGTATTGATATGCTGTGGATATAGCTATGCGCTGTTTAGGATTTCCATACGCTATCTATACCGCTGTCTAATATAATTTACCCAGCCCTTGTATTAGAACCGAGGTATTATGTAATCTCCTCTGTTATATAGGTAGTAGTAGATATCGGTAAACCTATTAGATACTTAAATAGGTTTTATCTAAAGGGTATTTTAAGTATTTCTAGATAATCTATTTTCTATTTAAAATAGATATTAGATATAATAGAATATCTAATTAATATTTAATTTTATATTTAGATAAATATAGATATCTAAATTACTATATTTCTATTTTAAGAGAGTATATAAATAGAGAATAAAGCTCTAAAGATTAAATATAATATTAATTATTTTAATTTCTAATCTAAAGTTAATAAATCTTTAGATCTTATAATTATTAGAATTAAAAATTAAATAATTAAAAGCTTTTAAATTTAAATAGTATTTATAGAGATTAGATTAAATAGAATAAAAGCTTATAGTTTAAGTATTTTAATATTTATCTCTATTTTAAAATCTAATTTCTTAAAATCTAATTTCTTAAATTCTAATTTATTAGATAATATTTCTTCTAGAGTTAGAAGCTTAAGAATATCTTTAATATTAAAAGGTTTAAAATATTATAATATAGGAATAGATTACTTTTAAATAATATATTAATCTTAAAATATTTAAATTAATATATTAAATTAATTCTATATATTAATATAATAATATATACTTTATACTCTTTTAAATTTAATAGAAATAAACTAAAGATTAAAAAAATCTCTTATTAATCTATAAATATTAGAATATTTTAACTTTTTTAAAAAATAAATTTAAAATTACTAATTATTTTTTAAAAATTATTTTTCTAAATTAATTAGTTTATATAATTAAAATATAATAAATATTAAAATATAAATATATATTTCTAAAAAAACTAAATATAGATTTTATAATTAAAAATTTATTTAGAAATAGTAAAATTCTAATAATATATAAATTAGTAAAATAATAATAATAATATATAGTAATTAGTATAATTTAATTAGTATAACTAGATTTATATTATCTTCTTTAAATTAATTATTTCTATAATTTCTTTTATAAGTTAATATTTATTAATTATTTTTTTTTATAAAAAACTAATTAATAATTTAGAGAAATTTTAAATTAAATAATTTTTAATATATTCTAAAATAAATATATTTTTATATTTTTATTAAATATATATTTATATCTCTATAGAATCTATAAAATTATTATTCTAAATATAGTAAAAACTAGTTTAATAATAATTTTCTTATTTTTCTAATATAATTTATAGAAGAATATTAATTATATATACTTATTTACCTTAAATAATTAATTAAATATACTTTTATAATTTTTATTATATATTAAATAGAGCTTATAATAGCTATTATTATTAGATTAATAGTTAAAATTAGTTTTTAAATAATATAATCTCTATTTTTAAAAAGCTATTTATATATTTAAAATAATAAATAGAAGCTATAAAGGTTTTATTATTTATACTTATAATATTAGTAATCTATAAAAAAGAATTTTTAATTTTAATAAAATAATTAATTTACTATTAATTTAAAGTATTTAACTATTAAGTTTCTAGATAATTAAATTAGTTTTTTAATTAGTAATTAATTATTATTAAGATATTTCTTACTCTAATAAGTATAAAAGTAATTAAGTTCTATTATATTAGATAATTTCTTTTTAGTTAAAAAGTTTTTTTATTTAGAGTTTTTAAATTTCCTTATAATATTAAATATAATTAGTATTTTATAAAGAAATTAAACTATTTAGAGTTATAGCTAAATCTATTAATAAAATATTAGATTTTTTAAAGTTAGTATTTTATTATATTTATTATTTAAAATTATAAGGAAGAAATATATATATAGAGAGAAGTATATATATAGGGAGAAGTATATATATAGAAAGAAGTATATATATAAGAAGAAGAAATATATATAGAGAATTAAATATCTTAAGAATTAATTCTTTAAGATTATTATTATTTAAAGAAAAAAGAATATTATTAAATAGCTAAATATATATCTTTATTTTATTCTAATCTAGTTAAGTTTTAAATAATCTAGAGATATTATATTTATATTTATTATTATTAAGATTATCTAGAATATCTAGTTTTATAGAATTAAATAGATACTATATAGCTAAATTAAGAATATAGTTAAAATACTAAATCTAATAATAAAAAATTAATAGCTTTTTATTAAATTTCTAAAGTATATTTTATAAATTTTAAATATTAAGATATATACTATTATTAGTTATAATACTAATATATTAATATTCTAGTCTAGATTTATATAGAGTATTAATAATATATTAATAGATAGTTATATTAGATTAATCTTTAGAAATATTAAAAAATCCTAGATAAATATATTTAGTTTTCTAGTTATAGTTAATATAAAAGTAAATAATATTTAGAATTATCTATTTATTTTCTCTATTAGTTTAATAATTAATAATAAAAGATATTTTTTACTTTAATAAGTATATAATATTAAGAGCTATCTAGTAATATTCTTTTATAACTAAATATATATATATATATATATATATATTTAAAAATCTTTACTATATATAAGAGATATTCTAAAATTAGGCTATATATAACTAGCTCTATATAATTTATTTTTAATCAAGTTTTAGTCTATATCTAATCTTTAACTCTATTTTTTTTTACTTTTTTATTTATATAAGCTAAGGTAAGATAATAGTATCTCTAAAAACTCTAAAAAGAGCTTATTAAATATATAACTTAACTATAGACTCTAAGGGGGAATACTTATTATCTATAATTAATTATAATATCTCTCTAAGCTTATTATTACTAATTACTAATAATTAGATCTCTTCTTATAATTATAATAATAGATATCTCTAATATTATTATTCCCTATAACTAGAGCTTAGTTATTATAAGTAATTAGATTCTTATATATATAATAATTATTATTAATAATAATTATTAGGATCTCTTTTTAGATATTAATTATTTAAGCTTATAATCTATTATAAATTTACTTATAGTAATAAAGCTACTCTCTCTTATATAAGCCTAGTAGTTATACCTACTAGAGCTATTATTATATCTAGTAACTAGCTAATAAGAAGATATATAGATCCTGATTTTCTATATACTTATAGAGAACTATATAAATATTCCTCTAGTACTTAATAATTATTATAATCTAATATACTATATATAGTACTAGTAAGTAATATACTAGTTTAAGTTAATTTAGACTAAGATAGCTTTTTAAGTTAAATAAAAAGTCTATTTTAATTAGTATTAAATAGGTAGAAGAAAATAAAATTAAATTAAATTATTAAAAAGTTTATTAGAGTAAAAAGTTAAATTAAATAAGATTAATAAGATAGTATCTAAAATATAGTAGATTAATTAATCTAATACTACTATAGATTATTTAAAGAAAATTATAATAGCTAATTATAAAGTTACTATATACTAATAAAGACTAAATATAGTTTATATAGTAAACTAAATATATATAATATATAATTATTATTAATATAATAATATAAGATATAGAAATAGAAAGCTATTAAAGTATAAACTTAAAGAATAAATTATTAATAAATTATATAGATAAATAATTAGTATAAATAAGTAATATAATTATTAAGTATAGGTTTTTTTATACTTTAGAGTATAATAAATTCTAATTAGAGAATTAGTATTATATAATTAGTATATATTAATTAGTATAAATATTAATATTAATAAATTTAAATTTAGTAAGTTCTATATTAAATCTAAATAGTAATAATTTCTAAGAAATATAAACTATATTCTCTAAGTATTTTCTTAGGCTTAATATATTATAAATAAATTATTACTTTAAAGAGGTATAATAAAGATTATATATAACTTAAGAAGAGCTATTAGATATTAGTATAACTAGTTTAAAAGTTTTCTATATAGTAGATTATTATAAATATTAAAAGATTTTCTTTCTATTATCTAATATATTAGAATTAATCTCTTTATTATTAAATTAATAGTTTTACTTATAATATATTATATTCTATTACTAATTAAAAAAGCTTATAGTATATTTTAAATTAAAAATAAAGTATTTATTCTATTAGGTTTTAATATTTATAAAATATATAATAATATTCTTATTTATTTCTACTAAAGAAAGAAATAGATTATTATTATAAATAGAAATATTTATTATTTAATTATAAGATTATAACTTAATATAGAAGAATAAGAAGAAAATAAAAATTAATTAAATTTTAATAAATAGAAATAAATAAAAATAATTAGATTTTAAATAATAATCTCTATATTTCTATTTAGAAATAGAGCTAAATAATCTAAATAAGTTAATAAAATAATTTTAAATATTAAGTTTTAAAATTTCTAAATATTAAGATTTCTTTTTTAATTATTTATATTTATATTAATTAATTTAATCTAATTAAAATATTATAAAAAATACTAGTAATATCTAAATCTATAGTAGAAGAATACTCTAATCTAGATATATATATATTACTATCTAGTTCTCCCCCTAGAGTTATATAGAGAAATAATATATAATTACTAGTTTTTAAAGAAAAATCTATTATTTTAAAATCTTAATTATTATCTTTATTTAATAATATAGATTAAGAGTTATTATATATAGTAATAAAATTATTAAAATAATTACTCTATTAAAATATATAATTAAAGAAAAGAATTAAAAAGATTTAGTTTTAAATTATAAGAAAATAACTATAGAAGTTTAATCTAATAATTATATTAATAAAATATATTAGAAAAGATTAATTACTAATAAAACTAAGAAATTAAATATCTATAGAAATCTATAAATTTTATTATTTTTAAAATATTATTTTAAAGATTAATTTAGAAAATAATATATAATATTTATTCTAATCTAAGATTTTAATTAATTACTCTCTAGATATTATAAAAAGCTATTAAAGTATATTTTATTAATTTTATTAAATATATATATTTCTATTATTTTTATCTCTATATTTTATTTATATTTTATTCTAGATTCTAATCTTTATATAATCTATATATACTATATTATAATTTAATTAAAAAATATAAATCTTATATAATTTTTATTAATTAAAAATATAAATTATCTATAAATAAAAAAAGAAATCTAAATATATTATATTATTATAGTATTTTAAAATAAGAATATAAAAAGATCTTAAGCTTTTAAAATCTAATAAATTCTAATATCTAATAACTTAAAGTTATATAATATATAAGATAGAGTATAAATACTAACTAGTTAGTATTTAATATTATTATTAAAATCTAGAGTAATATTAATAAATATTAAAAATAGTTTATTTAATAGTACTTTATAATAGGAATTAAGATTATTCTAAAAATAAATTAATTCTAATAATATATATTAAAAAATATTATACTTATCTAAATATATACTAAGTATAAAGAAAAGTAAAAGTATATATTTCTTTAATAATTTTTAAAAGTAAAAAAAAAAAATATTAGAAATAGTATATAATATCTATTAGATTATTTAAAAAGAATATTTAAATTATTAAAAAAGATTATATTTAATTTAGAATCTTTATAAAGCTTTTTTAATATTATTATAATTTTAATTAATATAATTTAATTAGTATAAATTAGAATTTAAATATTTATAATATCTTTCTAAGAGAAATTAATTAATTTAATATAAAAACTAGATTAGAAACTCTAAAATAGAAAAAACCTATAATATAGAGTCTAATAATAGAAAAGTTAGAAACTATTTAGTCTATAGTTATTTTATCTTTTAAGAATAATACTCTAAGAGATAGTATTTTTTAAAAATATTTTTAATATTTAAATAAATAAAATTAATAAAATAATAATATAATTATACTTTATACTTCTAATTTAAAATTAATAAATATTAATATATTAAAAGATTAATAAATACTTATTAATATCTTATTTTTCTATAATTTAGCTAGTACTTTATAGAGCTATTTTTTATTTAATATATCTAATAGAGATTTATTATTTAACTCTATATTAAATTAAACTAATTAATACTCTATTAGAATATCTATTTTATTTATATCTATATTTTTAAAATTAGAATTACTACTATTATTTACTATTTCTATAGTATTAAACTCTATAGTAAACTCTAGTTATATTATTATATTATCTAGATACTTTTTATTTAAATAGCTATTTTAATTAGAATAAATTAATTAGAATAGCTAATATTAGAAAAATAGAGATTATATTTATTATTCTTCTTTAATACTAGTTCTAATAAGAGCTTTATTATTTTTTTATATTTTCTTATTAAGATTCTAATAATCTATATATTATTTATACTATTTAATTTTATATTAAGTTTATTTAGTTAATATAGTTTTAATATTTTTAACTTATTATTTAAATTTAAATATTATTATAATTTAATTTTAAAATTTCTTTATATATAGATTATCTTATAGTTTTTCTAATACTTTTTATTTAATACTATCTTTTCTATATAGTAAATAATTATATTTATATTTAGATATTTTTATAAATTAATTTAATTAAATCTAGAACTTTTAATTATTAGTAGAATAATATTATTATTATAATAAATAGATATATATATTAGAAGGGGTAAAAATAACTTAAAAAGTATATTAAAAAAATTTATAAAGTAGTATAAATAATTATTTTAATTAAGTTTATATAGAGAAAGTTTAGTATTTTTAAAAATAGTATATTATTTAAAATAGAGAATAAATAGAATAATATATAATTTAGTACTTTATAATTAACTAAAAATCCTATAGATCTACTTTTTTTATATTTAAAGTTTTTTAATCTATAATTTAAACTCTATTTATATTCTAATTTTTTATAATCTAAATTTTAATATAACTAAATCTAACTATAGCTAAATAAGTTATTATAATATTTCTTTCTATATATAGTATTTCTAATTTTTTATTAATATATTTTAATTAGTATAATTCTTTATTCTATATTAATATAGTAAAAACTAAGTAAATCTTATATAAATTCTCTATAGAAAGAAAGATATTTTAAAAAGATTTTATTTTAGTTATAAAAATTACTTATATCTCTAAACCTATTAAAACTATTATTTCTAAATATAAATAAAAATCTAATAGTAAATAATATTTTATTAGAATAATTTAATTAGAATAATTCTAATATTATTATAACTATATTACTCTAAGAGATTTATTATTATTAGAAATTAATTAATCTTATTATATTAAAAACCTCTTTTATATATTTTATATATAAGATTATTTAGGATTTTAAAATAGATTTATATTAGTAAAGTTTAACTATTAGTACTATTTAGAAAGCTATAGAAAATATCTTAATTATTATATTTATAAATATAATATACTTATAGAATTTAAATATATATACTAATTTTTTATTATAATTATTTAACTTTTTACTATTTATATTAAATAAATAATAATTAGATAAGCTAATTTCTAGATTTTAAGAGAAATTATAAATATATTTCTAAGCTTAAATATTAAGTTTCTTAAATTATATATTAATAAATAACTTTTCTAATATCTAATTAATTATTCTAATTAAATTAATCTAATTAATATATTTAGCTTCTATTTATAATATTAATTATTAAGAGATAATCTATAAGAAGAAAAAAGTAGAAAAGAAAAGAAAGAATAATAAACTTATTATTATAGAAGCTTATTAAACTTAAAGTATTAATTATAATTATAATTATAGTTATAATAGTATTTATTCTATATATAGTTTAAATTAAACTCTATATAGTAGTAAGATTCTATATAATAATAAATCTAATCTAGTTATAAACTCTTCTTATAATAACTCTAATAAGAGCTCTAGTAATAAGTTTAATAAAAATTCTAATAAGAAATCTAATAAAAGTTTTAATAAGAAATCTAATAAGAGTTCTAATAAAAAATCTAATTAAAATTCTAATAAAGAATTTAATAATAAAAATAGAATAAATATATAGTTTATTAGTATTTATTAATAAAGAGATTATTTATTTAGTTAATTATTCTCTATTAAAATAAAAGTTCTTTATATCTTATTCTAGAATATTCTAATTATTATTTAAATTTATCTAGATAATAAAATATATCTATCTATAATTTAATATAGATAAATTTAGATCTTAATCTATATCTAGATTTACCTATATATATTTCTAGATAATTTTCTAAGATTTATTCTATATATTAGATACTTAAAATTACCTATAGATACCTGATGCCGGTCTCTAGGTAGTAGTACTAAGTTTGATCCGCCCTACTCTATCATTTCCTAGCATGAGCTAATCAGGTTGATCTCCCAGGGCTGGTGTTCCCCGTGTTATCTTCCCGCTGTGGGCAAACCTGTACGGCTTTGGCGCACTGGTTGAATACCTCTGGGGCTGCAAGGCGACCAGTCCTGAGTGGACATCGGAGTGTATAAGCAGCTCTATTTTTGATATTATATCAGGCAGTGATGTCGCCGTTTCTATCAGAGACAAAGCTAAAGCACTCGGCACATCTGTGCAGGCCCGCGAGAAGGGCGAGATGTCTCTGCTTGGGAGATTGTAAAGCTAGCGTACAAAAAGTAAAACTAGAATTACGAGTAAAGGGCGGGCTGCTAATCTCGCCTCCAGAAATAATATATCCTAGCATGGCATTACTTTACGGCATGAGCTGTTGATCTAAGTCTTAATTTTTTGTAATAGACAAGCAATAATATAGAAAGTAGTGTAACACTAATCCGGGCAGCTTTGTCCTTGTCTAGCTATAAATGAACTACAACGTTTTGAATACACCTTTCGCTATATACAGATAGAACTTGTATTATTCTTTGTCTGCAAATGTGAAGATAATAAGGTAGAGTTACATAACCTAAACAGAAATAACAACCCAACGTGAGAAATAGAATAAAACAATACAAAGACAAAGTCCTATATTTTGTGTGTTAAGTGGTAAAGTCTAGATGAAGAAGACAGGGCGAGCAAATTGAAAGGCCTTTACCGTGGTTTCGTCGCAGTGCAGAGTATTGCAATAGCCCAGGGGCGGGTGTTTGCAGGCCCAGGGTCAATTCACATTCCAACAAAGGACGAAATTACAATAAAGCAGCAAGTACTGCCGTTGTGAATATTGTGTGTAGGAAGGGAACGGTTTAGGGGACACGGCACAGTCGTCCAGCTTCGGTAACCTTCCAGTAAGCGTCAGCACCAACAGATGTATGCTGCCAGAGAGCGAACTTGGGGTCGTATTTCATCTTAATCTTAAGCAGACGGTCGTAGTTCCGCCCGAAGTAGTCCTCTTTCCAATTGGGGTTATCGAAGGTGGCCTCGCTCGCATAGGCTCCTCCGCCGGGTCTCAAGGGGCGGAAGAGATCTTGCCACTTATTGACTTGTTGTTGAACTACGGCTAGTTCAGCTGAGGATAGTTCGGGGCTAGTTTGGACGCCAACGCTCATCGTGTACAGAGCGTCTCTTCACGCAGGAAGCACGGCATTCCGGGTGAGGTCCTGATAGATACGTTGCCGAGAGACGCTGACCGAGTTTCCGCTGCTACGCTTCACCGGAAACTGAGGGCTCTCTGCTATTTGGCAAAATGCATCAATGAGCTGCGGTAGGCTATTCTTTATGGTCGAACGTGGGACAAGGCAACCGCCAAGGGTGTTGTTGGTTGAGTAGATCTCGGGAGGAAATTCGTAATGTTTGTAATGGGAGTAGAAGCTAGGGAATAACGTGGTGTTATACTTCGCTAAAGCTAGACCAATATGTTCTAGTTGTTTGATAAATGGATTCAAAGCTGCTTGAATGTCGGATTGGGTTCCATTTGGCAGCGTGGCAACGTCAACTGAAAAGGCTTGGTTATCCAAACCCCAGGACGTTGCAAACCCGTGGATTTCATCCAACGCGAGGAGGTGAGACTGAAAAGCCCCTACAGCCTTCCAGTATTTATCCGGGTCTGTATTGATAAATGCTAGTGTCGCACCAGCAGTTGGACCATCAGCATACGCCTTGGTCGTCAAAGACAAGACGACACCGTAGTTGCCAGGGCCACCGCCACTCAGGGCCCAGTACAAGTCCGAGTTCTCAGTGGCCGAGGCGGTCAGATGACGCCCATCGGTGGTTACGACTTCGAATTCCAAAGCGTTGTCGGCGGCCAACCCATAGCTTGCTGCCAGAGGACCGTGCCCGCCGTGCTGGACGTAGCCTCCAGCAAACCCAACCGTAGGGCAATATCCACCCGTTATGCGGAGGCCATGGGTCTCTGCCGCAGAGTAAGCCTCTGAGAACTGGATGCCGGCACCAACTCTGAGGGCTGGTCCTGAGTAGTGAGGGCTGCTATAGTCGAGAAATGTTATGTCCTTTAGCTTGTGAGTCCACAGTGCCAAGGACCCTCGACCAGATGATCTTCCCAAATAATCATGTCCCGTATTCTTAATAGAAAGCCTAATGTTGTTTTCCCTGGCGAATTCCAATCCGGCTTTGACAGTGGCAGGACCGTCGATCTCCAAAGCGTACACTGCAATATTACCCAAAGTGCAGCCAGTATTCGAGGCCTCAAAGGGACTGCAGGATCCATTAAGCCAGTACGGGGACATGACATGGACCGAGTTTTCATAGCTAAACTCTATGTAAGCTTTCAAGTTTAATGTGCAGATCGGAGGTAAAGACATGGGGGGTTACGGACTATGTCTGTCCCGATGTCCATTGCTTCTGGACACCAATACATATATCACTTCCCGGGTCAAAGATTGGCATATGGCAGGCTTGCGCCAAGGGAAAACTGCGAATAAGCTTGCCTCCAGTTGTGTCGTTGAGACGATTCCATTTCTCATCCTTGGGCCAGTGACAGTCTCCGGGTAGGTAGCGACAGGCAGGCTCACTTTGCTTCTGGGGACGCGAAGCTACACCCAGAAACAAGCCGGACATAGCAGCTGCGCTCATGGCGAGCTGGTAGCCCCTAGGCACATGCATCGTCGCAGAAGCGGAAAAGTCAATAGCTTAGATCTGGAGTGGACTGAAATGCCACGACGCTCAGCAGGCTCATCTTTAAGCTTTCCTGAGGAAAATAGACATAGAGGGAGTAGCCTGAGGCGCAACAGTATTCCACTAGAATGGTATTTGATATTAGCAAGCCCGGTCAGATCGAGTATTCCACATAAACAACCTGCTGGCAGCATATGATTCATTGCTGCATAATACTTGCATGAGGAAGCGGTTGGAATAATCTTTTGATTGGTTGTGCGATATAAGCTTTTCGTAAGCATACCGCATAATGGTCAGCATCCGTGCATGTCATTGAAGCTTAGTGTGGTACATTGTAGTATTACTCTGCATATTCTAATTTGATATTGGTCAGTTTACATTGTAAGACGGATGAAGCCCCAATTTGTTGACACGAGGCTGGTCACGGACGAAGAGGATGGCAAGAGATCATTTCGTGAGAAACGATATACGCGGACTAAAATCTGCACCTAGTGATCTTCTGAATTTTTCTTTCTTTCTTTCTTTCTCCTTCCTTAATCTTCTACTTTCTTGGACTGAAAAAATGGGTCTCAAAGACCTCAGAACTATACAAACCTGGATCAATTTCGGATGGAATAACCTGGATCATGAGGTGCTTCATTGGATGCGAGGAATTCTAGGTTTGCTGGCCATAGCTTACATCACCTGGGGAGTTTGCATCAGGGTATACAGAGGTATGCATTGATAAATGAATTCAGTCACTTCAACTTGGCGATTGACCTTTGAATTAAGTAACCCTTCATCCTCTTGCGAATATTCCTGGTCCGAAACTAGCAGGTGAGTTCACTCAGGCCCATACATAAGCCATGGAAAGAACTAAGATGAAACCATATAGCATTGACGTATTGGTATGAAATCTACCATGACGTTGTTCTCGGAGGCCAATATTTTAAGCGGATCAAGGATATGCACAGGCAATACGGTTTGCTCACAAACTTCTCGTGATATTGAAGTTTAGTATAGTTGACTTTAGGGTGCAGGGCCGATTATACGTATCAACCCAAGTGAAGTCCATCTCTGCGATCCAGGCTTTATCGATACGATATATCCCACTTCAGGCAGAAAAACTAACAAGCCTATAATGGTGGGCCGGAGGAGTGGAAGTAGGTAAAGCATTTCCTCTGAAGTTTTTATATGGATAGATTCATTGAACTAAAAAAACTTCCCGCAGCACCAAACTCGATCGTGGCCACGGTGGACCATAACATCCACCGCATGCGTCGAAGCAGTATCAATACCTTCTTTTCTGCGGCTAGTATCGAGAAAATCGAGCCTTGTATCAAGGAGAAGCTGGAGAGCACGCTGGAGCGATGGGACAAGCTTGGAAAGTCCGGCGGCACGGTCCTTAATATGTCCGCAGTCTTCCAGGCGTTCGCGGGCGACGTTGTCACCACCTATGCTTTCGGAGACTGTTTCCATTTTTTAGAAAGTGAAGATTGGGGCGGCGAGTACTTTTTATCCCAAGAAAAGTACTTTGGACTAACCCACATCTTTGGGCGCCACTCAGAACAACCTCTGATTGGTTCAACCCCAACTTACCCTAGACCCCCGTCCAGTGTAAGTTACCCAACCGTCACAAAGAGCCTGGAAATAGAAAGTTAAAATCAAGGATTTATATAAAAATAGAAGCTTTTCCTCTTCTAGCTATATAATCTTATAAGATCTATAGCAGAATATATCTTTTCTAGTAAAACTGAATAGAGATCTCTGAGCTGGGTAGAGTAGCTCTAGGAGGAATAAATACTAAGCTTCTTAGTATATTCTATTCTTTCTATTTCCTGATCTAGAGGAGTTTGGAAATTATAACTTTCCTATCTTATATAAACTCTTCAGATTCCCTTAGCAAAGTAGAGCAAAATATTTTCAGTCTCTTGAATCAGAACCTTATAAGAGTAATAATACTAGATAATCAGTCTCCAACCTCCAGTTATTAACCTGTCTAGCAATCAAGGGATTAGAGTTAAAGATCAAAACTACTTTCTGCTGAACTACTCTCCTTTACTATCCAGTCTCTCCCCACGGTCAGTAGCGCTTAGGAGCTTATAAATTATCTAAGGCTTAATAGTATATCTAGGAACTCCGTTAGTATTCTTAAAGGGAATTCCCTTTATAAGAAAGCTTATATATTCCTTATAATTATTATATATATACTGCTATAGATTATAGTCTATAATCTAGCTACTTACTATATTTAGAAAAGTCTGGTCCTTCTTAAATTTATCCTAGTTAGTTAAATATTATACCTTATAAGTCTTAAAACCTATTCTTTACCTATATAAGATATATTCAGCCCTAGAGATAGTCAGTTAGTAAATATATCTTTTTATATCTTAAAACTACTTAAATAGATATATAGAATTACCTAAGATAATTATATACCTTTATAGCTAGCAGTATATTATCCTTACCAGCTATATATAAGTATATAGCCAGAGAGTACCTATCTTTAAGAGCTATAGTAGTACTACTAGCTGAAGTAGGAAGAAAAGTATAAGCTGTATTACTAACTTAGATAATACGGTATTTTAGGGAGGTCTAGATATCTTAAGGATTATACTATATAAGTTTAAAGTTAACTACTTTATAGTTAGGTATAGTATTAATAACCTCGGATATAAAAGGGCTCTATCCTTTTATATATTATAAGGTATAGTTAACGGACCTCTTATTAGTCTATATTTCTTTAGTTATTCCCTTATCCTGGATATAGTATTAGTAAATAACTAAGCTAATTCTCTGGTTTTAAGATATAGACTTTATAAGTAAGTAGAAAGACTATATTATCTTTAGACCTTAATATAATCAGATATATAGATCCCGGTCTAATAATAATAAAACCCTTTTCAGGATTATCTCTAAATACCTCTATAACTAGTAGTTACTTTAATATATTTTCAGCTGGGAATAATATATAGAATATAGTAAAACCAGAGCTAATAGCTATCTCCTTAAACCCTAAGATAATATTCCAGGACCTTAAACCTACTCTATCAGCTATAATAATAATATTAGTAATAAGCTTTAATCTATTCTCAAGGATTATACCAGCTTTTTTATTATCTTTAAAATAGTTTATTACTTAACTTAAGAATTTAATCTTAATTCCTAGTCTTATAGTATACTTATAAAAAGTATAGTAGAGAGCAGTATAACTAATAGTAAGAGGATACTTAATAGTACTAAGGACTATCCTATTATAAGTATAGATAGTAGCAGCCTTTCTAAAGTAGAAGGCTGAGTAGTACTTAAGGAATCCTAGCTAGTTTTCAGAGGTATAAAGAGCGGATAATTAAATAGTAATAAAATCTCCTGTAAGGTTATTAATTTATTAATCTAATACTATTATATATACAGATAAAATAGAAGATATACTGTAATTATTTATATCTAGTTAATACTTAAGAACCCTAATATTATACCCCTTACAGTAGGCTTTAATAGTAAAGCCCAGGCTAGCTAAATCAGTACCTACTATTAAAATATTAATACTACTTAGGTACTTATATAATATAGTTAATACCTGGTTAAGTAAATCCTTACTTATAATAATTATAGAGATATAGTAGTTCCGGGAAAAGATATTTAGAGCGAGTTAGTCTCTATCTTTTGGAATTTAAAGGGTTTAGTCTCTTATATATATATATCCTCTCTATTATAATAGGGGATATTTATAATTATATGTTCTACTGTGGTAGTTAGCAGTAAGGCAGTAAAAAGAGTATATAATCATTATATTACCCGGAGTATTAATCTCTATAATATTCGGAACTACGGGAGATATGAAAACTTCACCGGAAAAGGCCTTCGCTCTACCTCAAGATAGCCGGGTCATTCGGGCTCTATCATAAACCCGAAGCTAACCCCGCTGATATAATTATAATAAATCATTTCTATCTTACTTAATTAAGGAACCCAGCTGGGTTTTACTTTATCTACCGGATTACTTAACTCATATATCTGGAGCTACTAAGTCTACAGGGTTTATAATTATCAGATATAATATTATCGGGAATAAGTAAGAGCTTATAAGATATATATACCTGGCCAACCAAGTTGAATTCATCTCGGAAAGAATATAAGGAGGGCAAATGCGGAGAATATGAAGAAACTAATAACTTTTCAGCTAGATTGCCAGAGTCTATCCTTAATCCGGTTCCAATATTTAATAGAGGAGACTCTTTTAAGAAGCTAGAACTAGGTTTATTTAAGAAAGGGAGCAGGGGGGGGGGTATTAAAGTATAAATAGAGAGAATAAGATATATTATTATAAAAGAGGATAATATCTTCTTATTAGTAAGCTCTTTCTTTACTTACTATACTTACTACTTATATTTACTTATATCTATATCTATATTTAAAACTATTAACTATTCCCTGTAACTTAATAATAATAGCTACCAGGCTTTCTACTAATCTCCTCTTCCAGCTAGCTAAATAGTACTGCTCCTACTATTTTCTTACTAAGGAGCTCCCTATCTCTAATACTTATATCTATAAGAGATTAATAATACTACTCTACAGACCTACTCCTCCTTTAATAATCAGGCTATATATATTATAGTTCTTTTTACTAATAAGTATACTAAGCTTTAGGATATTACTAAGGATACCCTTAAAGCTATCCTCCTAGCTAATACCTACTATACTACTAAGCAGAAGCTTAATATATTCCAGACCGCTGCTAGTACTATACTCTTCTTCTCAGACTAAACTATTATTAATAAGTATACTACTAAGTTTACTACCTTTAGGGATAAATTCCCCTACTAGGCTAATTAGTCTACTACTATCCAGGAGTATCTTACTTAGACCGGACTTAAGGCTAAGGGTCTTAGTACTAACCTTTAGTACTTTAACCCCCTGATTAATATTAAGGTTTTAGAGACCTAGAGTATTCCTACTACCTGGAAGCTTGATATCTAACTTATTTTCAGTAGTAAGACAGGCGAGGCTTATAATAAGATCTTCCAGCTCCTTCAGGAGTATATTAAGATCTTTAATATCTAAATCAGTAACTGGGTATATAGATATACTCTAGAGGATAATAAATACTAAAGTTTTTTAATATATAAGCTAATTTTTATTCCCTTATATACTCTGAATCTATACTTAAGTAATCTAGGATTATAGAGTAGTTATAGAAAATTTAGACTTTAAGTAAGTAAGAGTAAGGAAAGGCAAGGAAAATATTATACTAATAGAGATATATCTAAGAGGGTTCTTTACTCTAAACTATTTTTATCTTATATAGTTCCTCTATAATTATAATAAGAATAAAATATATATATACCTTTCCTCTTCAGCTAGATATAAATTTATTAGCTAAATATTTATTCTTTTATCTATATAAAGTAGCCTTCCCTCCTACTTTCTAAATCTTAAAATTAATCTAATAACTAAGAAAGCTTATTACTAAATATACTACTTATTTAGTAATACTAGCCCTTATCTATTATATTTCTTATTATCTCTCGGGTATCTACCCCTTATACTGCTTATACTTTACTTACCTTCTAATCCGCCTTATTATATAGCTAAAAATCAGTTATTATAGTATATACCTAATACCTGGCTATATAGGTCTCTAATATTAAGCTCTCTATACGCTTCTACCTTAAGACCTTTAAAGCTAAGAAGGTCCTTAACTACTATTATAATAGTAAGTACTTTACCGAACTCCTCTTTAGTATTAAGGATACTAAATACTTAATTAGTTTTATTAAGTTACCTAATAGGTTTAGCCTTAAGCTTATCCAGTTTATACCTAATACTAACCTAACTATTAGTATTCCGCAGGCTCAGATATTATTTATATACTTTGCTATTACTATTAATAATATCGAGGTAATACTATCTTATACTATTACTACCAGAGGTATAAGCCTCTCCCCTGTAATAAGCTGGGTACTAAGTAACCCCGCTAAGTATACCTACCTCAAGGACCCGGATAGAAATATTATCGAGCTAAATAATACTATATAGCCCTAAATCCTTATCTTAGCTATCGAACTCCACCCAGAAGCCGCTCTTCAGTAGAATAATAATAACAGGAGCTAGGAATCTTAATATAAGTATATAGACAGGCTGAGCTCCGGAGATATAGCGAGCCAAGTGTATATATCACTGGGAGCCTTAGTAAACAGGGATTATATACGTATTAATAGTCAATATTACAAATATATATACCTAGGAGATATAACTAGGTATCTAAATATATTACCTACTGCTGTTTTATATCCTTACTATTAACTCTCTGTATCTTAACTGCTCCTTATCTACTCGAAAGTAGGTGTACTGCTATCGCATTGACTTCCTAGGCATCAAGACAGTCCTTCTCTAATATATCCCAGCGAAAATAGCATGTGTTTAAATTGTGATATTGTAACCATGGCCTATAGAGCAGCAGCAGGAGTTTACATGAGCAGTGAAGAGCTCTTTTGGGAATCATTTACTGTCTAGATCTGCTTTCGCACTTTCCCCAGCCCAAGCTCGTCTGATCAGTTCGCGAATCCATTTTCGCTCCAAATCTCGCGGATTCGGGTATTCGTTACTTGTCGCAAATTTCGGTCGCCTTGTCAATATCACTTTCCTTCATTCCCAAGTACACCAGTGCCCGCAGCACTTACAACTTTCACAGCAACAGCTCTAGGCCGCTCAGCGCATCCTCATTGCTTCCAAGGAGAGCAGTAGCGAGTTTATCCATCTGTTCAGGGATAGCATATGCATTATAGGACAAGGTATACAGAAGCACGATAGTGTGTATCACTGCATGAGGTAGTGCAAACGATCCTCCAAGGACATAGCAAAGTATATGATGGAGCCTCATGGATAAGCTGTCCAGGACAGTACTATAAGCCATGCGGCATATAGAGTCTGATCTCTTGGGGATCTAGACTCCGGGTCTGAAAAATTCGAGGTAAAGCCTCTGCTAATACTATATTACCCTCAAGCACAAGGATTAAAGTTATAGGATTAGCATTCTGGGCGTAAAGTACCTCTGCCGCATAAGCAATTGCATTAATCCCAGAAGTAACACGGACTGAGGGCGGTAGGATCATTATAAAGTCTGCATTATAAATAATAACTACAGGCAGAATCTTAGGATCCGATCACGTCGTCTTATTACTATTGTATATTTCACCCCGAATAGGGGCTATTTACAAGCCAGAGTAAACCGTAGGTATACTGATATAGGGCACTCCTGTGCGAATAGAGACGGCTTTACCAAGGCCGACTACTGAGCCGCCGCCTATGGAAACCACACAGTCGACAGCCACTGAGTTGAGGAAGACAGTTGCGTCTTCAGTTACGTACGTCGACTTATATGGTTTTACATGGATAAAGATACCGGCCACAGTAATAGAAGCAGCTTGGATTATATCAGGCAGCTGATTTATATAGTTACTCTTCCCTGGTGTTAAGAAGAGGAGTAGTCGAGAAACATTAAGATACCTCATCTCAGCCGAGAGCTTCCTTATATTACCAGAGCCGAAGATAACTCAGCTTAGAAGGGTATTATATACGAATTCTTTTATCTTTATAGCGGAATTTACTAAGATTAGCAGTAATAAAGGTCTTCTATTATAGATCAGGTATAATCTTTACAGCCTTAGGAAATAATTATATTAGTAATTAAGTCTGCAGGATAGAGTACCTCCTACTACAGATAACCTCAGGTAATAGTTAATTAATATACTACTGCTTATTATATTTACTTTAACCCTTAAAGTATGCTCGATATATAATATGATATCTTACTATATTAAATAGGAAGATCGCAGGATAGGTACTACTTCCTATAAAGCCTCCTCCTATACCGACTAGTACCTATAAAAGCAGTATAATATTATTCAGTCTGCAGCTATATCACAATCGAGGACTGATAAAGAAACAGAATATACTATTCAGCGAGGCGGTGGAGAACTATAGCGGAAGTCCGGATCAGAAGGCGGAAGTCAAGCAAAGTTCCGGAAGAGGCGCTTTTTCCGAGAAGCCGGTTTCCGACCTAAAGCCTCTTCCGGCCTCCACTGGACGCCCCCTCCCCCGGTTCTAGGAGCTACCCGAGTTCTGGTGAAACAGCCAGCCTGTAACAGTCGGCTCGCAGGGGTCTCACAGGGGTCTCGTAAGGAAGGTTAGGTAATTACATTAACTGTTCCAACTAATCTCTCCAGGGCTTCCGGAGAGTTATTATTAGATTTTATATTATTTTTATTAGCTTACTATAAATAAGAATATATCCTGAGATTAGATAATATATAATCTGATTATATATATATTTTTTAAAATATAATTAATAGTTTATATTTAAATCTTTTTTTAAGAGTTTTTATTATATATAAAAGATATTTTAAAATTAAACTATATATAACTAGATCTTTATAATTTATTTATAATTTAAGTTTTTATTATATAAAACTATATTTAGTTTTTTAATTAGTATATAATAACTTTATAATTAGCTATTATATTTTTCTTTAAATATTCTATAATAATAATTAATTAATCTATTATAATTCTAAATATTATCTTATTAATCTTATTTAATTTAACTTTTTTATTTAATAAACTTTTTATATTTTATTTTATTTAAATTTTTTTTTTAGAGATCTTTACTATATATAAGGAATATTCTAAGATCAGGCTATATATAACTAGCTCTATATAATTTATTTTTAACTAAGTTTTAATTTATATCTAATCTTTAATTCTATTTTTTTTTATTTTTTTATTTATATAAGCTAAAGTAAGATAATAATTTCTTTAAAAACTCTAAAAAGAGCTTATTAAATATATAACTTAGCTATAAGCTCTAAGGGGGAATACTTATTATCTATAATTAACTATAATATCTCTCTAAGCTTATTATTACTATTACTAACTATCTCTTCTTATAATAATAATAAATATCTCTAATATTATTATTCCCTATAGCTAGGGTCTAGTTATTATAAGTAATCAGGTTCTTATATATATAATAATTATTATTAATAAAAACTATTAGAATCTCTTTTTAAATATTAATTATTTAAGCTTATAATCTATTATAGATTTACTTATAGTAATAAAACTACTCTCTTTTATATAGATCTAGTAGTTATACCTACTAGAACTATTACTATATTTTCTTATAGTTAGTAATAATATAGAGATAGATCTAATTATTAATATACTTATAGAGAACTATAATAATATTTCTCTAGTACTTAATTACTATTATAATCTAAGTTACTATATATAGTTCTAGTAGATAATATACTAGATTAAATTAATCTAGACTAAGATAGCTCTTTAAGTTTAATATTTATTTTAATTAGTAATATTAAATAGAAGAGAATTAAATTAAATTAAATTAAATTATTAAAAAGTTTATTAGATAGAAAAGTTAAATTAAATAAGATTAATATAATAGTATTTAGAATATAATAGATTAATTAATCTAATATTATTATAGATTATTTAAAGAAAATTATAATAGCTAATTATAAAGTTACTATATACTAATAAAGACTAAATATAGTTTATATAATATTAATTCTCTTTTATTTATTATAAATACTATTCTATTAATATTAAAATATTAATATTAAACTTTAAGAAGAACTTTTATTTAGATTAATTCTATATAATATATAATATATTAAAACTAGAGATTATATTTTTAAATTATTATAATTATTAAATATTTAGAGATTATTATTTAGTTTCTTCTTTTTAAATATTTTATATAGAATAGAATTTATTATTTATTTTTTATAAACTTTATAATATAATATTAAACTTAATAGTTATAATTATTAAATCTATATAATTAAAAATAATTTTATTATTATAAGAAATCTAATAATAAAGTATAAACTTAATTATTTTATATTATTAGCAAAAGCTTAAAAGTTCTTATTAATTATTATTATTATATAGTTAAAAATAATATTAATTATTATAATTAAACTCTAATTACTAAAGATAATTATATTAAAGAAAGTTATTATTATAATTATAAAAAGTAATAATTAATAATTAATAATAATTTTTTTTATTAGTTTTACTATAAATAAAAGAGTATATTCTAAGATTAAATAATATATAATTTAATATATATTTTTTAAAAATATAATTAGTAGTTTATATTTAAACTTTTATTACTATAAGATAAAATTAAAATTAAATACTTTTAATCTAAATATAGATATTAATATTATAAAAACTCTAATAATAGAAGTTATATACTAGAGATATATAATAAGCTATAGCTCCTAAGGGGGAAAACTTATTATCTAATAATAATAACTATCTTTTCTTAGCTTAATTAATTAATTAATTAAATTATATCTTATTTTAATTAATTAATTAATTATATTATTAATACTAATTATAGATACTTTAAGTATCTATAATATATTATCTTTTTTAATTATTTTTATTTATAGAGCTTTAATTACTATAAATAATATAGATCTTAATAAGATAATAGAAATTATAAAAAATAATAGTATATAGCTTTTAACTAGATATATTTAATATATATTTCTCTAAATAGTTAAGAGTTTATTTATAGTAATAAAGCTATTAATAATATTTTAAATCTAATAGTTATATTTAATATATTTATTCTTATATTATATAATCTATAACTATTATATACTATTAGTACTTAGAGTAAATAAGATATAACTAGATTAAAAACTATATTTTAATAATAATTATCTATTTATTTATATATATTATAATCTAAGGTTTTCTTTATAATTCTAATATATTTTATACTATTTTAAACTAATTAGAATAGAGATAATCTTTAAAAGTTAGTTTATTAATTAAGCTTTTTATATTTTAAAATAGTTTAGATTAAAATATTAATTAAATTAGATCAGATTTAGTATTAGTATATTAGAATTTATTTTAATTTAATTTAAATTATATTTATTAAGAAATAAAAGAAAAATTAATTATTTAAAATTATTAGTTAAATTTATATTTATAAATATAATATATATTTACTACTATAGAAAATTTTTATTAAATAATATAGATTTAATATTAATTTAATATTTATTTATATATACTTAATTATACTATATAATAAATTAATAATATTAAATTAGAATATTATATAGTATAACTAAGTATATATAAATAGATATTAGATTAATATTAAATCTATATTATTTCTAATAAAATTTCCTATAATAGTAAATATATACTATATTTATAGAGATAAATTAACTTATAATCTTAAATAATTAATTTTTAAAAACTATCTCTATTTTTATTAACTTAATATAGTATATAATATACTAAAACTATAAATTATATATTAAACTATAATAGATCTATATAAGAAAGTAGTTATTCTTAAGATATAATATTTATTTAAGCTAATCTTAATTCTCTATAAGTATTTATAATAATTACTAATAGTAGGCTATATAGTAAAGTAATAAACTAAATAGATATAACTACTAAATAGATATAACTACTAAATTTATATTATTAAAAGTAGCTTTATTATTATAAGTAAGCTCTGAATTAATTAGAGGGATATATAATAAATATAGTTAGTAAATAGCTATATTAGATTATTTTAGATAATAGTTATTATTACTTTAAGGATTTTATTAGTAATATTAAATAAGCTTTAAGAGATTAGAATATTTATATTAAATATTATAACTATTTAAAATATCTAGTAATTAATTAATTAAGTAATTAATTAATAATATAATTTAAATAATTAATTAATTAATTAAGATAAGTTCTAATAGAAAGAAAAGATAATTATTATTATTAGATAATAAGCTTTCTCTCTTAGGAGCTATAGCTATAGCTAGACTATTTATATATCTAGCTATATAAATAGCTTCTATTATTAGAGTTTTTAAGATATTAATATCTATATCTAGACTAAAATTATAATATCTAAGTTTATTTTATAAAATTAAAGATTTAAATATAAACTATTAATTTATTATATAGTATAACTAAGTATATATAAATAGATATCAGATTAATATTAAATCTATATTATTTCTAATAAAAATTTCCTATAGTAGTAAATATATACTATACTTATAGAAATAAATTAATTTATAATCTTAAAAGTAATTAACTTTTTTATTTCTAAATATATATAATTCTAGATTAAACTAAAATAAACTCTAATATACTAATACTAAGCTTAATCTAATCTAACTAATATTCTAATCTGAATATAACTAAAAATAATATAAAGCTTAAATAATTAATTTTTAAGAACTATCTTTACTCTTATTAACTTAATATAGTATATAATATACTAAAACTATAAGTTATATATTAGATTATAATAGATCTATATAAGAGAATAGCTATTTTTAAGATATAATATTTACTTAAACTAATTTTAATTCTCTATAAGTACTTATAATAGCTACTAGTAGTAAGCTATATAGTAAAGTAATAATCTAAGCAGATATAGCTACTGAACTTATACTATTAAAAGTAGCTTTATTACTATAAATAGGCTTTTAATTAATTAAAGAAATATATAATAAATATAGTTAGTAAATAGCTATATTAGATTATCTTAGATAATAGTTATTATTACTTTAAGAATTTTATTAGTAGTATTAAATAAACCCTAAGAGATTAGAATATTTATATTAGATATTATAGCTATTTAAGATATCTAGTAATTAATTAATTAAGTAATTAATTAATAATATAATTTAATTAATTAATTAATTAAGATAAGTTCTAATAGAAAGGAAAGATAATTACTATTATTAGATAATAAGCTTTCCCTCTTAGGGGCTATAGCTATAGCTAGACTATTTATATATCTAGCTATATAAATAGCTTCTATTATTAGAGTTTTTAAAGTATTAATATCTATACTCAGACTAAAAGTATTTAATTTTAACTTTATCTTATAGTATTAAAGGTTTAGATATAGACTACTAATTATATTCTTAAAAAATATATATTAAATTATATATTATCTGATCTTAGAATATACTCTTATTTATAATAAAACTAATAAAAAAAAATAAACTATTAATTATATTTTTAAAAAAATTATATAATCTAGTTATATATTATCTAATCTTAGAATATATTCTTATTTATAGTAAAACTAATAAAAAAAAATAGTAATTATCTATTAAATTAAGGAAGATTAGTATCTTATATAAAATTATACTATTTAGTAGTTATTTAGCAAACTTAAGTATATAGCCTTTAATTAAGAGGGTTGATAATAAGGAACTGGCAAATAAGTATAGTATTAAGCTAGGTTCTGCTCTACTCACCTATAGCTTTATCTTAGTTACGGATAAAGCTGCAGCAAAACTTCATAGACAGAAGGCTGATAAGGCTATGGCCGAATTAGGTCGTATATTTAGATTTATTAATGACCGGACCTGCCTACTCCTGCTGTAGACTAAAGTAATATATATAGATTCTTTAAGTATTTTAATAGTTAATCTTAGGTAATAATATTATATATATTTATAAAAGCTAGTTATACTATCTTTATAGTACTATCTATATTAGATTAACCCCTAGCCTATAGCCCTTAAATAGGAATATTAGAAATTCTAAGCCTGATATATCTTTATCTGCTACTGTAAAGTCTTATAGTAAGTTTAGATCTATAATTAAGGCTAGTAATATAGTATCTTACCCCGGGACAGTATATAAGAATAAGGTCCTCGAGAAATTATATCCAGCCTGGCTTATTATATTATTTAAATCTAATTAACCGGGAGATATATTATACTCTTACTCAGAGCTAGTCCCTTTAGATCTAGCAGATTAATTCTGCTGGTTTAGAATATATACCTATACTACCTCTAAGCCTTCTTATATTAAATTCGTACTTTATTAAGTATTAATAGCCTCCTCTATTAATTTAAGAATATTCTAAGCTTTAATAATATAGTTAAGTAGTTTATTACTAGATATAGTAGCTTAGCCTAGAATAATAATATAGAGAATAACTATCCCGGTATATAAGATATATATAGAATTATACTACTAAGTATAAAAGTAGTATCTATTAGTATATATATTATATATAACTCGGATTATATCTTAAGCCGCCTTAAGATATATTTTAATATATCTTAATATTTATATCTTTATCCTGCTTATAGGTACTTCTAGGAAAGATTAATATAGAATAATCTTTATATATAGGTATCTTAGATATAGAATAAGTTTCTACTTAGCTATCTACTCTTCTTTATAGTAAGATACTCTACTAAAATTAAAGTACTCTAATAGCTAAGCTTTCCAGTTATTAAGAAGAATACTAAGCTCCTTTATAATTACTAACTTTTATAGTAGAGTAAGGCCCTTTAAGTTATAATATAGTTATTTTAAGATATACTATAAGATTATAGTAAAATATACTATCTTATTAATTATTATAATACTATAGTTCTTGAGTTTAGATCCGTCCGAGGTATTAGAAAGTTAGGCTCTAATATAAGGCAGATTAATTTAATAGTTCTAAGGTTTCCTAAGACTACCTCAGTAGCCTGTACTATAGCTTATTTCTATCTTATAAGAGTAGATATACTATCAGGTTTATTATATAGCTTTATAATCTTTAACTGAATTTAATATAGACTCCCTTATAATACTAATTATAAGTACAGTATATACAGTATACCTATAGTACAGATAGTAAGTATATAGCTTAAGTATATTTTAATAGTAAATTAACTTAGTTAAGATTAATAAGGAAAGGCTAGAGGATAATAGCTAGGAGGTAGCTTACTATAAGAAGAAGGGTTTAAGTACTCTCTAATAAGTAAATATTAAAGATATCTTTAAGTAATACTCTTAACTTTTAAAAATATTTTTTTAAAAGTAACTAACTGGATACTAGTAAACTTAAGTTTAGATACTCCTTTATATATAGTTTAATATCTTACTTAAAGTACTAGGATATACTAGTAGTAGTACTAAGTACTCTAATTACTATTATAATATTATAGAGTATAAGGAAATACCTGAGGTCCTTATTCTTCTTAAGTAGGATATCTATATCCTATATCTTATCTTTATATTATACTGTGAATATAATCAGGTTAAGTATAGGATAGATATAATATAAATTGTTTATATATATATAGATATACTCTTATTCTAGTCTTTTCTAAGCTATTTAAAGAGAATACTCTAGTACTAGTCTTTCTATTATAGCAGGATAAGTAAATAAATAAGGAATTCTACTACTCTCCCTATTTAAACTATTATATTAATATAGTATAGGAATATTATCCTGAATTAAGCCTATATAACTTCTATTTCTAGTATAGCTTAGTACAAGAGATAAACCTTCTAGTATACCCTTTTAATTTACTACTATATATATTAATATATTTAGCCTTAGAAGTAGTTCTAATACTTTATTATTATAAAGGAGATTAATAATAGAAAGGGGTAACTGAGCAGGAAGATTATAATCTGAAATAACCCTATCAGATATCTATAGGCTATTTTAATCCTGAACGGAGAACAGTTTACTAGATCTACTACTAGTAAGGGATAAATATAATACTTCGTTATAGTTACTAGAGCTTATATATCCGGGAGGAAGATATTATTAGATATATATAAAGAATTAATTAAGAAGAACTAAGTTAGATAAAGTACTATAGAATTCTCTCCTATAAGTCTGCTGGATAATATTACCTACTATATCCGTATTACTAACAGGTAGAGACTATAGTATAAAGGCTTAGGCTAAAGATTAGTATAAGTATATTATAAAATAGGCTATATATACCTAAACGGTCTGATCCGTAAGTATACTCTAGAATCTCACTCTATTATAATAGTTTATCTCTACTATCTCAAGTAGAGGGTTAGAATAGAAGATATTCTTATATACTTTTAATTTCTTAATCCAAACTCAGAATATAGTTATTCCTATCCTAGCTATTCCGCCTTTGAAGTCTATAGGTATACTAATAGAAATACTTAATACAGTTCGTATATAGCTATCGCTGATCGTACTTTACCTTTTTAATACAGTATCGCTAATATATATAAGATACGCGTGGTAGATTACAGCGGCTGGGCAAAGACTCTGGACACTGCTTTAGCTCTGCCATACCGGATAGCTCGGGCTAACAAGCTGTATATGCTCGTGAAAGGGAAAGTAGATGCTGATAATGTTTTTATCTGTTACTAAATCCTGATTGATAGGACGATGAAATATCTTAGTTTTTAGCAGTGCGCCACGTGGCTGCTAGGAGTGGACGAGCTTGAAAGCAAGTGAAGAAGAAAAAAAAACCAACTTGAGAGCTTCAATGACAAGCTGAATTGCTCTATGGATAAAGAAAGGGGTTGTGTAACTCGATTATATAATTCTCTCGTTACCCCGCATCCAAGTGAGCTAAATCTCATGGACTATGGAAATGCTCTGACATACCCCACACCCCCACATATACCTCTTTAATAACACAGTATATACGAATACCTTCAGAATACCTAATTATAGTAGTCTTAATATCTTATAATATATAATTACAGGGCTCTAACTTTTACTATAGAAGTATCTTATAATTAAGCTTAGAAGTCAGTCTATATTCTTACTTATTATAATACTTTTTATTAGATTATAGAGCTTATATCTAGCTTATATTATTTATAAGTTATAGCTCTTTATATATAAAAAATTATTAGTATAAGTAAAACTAGTTTTTTTATATTTAAAATAATATATCTAAGATCTGTTTTTAACTAATTAGTAAAACCATTAGAAATATATAAGCTAGAAATATTTCTATAGTTTATAATATAGTTATTTATTAATCTAGAGATTACTAAGAGATAAAGTAGTATAATTACTAGCTAGAGCTTAAAAATTATTAAATTTTAAGAAATTTTTAAATATAATCTTTATAGTTATAAGGTTTATAATTAATAAATTATTTATATAATAATAACTTAGCTTAGAGAGAGCTATTAAGTATTAGTAGAATTTTCTAACTAATAATACTATAACTAAAAACTAGATATATCTATAATTATAATATTAATATTAGTTAAAAAGAATAAATTATAATTAAACTATATAGTTAAAACTAATAACTATAATTAATTATATATATATTAATTCGGGTCTCTTGAAAGCTATTTTGTCCCTGGAGAATGGCTTTATACCAGGCACACCGACATTCATTAACCCAAGCCCTAAGAGTAGGTCTTCTCGCCAACCTTGAGATATGGAAATAAGTAGTCTATTTATTACAGTAGAATCTGACAGTATGCTGCAGTTGACTTTACCGGAAATAAGGTCAAGGCTTTTAGGAACGGTATCCCTTGGCCGGAAGGTACTTGTCGCCGAGCCAGCATCAACTCCTTTGGTGTTGGAGGATCGAACGCACACGTCATCATGGAAAGCCCTGGACTAGGTACGCCGGCAAGACATGTGTCTTCATACATCACTGCTGGTGACGGTTTTGCCGAGCCCGACGACGATGCTCCCAGGCCATTCATGATGGTTTCTTCCGCCAACGACCCCGGTTCACTGCGTAATAGCATTCAATCACTTAGCAACCACCTCATTAACCCGCGTGTCAAGGTCAAACTTCCGGACCTCGCTTACACGCTTTCAGAGCATCGTACAAAATTCTGGCACCGTGCTTTCATCACGACGCAAAACACAGAGCTTGACGAAAGGCTAGATGACTGGACTGTGTCCAAGAAAGGGACGCAAGGCCCCTCCGTCGGATTCATCTTCACTGGACAGGGGGCTCAGTGGCCACAGATGGGTAGAGACCTGCTACGATTCTTCCCGTGGACGCGGGACGTCCTCCGAGAGTGAGTCAG